TGCGACAACTGTTCTACGTCTCATGGAATTTCTTTCCGTAGACATTTTATTGCCATGGCAGTGCAGATCACACAAGTTCTATCAGATGTACATCTAATTTCCAAGTTCAAAATAAGTGACTTACATGGAACAAAGCAGCTTTTCGTGATATGTATTCTTGAATCATGCAAGGGAAAAGGAAACATCTCAATTTGGAAAAGGTAGTTTGGTTCAACTTCAAAAATAGAGGTCATGATAAGTTAAACGACTCAGGAGAACAAAAGTAACAAGCAGGCTGTTCCATGGAAACCTCGCTTGTTACACAGCGACGATTGGAACGTTGGAAAAAAGACAGCTAAAAATAATGAGCGTCGAAGATTCGGAGGACTTCCCTATCATGACTTGAAGGCATCGATTAGTCTCGAGAATGTTATTTAGTTTCATTTTTTGAAAAGATTAATAATTTTTATCTAAACAGTTGTACTCGAGAAATCGTCTTCGACCGACTTCCTCCTCTTCATCCTCTTTTCATTTATGAAGTTTTTCCAAACCCTTAAATTTGTAAAAAAAAAATGAAAAGTTTAGCTACCGGAAAACATCAGTAATAAAAGAGCAAGCTTGCCATTACAACTCAAGCTGAGATTTGCAAAGAAAAAATTCATTTGACGATAATATGAGAGCAGTCATGGCTACAAGATCTAATTACAAATCTGGAAGATTATTATTCAGAAAACAGGAAGTAAAAGAGAGGATGACGATTAAAACTGTAACGCGGAAGGAGGACAGGAAGGCAAAGACGTCGTTTTCAGTAACAAGAAGATGGGAAGAGGGCGAAAACAAAAAGTTTTGAGTGATCGGACTGGTTTCGTCCGTGGATTCGTTAACGGGCATGCCATGCAATTGCATGTTCTATTGATTTATTGGGAAGAGTTTGAAGGTCCTTGCTGAAGAAAAAAGTGCTCTTCATGTTATTATAAGAAAAAATGGCGCGGCGCGTTCGTCGATGTCAAATTCGAAAGTGTAATCCTTGTATAGTTCTCCTTTTCGCTCCCGATAACCTTCATTCGTTGATCATTCAAAGTCATTGAGAATTAAAAAAATGAATCGACCGAAAATAAAATGAGATTAAAAAAATACTGATTTCAGAAAAAAATTTACACATCTCTACAACTTCTTTGCAAAAATTGAGTCTTAAATTTGATTCGCATCCCAGTTTTTTTTTTTACTCAAAAGTGAATATCAAAAGTAATATCAAAAGTTTCTCAAGAAGCAAAAACTTCACAAAAACTTATTACATGTGCAGTGATAATTATATGAAAAAAATTCCGCGAAAAAAAGCCGTGAAAAGATAGCCGGGTATAAATGAGCTGAAGGAGAATTGCCGATGAGAATTTAGAGCCGCAAACTTCGCTATTTCGATTTTCGCAACTTATTTTCATATGATCACAGTGATCAGTATTTCATTCGATACGTTGGTCTTTCTACAAATATTTTAGATACTCTCTTGAAGATTTCACTGGTGCGGACAGAATGATGAAAGCGTTAGGCAACAGCTAGCAGAAGAAGAAGATTGGAAGGGCATATGGTTAGTGGACTGGTTCCAACTCGTACACTGCCTTCTTTTTCAGCAATACTAAATCGGGCACTTGTGCTTTTATTCCGGCCTTTCGTTCTCTTTTATGCCGTTCGCGACCTGTTTTTATCTGTCAGATACCGCAAAACGCGTAACTTAAGTTGTTACAGCAGTTGTAAAAACAGGAAAAGAAAACAGTTAGTTCAAAATCAGCAAAAAGTCGTTGAAAAGCAGGAAAAACTTTAAAAAAATCAAATCAATGCGCTAATCAAAACGTCGGAACAAAGTTTTTTCTCAGTGAACCTGATGAAAAAACTAAATGTTTCTTTTCTGAGAAAAAATGAATAACGAACAATTTTTTCAAATGGCAATTATTCAAACCCCCTTTTTACTCAAATTTGCATAGAACTAGTTTTGAACGACGTTTTGGTCTTAACAGCGAAGATATCAGAGAGGCGTGGCCTTTTCCTTTGGCGCTAAATTTGAAATTTTATCCGTTGAACGGTAAATTTTTTTCTGTCGCAAAAATCTAATTACCTTTTTTTCATTAAAAATCTTATGAAAATAAATTTTTGAGGGTTTCTTTTTCCTATTGTAAAACTTTTTTTATTTTTTTCATCGCTAAAAAGGTAATTTCCAAGCTTTGAAAAAAATTAAATGTATGAAACTTTTTAGAATATTTGATAACTGTGAATCATTGTTGAGGTCGCAAGAAAAAATCTTGTTTAATAAATACAAACGAGTCAAGTTTTTGTTTTTTCGGACAAAAACAATGTCAGAAGGCCGATAGTATGATGTATAATTTAGAAAACTATCCAACGCCGACTTTTCTCTTTTTCCATACGGCCAGACAACTTTTCAACAAATCTTTCTCCGAATTTGTTTTTAATAAAGTACTCATATGAAACTCTTGGCGCTCTAGAAAAAATGTTAGCTGTTTTAAATTTGATTTTTCGAAAAAAGTCATATTTTTAAAATTTCCTTTTGCCTCTAATTTTCTACTTTTTATCGAAAAGTGTTCTAAAATTTTATTAAACACTGCTTACATAGTTTTTCTATTTGAACCTAAAATTTATTCAAAAAGAAAAAACACTATATTTCCATTTTTTTTACCGCCAATGTACGGAAAAACTACAAAAAAAAAAGTCGAAAAGGGGCGCCCCGTAGCGCAACAGGTTGTGTGCCTATCTACGGTCCACAGGGTCACAAGTTCGATCCCCGACCCAACCAAGGGGTTTAAGAAATGTTGATAGTGGGAAACCACGGCTTCATAATCCCCAGCCGTCACACACAAGGACGGATATGTCACTCGAGCCACTCCACTGATATCAGGATAGGACCTCGGCTAATCGACTTGGAGCGCCGACGCCGCTCAAGCGGTACAAAGGCGTAGGAAGAAGAAGAAGGAAAATTCGAAAAGGAATTCGTCGAAACCGAAAAAATGTTGTCGGAAAGTGCCCTAGCGATATGAAAAAGTAGTCAAAAAATGGAGTCATATTAAAAAAGCATCGTCATTTGCGATGAAACATGTACGCGAAATATATTGTAGCTTTGGGGGTGGAGTTAGCGGCTTGACATTCAAAATCTGAACGGAATAGAAACTTTGAAAATATAGGGCTTTCCGCTCCAAAACATGATTTCACTAAAAAAATTTTCCAATAGCCCGCTTTCAAGTCGAAAATCTTGAACATTGATCAGACAGTAACTGATACAGCCCAATCCGCGCTAGCTTGTCACGTTTTTCCTCCCGCCGAAAATACTGTAAACCAATTCGATCAAAATTGAGCATCTTCGCTTTAAGACTTTTGTTTTTCGACGTCTTCTCAGCTGTTTTGTAAAAAATGTGTGTTTACGGTAGCTTTTTATTTTCTGTTATTTTAAAACGTGACCGTCACGAACTATACAAATAGTTCACGAAAAAATTTTTACGAATTTCATAAATTTAAAAAAAAACTTGAAAATAGAATTAATAACTTGCCTGAAAAGCTTCTTTCGAGTGATAGTTAAAGTCTTTGAATTTACCTTCGATGGCGTCGTCAACGAATAGTTTTTTCTGCCCGATTCCGACGATGCGCCTTACTGCTTTCCATCTCACGAGTTCTGACAATTGAATTATTTTTTTAAAAAAGATATAGCTCTTTCGCGAATGTCTTTGGTTCTTATTTCTTGTTTCTCCAAGTTTGAGAGACCGAAAAAACGTGCGATGCTTGTCACATATTATTTTTCTTACTACGGGAATAATTTTCTATATTGATGTTCGAATTACGACTTCAAGCCAGTAGTGAATCGTCTATCGAAACGAGACAAATCAAACCACTGTGAACAGAAATTATAGTCTGTTTAGATTTTGAATGTCAAGCCTTGACTCAAACTCCACCCTAATGGCTCGTTTTGAAATGACGTCATTGTACTTGGCACACAAACAGGAACAGACTATAAACGGATTCGATTCATGAGAACCCACGGCGTTCCTGAAGGGAACTCGCAGGCGAGCCGATAAATCGTGTCATTTTACCGCGCCCTTGCGTTCGTTGGAGCGTATTTGCGCAACAGAATTTTTTTTTGAGAGTTCAATTTCTCAAAATTTCGTTTTTATCTTTTGCTGAGACGTTTCGATCGAAATCATAGTGTTTTATGTGATTTCCAATGTTTCCCTGTGGAAGCTTTTAAATCATAACGAAGCTGTTTAATGAAATTTTAGAGGAAATTATCCTCATAATTGCTTCTCAGTCTTCAAATCGGTTTTACGAAAAATTTTCAGCTACAAGCATATGGTATTTATTGTTTAAAAAGATGAAAGAATGCAATTAATACATAAAAACAAAAACAATTGAATGAATATTTTTGAGAATTTGTAACAAAAATCACATAGAATAACGATAAAAAAACGCCTATTTTTTGCGTAGTTCTGCCATCTTCGTTTGCGCTCTGCTCTAAAAATTTTTTTCCAATATTTTAGCTATACAAATTCTCTTCAATGCACCTCTGTGAAAATTTGAGCTATTAAAATAAAAGATTGGCCGATAACCACACACGCCCAAAATTTGACAAATTTTCGGAAAACCGAGTTTAAAATTATCTTTGCCAATAAAATTTTTTTGAACAATTTAAAATAGTAGAAGAACATATTCGACACAGAAATTAAGTGAGAAGACGTCAAATACATGGCAAAAAGTATGTAAACTCGCGAATTATTGCTTTCTAATTGATAATTTTAAAAAAAGGCGGAGTTAAAGTTTTACTCACAAACCTACTTTTTCTGAACTTTGTCCATGATTTGCGTTTAAACTCGAGTACTGAACAAGCTCGAAGTTTTAAAAATTTTATGATCAGCGCTTCCTTTCTAATAGAAAAAACAGCAACAAAAAACATGTAAACTCATAATTTCACGAAAACTAAGGCAAAATTGAATAATTGTTTATTATAAAAATTCATCGAGTGCTTTTTCTCACTCCACTTGGAGCTGGAGGACAGGTCCCAACACAGCGCTGATCGAGCCGTCGGCGTGCACAGTCTTGACGAGCTAGAATAAAAAAGGGTTAGAAGAAAAAATGAAACTTTGCCCAGAGTTGGAGAAAGTGTCAAAGTTATTTTCGAATATCAATTCAAAAATCAGGACCAAAAAGCCGCATTGCTTACGTTATCGCCCTTTTCATATGTCCCCTTGTCAGCTCGTGTCGCCTTCTTGATCACCAAGACACCGTTTTTTGCTTCGTAGTTGTTCGACTTGACCCGTTTGCCATCCTGAACTAGCTACAACACTGAGAATAATTCAGAAACTCACGTCGGTGACGAAGAATCCGGCGTCCTTGCCTTGAAAATGGAAGGTCTGACGGCCGGCGTCTACATTGCGTACCAGGGTGTCAGTCTTGCCCAGATCGACTTCGACGCGTTCGCCGGCCTCAAACCGTTTATCGACAATCATTTTCTGATTTCCGATCGCAGTTTTCAAAATTGAAAGCAGGCGGAACGAGGTGAGTCATTGAGGCGGCAAGAAAGCTTGTTTGTTCACGAGGAACGGATTTCGCAATCCCAGAAGGTTTTTCCGCTTTTCTTCGAACTCAAATTGAATTTTTTTCTCACCTTAGCCTTCTGAGAAGCAAGCGAAGCATCAACGAAAGCCAGAAGAACGGCGATTCCAACGACGTAGTGGAGCAACATCTTAAAAATGGAATATTTCTAACGAGCGTTCAAGAATGAAAAGAGAAAAATGGAGAATTTTACGACGATAGCAGCTTTGTGACAAGGAAGAAGGAAACAATAAACGTGTGTCAAGGTCAAAGGACACTCACGCCCATCAGTTATTTTTCCCAGAGCAAAGGTCGAAAAAACACAGGCTTTTTGTAGTCTCAGCATTTTCGAGAAAAAAGCACTTCTAGCTCAAATTTTCTTTTGATGAGTCAATGCTAAAAGAAAGGAAAAGCAAAAATAGAGAAGGTAGAAAAAAAGGGGAAAGTTTGCTTTAGTGAGGTAGGGCAAGCATCGATTTGTGAAAAATTAGGCGGACGGTTAACCTTTTATTGGTCTTCCCTTTGAAAAAACGAACAACTGACTGAGAAGAAACTTGGGAAAAAATGAAAGAAGTTAGAAAACCTAGGAGACGGCTGTTATAATGGCCATTATTACAACAGTGCGTTTTGTCCAGACCTTGGTTCAATCATGGCAAACAAACAAAACTTTACAAAATATGAACCGATCCTTCTGAAAACCCTTGAAACACGAAATGACGGAAATTTCTTGAAATAAATTTGCTTATACTCCTCGAGAAAGCGTTCAATCAGTTGATTCAACCACAATCTCATGTCAGTTCACAAACATATTTATGAATCCTGAAGTGGACGTCAACTTCCTGGAAACCTCGAGTCTATGTGGATCCAAGAACTCAAATCAAGCGAAGCTCAAATTTCGCAAACTTATAGGGGTATCACTAAATATGGAACGGCCTTCATATCCCTGTATCTTATTTTCAAAAAAGTTTTAGACAATTTTAAAATAAATTTTCATTATTCAACTATCAAAAATAAAACGTGCAAAAGGTTTTTTATTTGGCCTTCTTCGGCCTCGATGATAGCCTAAAATCTCTTGTGGATCGTTATGTTTTTTGGACGCAGGTTTTTACACACGTTCTCTGAGAAAATCGATGACTTTTCAGTAATAAAAAGCAAAACAAAATAAGTTTTTTTTTGATTTGCCTCAAAATGTGATCACGGCTCACACACGTGCTTCTGCTTATTTAGCACCAGGTTCCAGGTGGCTCCGCCCCTTTTTAAAAAGATACTGTAGACAGTAAGCTGAATAAAATTAATTTTTTTCCTGTTGAGAATTTTCATTCAAAAATGCTTGCAAATGTAAGAAAACACTATTTTGAGTATTTTTTCAGTTGCAACATTTTTTCTAACTCGACTTCTTCGGGGAGAGAAAAATCGAAATTTCCTCAAAAACAGCGATTTTTTCAGTTTTTGAGCCATAGCTAGAGTAAGAACCCCCCTATGGTACGAGTTTTATTTCTGATTATGAAACTAGGGGCCTTCTTCTTCAAGAAAAAGTAGTTCTACAACAAATCCCTGGCGTGGGATAGGTGACATTCGACCGAAGGTGATCAACTTGAATCGGCTCAAAATTCAAAAAAATCATTTTTCTCCTAATTTGACGGCTTCTTCCTCTTTTTTGTTTTGAAAAAGAAGACAACACTCATGTTCATGTCCTCCACCATTTTGGTGCTCAAAGAAATTTTTATTCCGAGTTTCTCGAGACTTTTCGAATTTTAGGACTTTCGTCGATTTTCGATTTTTTCCGTTTTCAGGTAGTTTTTTCTGTAGGAACCCCCGAATGTGGTCATTATCTTTTGGTATATGAAAAAGTAGGTCTTTCTGGATAAGGAAAAATTAGTCCGGTAAAAATCTCTGGGGTGGCCCAGTTGACCTCAGACCGCCTGAAGGTGGACCCCAAAAATGGAACTTTCACAAAGGCTCGGAAAACAACTTTTTTTGTTTCTATTCTCACAAAATGCTTTTTCGGTGAGACCTACATCACTTTTCGACAGGAATCGAAGCCTTCTTCGGCAAGAAACAAGTAGTTTTATTCAAATTTGAGGCTTGGCACGCTTATCTTCGTTTTCACCTTTCTTACCTGCTCTAAATTGCTGAAGTAACCTGAAAACCCGTTCAAAAAGATTTTAGGGAAACCCAGCAAATGTTTGAATTTTTTGAACACCTAAGCAAATGAAATCGGGGTTAAGAAATGGCGAAAAAAGCTTTTTTATCAACTTTTTCAAGAAATAAAATTACCTTATGAGATTCAGAAATGTCGATGATTCTCAAAAATTATTTTTTCGCCAAAATATAGTAACTGACAGTTTTTTACTTTTTCAATCGAGTCTATCCATACACTTTTTTCGTGAAATTGAGGTTTCTGAAGCTTTTAGAAGTTCTTGTAATAAAATTCAGGTTCTATTTTAGAGTTCTCAAAAGTAAATGTTTGAACGAACGTTCAACCAAACATTTTCCGAACGTTTGATGAATTCGACCAATTAGTTAAATTTCACTTGAACCGTTTGTTAAAAAAACTTCATTTTGGTTAAATTTCATAACTGAGCATTTAAAAAAATGAACAATTACTTATTTTTTTCGAAAAAAATTTTTGGTTAAAAAAATGAACATTTAAATTTCACTTTGAAAAATTTTTGGTCAAAAAAAGTGACCATTTACTTTTTCACTTTGAAAAAAATTTGGTCATTAGGACGAACATTTATTTACTAGTCAGAATATGATTGTTTAGAAAATGACCATTTATTTTTTTCAGTCATTATTTGAAAAAGTCATAAAATGAAAAAGAATGAAAGTGATCAATTTTTGGTTGATCTTTCAAAAAAACGACATTCGTTTGAAATGTCAAAAAGAAAAATTTTTTTCGTTTTTTTGAAAAAAATGTCATTTTTTTCAATTGGTCATTTTGAGAACTCTACTCTATTTGTGCTGCAAAGTTCCTACAAAAGTTTTTTCATGTTTTTCATTCATTTACAGAACAACTCAAATGAAAAAAGGTTTTTAAAAAATGCATTTTTTGACCTTAGAAGCGTTTTAATGCATCTTCCGGATTAAAGTCAGGTTTATCAAGTCTATCTTTTTTCTTTCTATCAAATTTCATCAATAGTTGTTTTTTTCAAAGAGTAACTGCTCTTGCTAGTTTCTATCTATTCTGAATTCTTATTTTTTTACCATTGCATTTCTGAGAAGAAACAAGGAACGCGTCAAAAATTGATTTTGTAACTTTAATTGCTTTTCAATTTTTTCAAATTGGAACAGTAGGACTTCCATTTCTCTCCGTTATATAGTATTTATGTGTGAAAAATATTTTCGACGGGTTATTGAGACGCCTGTATCGATACGAGAGAGATATCTCACTTGGTCTCCATGCACGCGTCTTGGCCACACGCGTGAGGCTCACGAATAAAGACTTCCTGACAGTCTGCCGGTGACTCTTGCGGTGTAACAAAATTGATATTTTTATTTTTCAATTTTCAAAATTGAATTTGTTTACAAAAAACTTTTAGTATTGAACATTAACAAATTCAGTTTTGGAAATTGAAAAATATCAATTTAAAAAACTTTAAAACCAATTTTCAAAATTACAAAATCAATTTTTAAGGCGTGCGCATTTCTTTGTTCCTTCACAGAATTGCAATGGTAAAACAAAGGAAAGGAGATTTCGCGCCAGCTTCCCAATTTTTCTTCTCTCCGAGCTATTCCCTCACACAGAATCCATCTTTTTGACGACGAGAAGGGCTCGGAAGAAAAAGAAATGGTGACAAGCTGGCGCGGAGTGAGTTTTTCTTTCATTTTGCTTGCTGTGCTGCCATGTGAAGAAACGAAAACAAAAATCACAATGAACAAATAATCTCATAAATTGGGCCAGAAATGTTTATTGAATGTGGGCTGAGATGAATGAAATAACCAACCTCTTTTAACAAAGCAACAGTTTGAAAGAGGACGACAGATCCATGGAGACTGGGAGAAGCAGTTTCGGCACTACTCGAACCTGTTTCTGTAAAACAAGGATACCAGAGCTGCTGACGAGCTGCCCCGCTGTTTCGAGCAGTCGCTCCGGGGCGCCCCGCCCCGCTAAGCGAATAAATTGAAATGAAAAACAAGTGAAATAATCAGCGGAGAAACGGTTGAATCTGTCGGTGGGTGAAAAGGGAAAATCATTTATATCTTTGAGTACCTGAGGAGAAATCTGCTATAGTCAATGTTTCCCGACTTGCAAGTTTTATGAAAGGCGAGGGAGGCGGGGAAAGGGGCGCGACGTGTAGCGTGCGCGTACGCGGTTCTTGGAACGTGTTTAATTCAACCGCCAGAGACTCTTCGGACAGCCCGTTTTTCGCTTTTTTCATTCCTTTTTCAATTGTTTATTGATTATGTTCATTTGTGTATCAAAAAATAGTAGAACACATTGAAAAAGAGCGAAAAACGGGCTTTCTAAAGAGTCGCTGGCGGTTGAATTGAACTCGTGCCGAGAACCGCGAACGCACACGCTACGCGTCTCGCCCCTTGCCCCGCCTCCTTCGCCTTTCAAGTCGGGAAACATTGACTTATAACAGTGTGACTAATTCGCTGGTCGGGGCGCTCTCGATATTTCGAACTGCTTTTTCAATTCGAGAAATTTTCATTATTACCTGAAACCTGCATTAGATGCTGATTTGAGACTCTGTCGACGTCCTTGAGCTCGGTTTCCAACTTGAAGACTGAAAAAGTGTATTAAAATCATTATAGAAATTAGCAGGCATATCAACTTGAAAAACCTTATAGGTATTTCACTAGAGAAATTTTCATGCGCAGAAACTTAAGATTCAATTCATACTCTGAAAGATTGCTATAGCTTGAAACTAAAGCTATGTTTAGAAGAAGACTCAATCTCGCACTCTGCACACTTCACAAAATTGTCCTCAAGATAGATCATTTCCCAAGCGCTCACAGGTTTTTCAGAATCTCTCATTCGGGTCGGCATCCTCTGCGGTTAATTCAGGCTGGTCCTTTATGTGATTCTTTCTTTTCAAAACTGATTCCAATCTGGAACAAAATCTGCTCTAGATTCAACGTCTCTGTTCCTCCTAAAATTTTCAAATCTCATCTGGACAACATCCCCGACAATGAATTATTCATCAGCATCCCTAGACTTCGCGTTAAATCGCAAACCGCTACTCCCTGACGTCATCCCTATGACATCATCTTCATTTACAAAATTCGCACACGCAGCCATATCATTTTATTCATTTTTTACGTTCCAATTTATAAATTAGATTCGACGTGAAAACTTTTCCGGTCACATGAGAAGCAGAAAGATATCACACTTGAAAATCCGCTTTTGATTGGAAACTTTTTTTTATTCTTCTATTTTCTTATTTTTTTTAGAAACCTTTTGAAGGTTTGGAATATTCCTTGCCGTCGAGGCCCACGCTTACGCACAGTGTGCTCCTTTAAATTTTTTTCTTTTTTTGGGAAATACATTTCACAGATTTTTTCGCTACGCGTATCAAGTTTGCAAATCGTTTAGAGCTACCTGATAGTGTTATTAATGTCCACGTTTTGAAACTAAATGCCTTCTATGTCAAGTATTCATTTATTTGACGAATTTTTTCACTGTGGCTCAGTTTTTTTCGAAGCGAGCCACAGTCGGCTTCGCGCTATGCGCGCTCCGCCTCCGTGTGAAGCCTTAAAACTAAGCCTATTTTCTTAAGTAATGCATGAACATGTAGGTGCAGTTTTAATGCAAAGGCGCAATTCAGGCCCTTCCCATTCTTCAATTTTTTTTCAATTTCAATTTCAATTCAATTCATTCAGTCTTCAGAGTAAGATGAAGAAAATCTCTGCTGAATCATGGTATAATCGAAGAGTTAGTCGTCGGCGCGGGTTACGGTCCACAATTGTTGTCCAATACGTCCCGGAGTGACAGCTAGCGTTGGGAAATAATTTTGGCCCGTTAGTAGTACCAGCGAATAAACTGCTTCAGCATGTTGGAACAGTACGGCGCCCAGCTTGTCCAGGGCTGACGGGCGTCGGAATATTATCCCATGAGAGAGCGGCAAAGAGACCGACCAGTCGACGTGTTGAAATGAGATAATAATAATCTACTGAATCATGTTCACGTGAATAAAATGAATATATAGCCAAATATTTCAATTACGCTTATTTCTTGTGTTACGAATGATGTCATGAAATCACGTCAGGGAGTAGCGGTTTGCGATTTAACGAAAACTTCATCCCTAGACGGCTACTATGATCTCAAAAATCTCAATATGCTTATACGTGTATTTTATCAACTGTGATATCTATTGTATTCCCTATCCGGTGAAGTCACTCGTGAGGGTGACCTTGAACCGGTTCTAATTTATTTATTCTTTTTCACCTTGTGGATGAATAAATTATTATTATTATTAATTTTTTTAATTGTAAAATAAAAAAATCGTTGATCAAAAGGAGTTTTTTTCAGAGTCTCAATGATAAGCTTGGAGAATTAGAGAGTGACAAGAACTAACTAAACGGCGCGCTAGAGCTCCGCAAGGCCTCTTCAGCTGAGAATCCTAGACATCGCAGGCCTTTTTCGACATTTTTCGAGGGAGTCCCATCATCGCTTTGTCAGTATCGCACTGCCAACAGTTTCTGCCTCCGTCCTAGGAATGGACTTTGACTTGTCTTTGCGTATCCAATGCACTGGGAGCGCAGAGGATCGGCACTCCGGTAGTCCCGCGGGCCTAATCTACAAGCGCTTAGGTTTCACGGAACACTTATGAAAACAAATGAAAGAATGAGAAGAATGAGAACTTATCTGAAAATATCGTCTGGGAGCAGGAAAGGACGGCGAGTTGAAACGAAAGTGAATGAAGAAATGATTTGGAAAGTCACAAAAACTAGAAATGACACGCCACGTGGCGTGAAGCTGGCATCTGACGTTCATTTGCTTTTATTATATTTCACGTTTTTTCTACATTATTTTCAAGGAAAACGTCAAGTTAATTTTTATATCAATTCCTCAAAATCCAACTATCTGGTGCTTTGCTGCATTCTTCTTCCGTCGTAGTTTTGGGAATGCATGAGAATAATTCTACATAATTTAATAACCTGAAATAAATTAACTTCTTGCTTTCAGTTATCAATGAGTGAGATTGAAAAAGCCATAAAGTGTGGTCTCTGTAGGTGTAGTCAAATCAAATTATTCAAATTATTTATTTTGTTGTTGTAGTCATAAATCTAATCGACTAAACGGTGAACAAAAACTTTTGAAGCTATAATGAACAACCGCATTTTGCGAACTAGAAGTCCGAACGTGTAGTTGAAAAAGTTAAAAACATGGTCTTACGGTCCTTCGCCTCGTAGTCTACCCAGTTGCGCCTTGACGAGCTCAAAGTAAAAAACAGAATAAATCAATAAAAATTTGAAAAAAAAGATAGAAGTTCAAAAAAGAGGTGAAAGACACTATGTTTGGAAGAGGGCCGGCCCGGCCCATTATCCTATCTATCCAACGTCCGTTTTTGAAGCCCGACCCGGCCTCAAGCAAAAAAACAGCCTTCTCGGCTTAAAACCTTTATTGTATTATATTTTTATTATTTTTTTGAACTTTTCTCAAAAAACTTGAATAAAAGTTTATGAAAAAAAAAGAATGAAAACACAATTTTAATGTTGTTTAAGGACTAATGACGTTGAGATGAAAAGTTCGACTTTGCCTATTGGCGTTTGATTCATCCGGCTGCAAAACTTTTAATTTGTGCTTGCAAAAAGTACAAGTATATACTTTGAATTGGTTTTTGTAGATCCCTTGGTCGACAAATCTGACCTTTTTGATTAAAAGCTTCCCGTCTTTTATTTGGTAATTTTTAGAAGAAAACTTGTTTTCTTTCTGAAAACGTTTTTCTAGAGAACTTTTGTCAACTGAAATTGTTTGACAATCAGTTAGAGCAAGAAGAATGTGAAATCAAATCACCGAATCCTCGAAAGTTCCCGAGTTGTTACCGGAAAAGTAAAACTTCTGAGGTCCCGCGGGAACATAGCGGATTAGGAACTCTGTAGTTCCTAGAAAATCAATAACGACTTCGTCTCCAACCTCAAATTAAAAAAAATGAAAAAAATCTGAAATGAAAAATGTTGAGCTAACCCGAACTGTTGAGAAATAAACTGTCTGGTCGGAGAAGACGAAAATGGGGAATAGGAGGAACTCGTAGATTTTCATGAAGAACGAAGATTTAAAATAATAATCATCACTTCTCATCCAAGATTGTTTTTCTTAACGTGAGAGGTTTCGATTTATTCGATTTAGGTTTTTATATTCAAAAGCTGGGCGCTCGTAAATTATTAACAATTGGTGATCATATGTCCGAGAATTGCAGCAGGAAGCTCATTTACCCTGCCCACCTTGAGAAACCTTTTTGTGCTGTACGAAATGGAGTCTCCCAAAAGTTCGTTCAACTTGCGAGCCGTTGGATATCAGTCAGACCCGCCTTATGCGATGCTTTCCGACCTTTGCTGGAATTTCGACTGTCCCAATCCCGGTTTCGAGGTAAGCTTTCACGATGACACTAGCACATTTTTTGAGATTGAATTCCTCAAAATGACCCTTGAAATCATGAATTCCTCGGCGACTATAGTTCAAATCGACGCAGACATGGACACTTCAATTGAAATGGTATTTCTTTTCATCTCTTGTGATACTTTCAACGTCAATTTAGTTGTCAAAAATTAAATGAAAACAATTTTCCCCAACTGGAAAGGGCGAGATGGGTTGATTGGCAATGGTGAGCGTCGTGTGTGCGACGCGGCTCTTGGCGGGGAGCTCGAAGTCAAAAACGAGCCTTTTTCTCGTTTCTTGACAGTTTTCAATAATTTTTAATTTTTTTATAGGTTCGAAAAAGATCAATTCGAACAAAAAAATCTATTAAAATATTAAAAAAACTTAATTTTTTTAAAATTATTGCGTTTGACCTAGAACTCCCCGCCAAAAAGCCGCGTCGCATACGCATCGCTTCCCCCTTACTAATCTACCCATATCGCCTTTCAAGTCTTTGGATCTCTCTTTGGCAAAATCATTGAAAATTGTCTCATCAGAAATAATTCGAATCTTCTTTTTGAAAATTTTATTGATAAATGCAGATTGCCAATGGTTCAGCAGACATAACGTTGATCTCAGCTCGTCAGACTTTGGATCGCATGGATAAGGAACTTGTCAAGAGCAAAAAAATCAATTTCAATCTCTTTCTTTTCAGGTCCACTTCACCACTCCGGTTGGATTTGTTTACTACGGCTATTTGATAAAACAAGTACCCGAACTGCAAATCAACAACTACATTCTAGACGCTTTCAACTGGGGAGTCAGTCTGTTGAGCCGAGTCTCAATCCAAAAAGGTTCACAGGCACTTCTCCTTCTCATCATTTCGGGAGTTACAATTGGCGCCTTGATATACTTCTACTCGTTCTTCTTGTTTGGCAGATCTACTTATTCCTTAGTGAACTGGATGATGATCGCTTGTCGAGGTTGTGGAACCTCCTTCACAACTTCAACTTTTCCCTTTCAGGCATTTTGAGACAGTTCTTTTTCTACATCAACAAACCTATTTGTGCTTTAGTTCTTATTTGCACTTGGCTATTCGCTTGCCTCATTATAATAACTTATTATGAAGCAAAACTAAAGAGTTTTCTGATGCTTTCCCATCAGCAAGGGACGATTTTTCACAGTTTCGACAAGGTCCTCGATGCAGTCGAGTTTGATGTGCTACTGATGGATTTCATTGAGAAAACGTGAATCTTCTCAGGGCTGGACCATGGTTTATCAGGAACGGGGATACTCTCCACAATTATTTTGTCGAGAGCAGCAATGCGAACGGCTGAATCGTCTGAGCAGCAGGTTTTTAGCAACCCAAATGGACTTGCATTGATCAAACTCGTTCCACAGTAGGATGATCACTATTTCGGAAGATGACGACTGGTCCAACTATATAAAACTCGAAAAACACGTCGGCTTCGTGGCTTTTGCCCTCGATGTTGCCCCGTTTGATATGGTTACCGTGGACATTAAGGAAAAAGTCGGTTGTCTTGGATTTTTTATAGAATTGATTGGACGCTTTCTTTTTCAGTTGATATTCGTTCGCGATCGCGTCTTAGCGCCTGACTTTTTAGCGTTTGCGGTATCAAAGTAATTAACTTATTAGCCGATTTCTCAGTCTGTATTTCCAGAAAAGTAAGAGGATTACGAGAAAATTTTAACCGGGCTGTCGCTTTATCAAATGATGGGTATTTTGATTGTAACCACTCCTGATTCGAAAACTCGTTTTCAGGTATGATTCGGTTCAAGGAAGGTACACCGTACCATATCCTCAGTACGCTCCGGTGCTAGAGCAGAAGGTTTTCCGACATTTTTGTAAAATCAGAAAAAGATTATTCATGCCTTTTACAGGCGATGGTACTTCAGACGTCTCATTTTCTCAACCTTTACAAAGTTTCTGGATTATGTTTCGGAGTAAGCTTTCTGGTCTTCTTTGGAGGTCTGAGACACTCCATATATCTGAGTAATTCGAACTTTGCAGAGATTGCCTTCTGTCAGATTTTAGCGAATTGGAAAGTGTTAGGGCACAGCGACAGCTACTCTCTGAAAGGCTTCGATTGGCGATTTCGAAGACCTCCCTGGCAGTTTAAAGCCGATTATTTTCCACGCAAAGGCATGGTTATACTTCCACCGAAAAGAAAATACGACAGCAATAACTTGTTCAAATTTTCAAGCACCTGATATTCTTCGAATATATTCTAGACATAAAAACAATCGCCAGCTTGTTAGGGGTTTTTTTTTTGCTTAAAAACATGGAGGTTATTCGAAAAAACAAAATGCTTCATTTAAGTCAAAGAATCAGCAGTAATACTGAGGTCGTTGGTGCAAGATTGTTCTAAATTGGAAGTCGTACGAGTGAGAAACTTTCTCAACAAATAAATAAAATTTCGAACGTATTAATCGCATTTTCGCAAGCTTTGTACAGACATCTCGGCACGATGGCGCTCAATTGAAGCGTTGTTGCCTCTGTTTTTCGCGTTTACTGAAAAAGGAAACATTTTTCATCTTAGACACCGGAAACGAACCAATCGCGCTTGACGCTCGACCCACGAGTTGATGGACGAGCCGATTTTTTCCTTTTCCTCTTGGTCTTCTTCTCCCTCTTCAGTGGTGACTGGCTGAAAATACCGAAGTTCAATGGTAATAAGTGAATCGAACAAAAGAAGAGATAAATAATGAAAGTGTGAAAGCCAAACCTTGCGAGCCTTGACTGGAAGACCGATGGCAGCAGCTGGCCAGTTGGCGGTCATTCTCATCACCTCGGGCCAGTTGGCTGGAACTGGAGGCACGTAGTTGTAGAAAGGAGTAGCCGGTCTCCAGGCAGCTCCATAAGTCGACCCTGAAACAGGAAAGATAGTTCAAATAGTGTAGAGTTGCTGGAGTAACGGAAAAGGGAAAAAATATGATTTGAAGTTATATCAATTAATATGCGTCGAAGGTGGAGAGAAACCTATTTCAAATGCCTAGCAGATCAGCGTTCGCAAGGTTTTAGTTTTTTAGAAGTTTATGAAGCCTTTTTTTCCCTCTAAAGTAGTCGAAACTCGAAGCTGACCTCAAGTGTCAGTATAAAAAAAACTTGAGTATGTGTTTGGAAAAAGTAGGCTATCAAGACCGCTGTCAACTCAAGATTCAGAGTTTTTCAGTAAATGAGTTCAAGCTATTCGCAGTGACGTCATCTTGTGCTCCTTCTGGAAGAGGAATCAACAATCACGGAGCTGTTTGCACAGTCTGCAGCCTTGAAAAAAAAAAGCCGAAACAAGCTCATTTGCTCTCCGTTATTTTGACAGTTGCTCAAAGGGGCTATTGTTTACCCCAAACTACACTTCATTGCGGCTAGTTTTGAACAACCGCTGAAAAAATGGCTCAAATGGGAAAAAGTTCTCTCTGAAAACTTTCAGTTTTTAGCTCTTAGAAGTCGTTCAAAAAAAAAGCTGAATGCAAAGCGACTCACAGATTGGGCAGCAGAAGTAGGGTCCGATATCGACGCTGTTGGTGGCGTAACAGTAGCTTTGCGGAGGGCACTGAGGCCATGGTCGTTTCGGATCACACTCGATAGGGAGCGAAGGTCCTCCTGGACACTGTCCGACTGGAGCCACTGGAGCAACGACGGCTGGCTGGAGAAGAGGAGCCACGGGAGCGGCCGCCAATGGAACGGCTGGACGAGCGACCATCACTGGAAGATGGAAAAGTCAAAAAAAACGTCTCGATGTGATAAGGTTTGAGGACTTTTTTATATGATAAAAGATTTTTCAATTTTTCAATGAATTCCATCGAGAATGGTAAGAGTGAATATTAAATGGCTGAAAGGTAGGACAAAAATGAGAGCCGATTTTTTTTTGAAGAAGAAAAAACAGTAGGAAAAAAAATTAACCATTTAAAGAATTTTTGACATACAATTTTTTGAATTTTTGGCCTTTTGTTCATAACTGAAGCATTGATAATATTCTCACTTGGAGCCGCCGCTACCACGGGAGCCGCAGCAACCACGGGAGCAGGCGCAAACACAGGGTTACGAGGAACTTGAGCCGCACCAGCTAAAGGAGAGATGTACTGTCGTCGCTTCTCGCTTTTGCCGTCTTCTAGAAAATGAGGAACATTCTGGATTGTAAGTTTGGCTTGAACTGATAAAAAAATAAAACACCTTTCAGAACAAACAGAAGAAAGTAAGAAAGTAGGAGAAACTCTTACCATTTGAGGGAGCAGCGAGTACAAACGCCACGAGGCAGGACGTGGCGAGAAGCTTGGAGTACATGAGAAGGAAAGTCGGCCGAAGCGTCGGATGCGGTTTCCGGCCGGCGACTGTCGCCTTTATACCCAGCAGGACGACCCTCGGAATTGCCACGGCCGACTGCGCGTGGAGCACGCCCCTCCGTCTTTCCGCGTCCGGAACGGCAACGCGTCTCCTACTTGACCATATAAGGAAGAAAGCCTCATTTGGACTGAGGTACCAAATAAAAAGAAGTTTTATTAAAAGCTTCTTCGTTTAAAGAGAATTGATCCAAAGACAGTTTTCATCAGAAAAAAGCTAGTGTCTGAATGAACTTGTTAATGATTGATTTATCTTCTCTAGCTCGAAAAGTGATAGCTTCCACGATCTTCTACCTTGCGGAGAAAGTTATGTAAAGTACAACGCAAATCCAAACATGAAAACTGTCCCATCGGTTCTTTTCTTACTTCCACAAACTTTAACTGCATGAACCACATGAGAAGGTATATAACACAGTCTATTCAGACATTTTTCACGGATATATTCGGTCCACGGCGTTGCCAAACGGGGTCGGAAGACGTCAAAAATCGGCGCAAAAATTGAAATCTCAAGTACGCAGCCAAAGGCGATCAAACAAACAAGTTATTAACGTTGAATACTCATGTAATTTGTGACGTAGAATGACGTCATTTTATCCGGATTTTGTAAATTGTAAAAAGTTTGACGCCTCGCTCACCTTCCCTCACCCCATTAGGAATGCCGTGGGTCTTTTATCCCTGCTCGGCTTCTTTTTCCGTGCATTTTCAAACAAGGAAAATCTCTATAGTCTTTGCACTCATTTGCAAAATTGTGAAGAACTTCGAAAATAACTTTTGAGTTAATTACAATTGATTGGCCTAAATTAATTTTTTTTTAGTAATATTGATGAGATACTCCGACTGAAAAAGGAGAATTGAAAGTTATATGTTTTTCTTTCATGTTGCCCTCTTTTTCTTTAAGTTTTTCTTGCAACTTTGCTAAAACCGGTGGGACAGAAAAAAAAAGTCCGCTTACGGATCGGTCAAACGCAAACAGAGTGTTGCATTTGGCGATTCGCCAGGTACTCTTCAGGCATTCAAAAAAAATCGGTTCTACTATAGAGACTCAAAATCGAACATTTTTTTGCGATTAATTCTCAAAAAAACATACATTTTTTTATAAGGGTAATGAGAAAATATTGAAGCCCATCTTGTAAACTGAAATTTATCAAACTAGACAAAAATGAAAATTAAATTTCAACTATCTGATAAAAGATATCTTCTAGATTAATCTGAAACCTGGAACCTATTCACGAAACGAGAAAAAAAAATATATATTAAAGGTCCACCGCTTTTCAAATAGACAATACTGTCTAGTAGGCTCTTTGTGGATTTATAAACGCTTGTTGAGGTCCTTCAAGGTGTAAGTTTCCAGTATACAGCTTTTCTTAAAAATTCGCAGAATAATCGTTCTGAGCAAAAAAAAAAAACGAAATTTTGTTTGGATTCAGCTTTTGCAGCAAGCAATTTGAACAAACTGCAAAAAAGTTTCAATAGTGCATTTTTTATGTTCTCCTATTTCGATTTCGGAAAACGATTTTTAAAAAAACCCCTTTTTTGAAGCGTCCTCATTTAGTTTTCGAGGAAATCTGATTCAACTTCCCATTTCTAGGTTATCTCTTCTGGCGGCCGTCATCCCGGAAACTTGACCTTTTGATTTGCTTCTTTGACCATTCGATTGGCCTTCAACACACTTGCAAAAAAGTTCAGAACACACATTTGGGAAGACTCCCAATAGACAAAAGCCGTCCGGACAGGTATTTTCGTTGCACATTCCCAGACGGCATCGGCCTTTTTGCACGGCGGAGCATCGTGTTTCAGCCTGTGCCCGCACAGTTTTTTGCCACTTCTTTTCACTTTAGAGAACAAGCCGCTCAACTGAAATTAGGCGCTCAAAACGGTCAAGCAGTTTGAGCGCGTCATCTCTCCTGCCGACTTCTTCTTTTCTTTTTTCTAAATAACAGGATGACCTAAAAAATCAAGTTATCGAATCTTCTGAAGCTTCCGGTTTTTGTATGAGACAATTTCTGTTTATAGAATTTATTGCGAAAATAAGTAAAAACAATTTTCATCAATCTATTTTTTTGCTAAGCCATCAACTTTCGAAACCAAAAAAATATTTTGAAGATCGATACGACTTGGAGACATAAATTTACTTAACAGCTCTTCGCGGCGATTTTCAAGCTCATCTCAGAAATTAGCTGGAAAAATCACGCCCTAATGATGTTCTTCTTCTTCAGAAGCTCCGCTGTGTCTAACCTTGGAGATTCTAAAGAACTTTAACGTCTTCTCAAGGCTTTTGCGTTAGGCTGTGCCTCAATTCTGGAATATTCGTCCTCCTGCGGGGGCTTGGGCCAGGCTAGATCTGCAATGGTGAATCGGGAGGTCGATGCAAGCAGGCCGGGTAGCGACCGCTTGTGAGGTAGCTACCGGGTAATAACTTATTAGCTACTTTCATGGTACAGGAAAGCACACCCTCGTCAGAAATCATACCCGGTAGCATCACGATACCTCTCCCGAAGTATTCAGGTACCAAAAAGATAGTACCCTTTTCTCAGAAAAAAAATTGCGCTTTTTGGCTCAGTTTTTGCTTGAGTCTTCAATAAGGCCGTGCTGAACCGGGATCAGAAAACGGTCGGGACCCCTCGCACACGCCTGGTCTTTTCATAGTTCCAAATGAATATTGACTATCGAAACTAGGTACGAAGTCTCTAACTTTTAGAATTCTTAAAGCTTAATTGATGTTCCATGCTTCGGCATGGAAGGCACAGTTTTAACCTCGAATGATGAGATAGACTGGCCGCAGAATAAACAAACACAGAGGTGTCACTGACAACGACGTGAAGAGGGGCCGAATTCTCGGATCCAATGAAACCAGGCGCTGCTCACGTACCTATCAAACGGCACTCACAGCGGCGCGGCTCCTTTGCCGAAAGAAAGATACTCGTTGACGCTGCAAAACCGGAAACGGCCGAGTGACGCACATTCGTCGTGCCGGAATACTTAGACTCACAGAGAAACGCATCAGCCAATTTAATAACTGAAAATTTCTCAAAGTTCCAGTTTCCTTATGGACGTAAACATTACTAAAAAAAAGATAAATTGACCAAAATTGCGCCTCTTCCTGAGAATACAGTAAATCAAACTTTTGAAGTTTAACCTGTACAGTAGGCTAATAAAAAGCGATGAAAAGCCGACCGGGAGACCCTCACTCAAAACTTTTTTTTATCAGGAAACTTCGTTTTAATAATAGGAACCAAATAACCTTCAAAGATAAGCTTACCAGCAAGTATAACGAAATACAAAAAAAATCATCTAGAGAAAAAAAAAGTTTCTTAACTAAAACACAGATTATTTTTCCAAGAAGCTCTTTACCTCTACCTCAAAAACTTTCATGCACAAGAAAGATACTATTTTCCGATCTTTCTAGGGAAATAATTTCCAGAAAATGGCATCCTCTAGATGATGTTTAACGAACGCGGCTTTTGGCCCGATTGCAAGTTGACTTTCAAACCCTCAAAGAGAAAAAGCGGAAAGCTTTCTTTCGAAAGTTTGAGTGATTTCGAAGTGTATAACTTTTTAAGGTACAAAAATAATCCAATCAAAACCACTGCTCATTTCTTTTTCGCTATCATATAATGGCGTATCAAAAGTAATTACGCGAAATTCAAAAAAGCCGTCAGAGAGTGAAAAATATAATTATAACTAAAATTTGGAGAGTCTAGAGATAACTTTGAGTTTCGCGGCAATTACTTCGAATACGGCCTAAGAAAGTCCGCTTTAAGAAATGCAATTAAACTGAAAGAAAAATATAAAATACCGATATAAAAAAATAGACAACACTAAGGCAACATTTTTTGAAGTATATAAAGCTCAGTTGCAGCTAGTGCGCTCGAAAGAGCTGGATTTTACATATTTTTAAAAAGTTTTTGAATTAATTTTTTTTATCTCTAAAATAGCTTTTTGTGAATGTTTCTTTTTTAATTTTCAAATTATTTTCTGTTCATTGTATCAATATTAAGGTTGAAGACGGAATACATCTTTCTACTATGTGTGCTCTACAGCTCGAAATGGGTTGGCAACATTTTTCTCTTTTTCTTTTCTATTCTGAATTCAGAAGAAGATTTCTGAATTTCTTAAGAAGAAGATTTCTGAATTAAAAAAAAAATATATGTGTATATGTTTCTTACTAAACAAAACATATTCTTGACAGGCAAAAAAAAAAATAGAACTCCACACACGAATCGGACAGGGGTATCGCGATAGTATTAGCAGTCTGTCGAGAAGTCTGAACCCTGACGATGGTACCGCGGTATACCACGTCTATACCTTGCGAACTTCTAGAAAAATTCGATAGACTTGCAGTATACCATTCAGCACTATCAGTATAGCTCCGATAGTGCTGAAGTATAGATCCGGCCGGAGATATGACGATGAACATATTATTGTACCGTCCTGATCCATTTTGAGGTGTATGATCGGTGTTATTTTATTACCTGACCCCGATTCGTCCGTGTCATTAGAATAAAAAAAGCGGGAGATGAATCATTTTTCTCGATAACACGCTATTCCCTTTTTTTGTGAATTGGAATTTTGCAGTTATTTTACTACAGAACTAGTTCTGTAGTAAAATATTTTAGTTAACTATGTACGAAACTGTTAGGATCAAACTGGATGAAATCAGCATCGAAACTCCGTTTTGAAATTATTGGGTCACGAATTGTTTCTTTTTGTGTTGTTAAAAGTGGTTTCTATATCAACGTTAAAGAAGGATCTGTTATTTTCATTCTCTCAAACAGTATAATGTTTTCCACATTTTTAAGAACGAAAAAGTTTTTTTAAAGCTACATCCATATCGCTATACAATTCTGTCAGAGTGGTTCCAACCTCGTGAGAAGAATTTCTTTCACCCAATTTATATTTTTATATTCATCAAATAAGGTCTTTTTTCCTAAACTCTCTCGTGCGGTGTAGCTGCGAAGAAAAAAGATCAGACGGCTTCCAAATTTTTCCACAAATTGAAGCAAAAGCTGTCAATTTGAATTTGTAACTCTGATTTTTAGAAGACCAGAATGAAGTCTGACTGCAACACGCTTTTTTTCAAAAATTGGATGACTTTTCATTGTCTGTACAGTAAGAAATTGGAAAACCCTTTTTTAGTTTTTATAAGTGTTTAACATCCCAGATTCTAAGGATTTCTATGATTTTTTTCTACATTTTTTTCAACTTATCGAAAAAAATTATTTAAATATGCTATCGCTTTTTTAGCTGATCAGTTTTTTCTCACACATGTGTGCGCGCCTGAAAGCTGAAGTTTCTTTCATTCGTAAAAAAATTTTTTTCAAGTACTAAAAGGTTAAAAACCGAACCTCCTGATTATTTCTCAGTTGTGAGACTTCAGAAATATATAACTTTAAGTTCGAAAGAATGTGTTTTTCAAATTTCCACTATCCTTTTTTCGTGACCAATTCCCTTTGAACAACTCAAAATGGCAGCTGCCAGTATTTTTTGTTAAGGTGTTCCCGACAACAAATGGACACGATTTCATTTCTTCAAAATAGGCTCACGAAAGCAGTCTCTGCTGCGAGAAATTCTGTTGAAAAATTCAAAAGGCAGCGAAAAATTAGCTCACAAACGTCTCTGCAAGTGATACCATGAACGATTGCTTCCCACGCCGGCAAAAAAAAAGCCGCAACCGACGTCGCCAATTTTCTTGAGATGAGACAAGCGAGTTATTAGTCTGCAAAAGGTCTTTGAGAAAAGTTTTCTTTCCTTTTCTGTTTTAGAAACCCCGCTTTCATCGAAAAAAAGTACAACAATTTAATTAAAGTTATTTTTTTTAAAATGAAACATATATTCCGAGTAACTTTTTTTATAACCTACCTTTGTAATAAAACTAATTATGGAAAAAAAGAAATATATCTATGTTTCCTCAATCATAAAAGTATTCTCTGAAAGCAACTTGTCTTGAATTCTGTGAAGATTCGCTTTGTTCATTGTTCTGCTCACTCCATTGAGCACGTCCTCTTTGCTCTCTGGCCCTTCCTGAAATTATCTCCAGACACTCGGCAACCAATTTTTTTTTGTTGTTTTGCACCGATACTGAAACGTTTGCTCTTTTTTCAATCTCTGTTTATTTTTATTGGGTAGCTCTGATGAATCTGACTTGATGATGAAAAAAACGAACGTAAAAATTTATATTTTTGAACAAACTATCCACTAATTCACCTTCTCAACTACATTGGTCCAATAACGTGTGTTGTCAATTTACTTTTTTGATTGGATTAACGTTGAACTCATTAAAAAAATTCGCGAATTTATATTTTTTTGAATCATAGAAACTTCATTTCTAAAAATCAGAAAAAAATTCATAGAAATACTTTCTTTTTGTGAGAACATCATTCCATTTCGCCAAAAACATCCATTAAATTATGATTTATACTTATCTCGTTCAAAGAATCTCGAGACTTTGATCTCCCTTTAATATAATGTTAAAATAACTTTTTACGTGCCCTCAGAATCCATCACAATCTTTTTCAATTTGAACTCGGTTAATCGAGAAAGAATAAAAAGGGTCTAAAAAGCTTCCTTGCAGTCGAGGCGTGATCTCATCGGATACAGCCTCAAATTCAATTTACCAACTGTGAACTTATTAGAGTTATTCGCAGCGAGTGTCAGAAGACGTGTTTATGTTGCTCTTCGAGGCCCGATTTTTTTTTTCCTTTTGCATTTCTGGATGATTTGCTGTTTTTTTTTTTTTTTGCCGATCAGTGCTAATGTATTCATTGCAGTATGCCTGAAAAGGCTGTTTTTATTATTGAATCAAAGTTTTCTCACGAACCGTTGGAAGCTTTCAAAAAATTCGAATAAAATAAAATTTTTTATTTTATGGCATATGTATATAAGCTATATTCTGCAGAAAGATACCAATTTTATAAGCTCTTAGATAAAAAAAACATGGTTTTCTTTAGCTGTGTGAGTTTTAAATGGATGTGAGAAACAACCGGTGAGCGAGGGAAATGACGCAAGAAAAAACTATTTCAGTCGAATCTAATGAATCTTTTTATGCACTCCTTGGTGTGAAAGAATAATATTTGGTTGTAGGCGTGTCAACTTGTGATGATGTCCCGCCTCAAAATGTTTCTTAGATTTAAAAAAAAGTCGCAAAGAGAGGGTGTGTGCCCAATCAAGTGAGCTTTTCAGAAGCCGCAACGGCCAAAATCGTTTCAGTGTCCCGGAAATCAGAGCTGCAACTCTATTCATAAATCTCTTGATCTTTCCATTCAAATAACACTCATCATGGAGGAGCCAATTTCACATTGTTGGTATTGTTTTTCTCAAAGTCTTTCTATTTGATCAAAATCTGAGAGAGACTCGGAAACTTATAATTTTCATCTCGAGTTTGGTCATAAATTTTGTTGGTTTTTGAATATTTTGCAGCTGCAGGCTTTCATCTTTACTTACCACTTTCTTTTATTGCTGGCACTCTGGACTCAGCTCTTTTATTTTGCTCGTTTTGCTTCTGACGCAAGGTGCTTTCCAAAACTTCTCAATTCAATTTTCTGGTGTCAGATTGGAAAATTTTTAAATTAATAAAAAGACAATTTTTCTCAAAGTGCCGTTTAGGAAACCTTTCCGAGTTGGCAGTGCGAATCGGGTGATATATTAGACTCGGTCTGCGGTAAAGACTCTGAGCGGTTCGTCGTAAATTGAACTAATCGCCAAAACTCGGAGATGGGCGACGCCTCGGAACTTCTCGAATCGACGTCAGAAGCTGATGATTGGTGGGAAGAGAACTGCTCGATCATCCCGCCAGAGTTCTTCAGGTTCCTTTCTCATGCCTTATTTTCAAGCAAAGCAGTTCAGACTGGTCCTGGTAGGTGTTGTCGGAGCCTGCATTGCCTCGGTCTCCGTCTTTTTCAATACCTTTCTCTTCTGCGTCCTCTGCAGGTCACATCCAACTTTATTTTTATAATCGAAAATTTTCAGGAATCGCCGCCATCGGCACTCGCACTTGATATACCTGATGTTCCTCGCCTTAGCCGATACTTTTCTTTCTGGTTCGTTAACCTTTTCTCCAGAAAATTCATTTCTCTTTGCTTTTCTTTCGAGAACTCGATATTTCATTCCGAGGACATAATTAAACTCTTTCGTTTTATTGCGCCCCGGGGCGACATCATTTTTGGTCTCAGAAAATTTGCAGCTCTGGTCTGAACTCTCGAAGTAAACACAGAAAGTATACATAAACTTGAATTTACAAATCAGCTTTGACCAATTTTCACCCTATGATATGTTCTTAATTTCCAAAGACTTACATAAAGAGGAGGGTTCAGGAGCATATATCCTGCTCTTTCCTGTCAATCTCTACATGGACTACTTCAACTCTGAGTGGCTGGCGGCCGCCTGGTGGACCTACATGAGAGTCATGATAACCGTCTCTCACGTCTTCATTTCCACTTCGGCCTTTCTGATCTGCGCTGCCGCCTTCGAGCGGTTTATTTTCATTTTCGAGCCAAATGAAAAAACACATTTCCGATACACCAACAAAGAAAAAAGTCACAGGAGAGCGCGAAAGCTCTCAAAAATATTTTTAAATACGGTGATTATGTTTTTATTAAGAACAAAACGAGATAACTATCAAAATTAGGAGGAAGAAGAACGAAAAAATAAGGAAATTTAAAATCTTGAAAGGAAAATTGTTTTCATTGGAAAATATGGAAAATTACTTCGAGCCAAAACTCATAAACAGAATGAACGAAAGTGAGCTGGGACCAGACCCAGTTAGACTTCATGACTACATCATATGAACTTTAAACTCGAAGAGAATCCGACCAAAACTGATGAACAGTTCGTTTTCTGAAAAATCTCTTGACTATGATCAATATTTTCTTTTGATCGCAGTGCAAAAAGTACTTGACGCCACCATTAACGAAATTTCCTAGTTCAAGTTCTGTTTTACAGGTATATGACGACTTCGAAATTAGCTTGCCAGTTTGCCCGACACCACCGTCTCATAATTTGCCTCTGTAGCCTGGTTGTCGCTGTCGTTGCCAAGCTGCCCATGTACTTCGAGGTCGAGGTTCGAGATTTCTCGGAATGTCTACTCAGATTGTTCAAAGGTGGTTCCAAACGGTAACTGCACCGGCGTGACGTCGTTGACGGCCATACAATCGAAAGCTTCCGAGTCAGAGCCCTATAAAACTGCATACAAAGTGAAACTCAGTTCGAATTTTCTTTAAAAAATAGTTCTGCAGTACTGGTTTCGAAATGTGGTCACTATATTTTTACCTTTTGTCATGTGTTTCTACCTCAATTTCGCAATAATCCGCCGGCTGAGGATACAACACAAAGGCGCGAAACTGTTTCGTTTCGCCACATCTGAACACAGGGTACCACGAAACTTCAGATCTGAAATGGCTCCGCTTTACAGCAAAACATTAGAGCGGCAACGTTGATGCTTATTTCGGTGACTTGTACTTATCTTGCTTCGAACCTTCTCAACGTCTTCGTGTACACCTGGGAGCTCATTGACAAGGCAATTTAGCCATTTTTCCTGAGAAAAAAAAAGACTTTTTCGTTCAGACGTCGCTTCTCCTGGAGTACCGGACATTTTACACGCTCTCTTCTGATTTGGTCTCTCTTCTGACCGTCTGCGCGAGGTTTGAGACGTCTTAGATCTGGTTGAAGGATCGCTCTCAGTGCGTGTCGCTTGCCGATTTACCTCGCCTGCAATGCACGGATCCGTTGCGAAGTCCTCGACTACCTTGAGACCTGCGTTTTCATACACTTTGACGTCAAATCCTACTCGGTTCAGTCTTTTTTGTGACTCTGATCAGAGTTGCCCACAAGAAAACAAACGACTTTTTTTTCGGCTGTGCTTAGTTCAGACGGCGGCGAAGCAGATAAAACCGTCCACTTTTTGGCAAACCGCTTCCCAGGCCGAATCTAGCTGTGTCGCGTTGCTTACGGCCTTGGCCGGGCTTTTGAACGCGCAGCTCTGAGTCTGATAGAGTATCTTTCGAGGAAAATATCTAAAAATGAGGCAGAGACTTGTTTCTCTAAAATGTTTGGAACGTAGAGCATTTTCGAACCTTCAAGACTTTGTTTCAATTCCCTATTTTAGAGCTTAGTTCTCTCTGAATCAACTTAAAATATGTGTTAAAGATTGAGAGCGAAACCGAAAAACGCTTTCAGAGGTCATCAACAATGAAATCAAGAGCTCGCGCCACTACAGTCCGTTACTGTGACACCGGAAACGGCTATATGATTTACGACGTTAGTTTTTCAGGAATTTATGCATTTCTCTCTCATTTTAAATGTTCCATTCAGAGACGGGAACAAGATAGTGTGGTTGAACTGGTAAGGGTTATCTGGTTGTTTTTTTCTGCGTTTTATAACTAGACGTTTTTTTCTTCCTTTTTTTCGATTAGACATTAGAAGGTTTGAACTGCGAAGACCTTAGTACCACTTTCATCTGTATTTTATGCGATGTGTGAGGAAAATTCTTCGGAGTATTGGTGCATGCAATGTTTTCGAAAATAATCTGCCGTGTTTCGTTTCAAAATGAAAAAACGAGTTTAATAAAAAAAAAAATTCCATATACCATTTAGTAATTAGATCAATCATTGTTTTAAATTACGAGTTTAGTTGACTAAACGGTTAAATGATAGTTTTTGAAATTTCAAAACTACGCTCGGCAAATAACAAGCTCGAAAACGTAGTTTGAGGGGGAAAGCATGCTCTCTGTACATTATTATTATCAGAATCGCGTTGAAGAGCTTGGCATGGATAGATCTTCACAAAATGAGCACTTATTATTTGAAGCCTAGGTGGTTTTCGAAAAGAGATTTGCCACAGGAAGTGTAGAAAGGTTTTTTCATAAACTGTTCTTTCTGAAACTACATAGTCTAGCTCGTCTGCACTCTCTTTTCCATTACTTGCGCTCTCGTTCTTTTGTGTTTCTCATTGTTTCCTGAAAAATTTGTTGAGATGAAAATAGTCAGAATTATTCAGATCGTTCCGAATAAGGTATAAAGTTGTACTGAACTATTCTGAATCTGATTTTTACATTACTGGAGTGGATCGAAAAAAAAATCGAAACTTTCAATTTTTAGTCGCCTAACAAAAAAGGCGAGCGAAGGGCGCGAAGCGTCGGAACTGGTCTCGATCGGATAGTGCTTTCTGTCGCCATGGGTAGCATGCCGAACCGGTGAGAAAGGAACGGAAAAAAGGGAAAAAGTTGTCTGATTGCAGCCATGTGATCGCTGTGCCGCCGACGTTCGAAGAGAGCGGCTGACCGAAATTTTCCAAAAAAGTTTTCCTTTCTCCAGTTCGTATGTGTCATTCAGAACATTTTATCAATATTTCGGTAAATCTTTTGTTTTTCGTTTGAATGTACAAAAATTTTGAATGTTTGTTTTTGTTTTTCGCATTATTTTTCTATTTTTTTGTGAACTTTGGGTCTTTTACTAGATCAAAATGAATGGGATCTCGTTTCGAGTGCATTTCAAAAGTCAAAAGGCCAACTGCTGGACGAAGAACGGCCGTACCAGTGCAATTTCGGTGGGAGACATATATTCGTCGACAGCTGACGTCTTCAGTTTTAATCAATTTCTTTCCGGCCTCGGATGTTCAGTTTGAACTTCCTTCGGTTTTGCTACCACGTTACTTTCTTCGATCGCTCGATTTTTCTCAAGAAATCAATTTTTTTCAAGGTTTGTAACTTTTTATTTTTTTCAAATTTTTAAGGTTAAAAAAAAACTATTCTATATTCGCTGAAAATGCATTAAATAATAATTTTTTTCCTCATTCTTTGAAACTTCGAGCGTTTATTCTTCAATAATTCTCCTTTTTTTATTTTTAGTTTCTATTTTTCGATTTGTTGAAATTATCAATTAGCACATATTTTTACTAGAACGAAATTTTTCAAATAAAAAAAGTCTTATAATAGAGTTGAAGCAAGAGAAAAAAATTATACTTTTTTTAGTAGAAAATTAGAGGTCTTATTTTTTTCTGATGAAATTGAAATTTCAGTTGTAACATCTAGCGAGCCCATTTTTGAAGTATATTATCATGCTTCGTCTGAATTTTTTTATAATCAATAAATTGCTTAGCTAGTTCATAAAAAAATGAATAATTCAAACATTCAAAAATTTTTAGGATAATATTATTTTTTTCAACTTTTTGGATAAACCATTGAAACAACAATGAAGCAAAAAAACTTTTTTTACCTTATAATACATGACCTAAAATCAACTAAATTAGATTATTTTCTGGAAATGGTGCTAGTTTTTTTTTTCCATAAGAAGAAGGAAAAATGGGCAACCGCGTGGTTATCAAACATGCTGACCGTCTCGTCGTCGGCCTTCTCCAAAACGACAACTCTCTCGGCAGCTCGAACTGCGCTTTTACGGCAAATTTGAGGCTGGCTTCGGCTAAAATATGTCCTGAGTTGTGGTTTTTTCTCCTTCTCAATGTTTTAATTAGAAGTTTCTAAGTTTAAACTCCGTTTTGATTTTGTCGTTCGATCAAAAAAGCTTCATTGAACTTCTGAAACACCTTCTGCCATTGAGAAGTTTCAAAAATGGTTTTCAAAGAAAACTGTCAGAGAACTTAATTTTTCTGATTTTTGCGCTTTTAAAAAGGCGAATAGTTTGGTAGAAAACATATGATTCTATCCATTAATTGTTCGTCTGAAAATTGAGAAAAAGAAGTAAAATATGATCAAGGTGTGCCTATAAATGCAGATGAAAAACCAATACTCTGAAAATGAGACTTGCACTCAGTTCAAAACATATATACTAATAAAAATATTCTTTAGCCAGAAATAATTATAAAACCTATTTTTATCGGATAAATTAAAAATATTTCAAATTTATTTGGCAAACCAAGAGAATGTCAGAATATGAATCGCAGGATATCAAAAACTTTCCGTCCTTTAATCCTATTTTGAGTTTAAATCTATTCGGCAATGTTTTTGCTTGATATAAGCGAATTTGTTGTGAGGATTTCGCTTTGACTGGGTGCAGACAAAGACCAATGCTCCTGGCAACGTTACATGTTGAGTGGGAACGTCGCGTTGCGTCTGAAAACACCCCAAAATGTTTTGAGCGCAAATTTTTCTTGTTTACAACTACTTTTTTTTCGAAATAATCTCTTTCCAAAAACAAAATATTCCAAATCACCCAAAGTTTCTTTGAACTTCTATTTTTATTTTAAGTATTTTGTTATTATTAAAAAGTATGTTGAAGCTCAAGCCCCTTAAAATTAAAATCTGAACCCACAAAAGTTTTCGTGAGACAAGTTTCAAAAGGATAGTTACATTTTCCAATCTGTGGTTCTCGAAATGCTGCCAAATGTTACATCGCAAGTGTCGTGCACGTGCTTCTCGATTTTAGCTCTTTCTAGTGCTAGATTTGAAACTATTCTAGTGACTCATAGATGATTCTCGTGTTTTCTCCTTCTGGCCAGGAGTTCCTTGTATTGCCAAGGGAGCACAAAAAATGATGAAACTAGTGGAAAAATGATTCTCAATGTTTCCCTCCTAAGGTTAGGCCATATGCCAGCGAGTAAACAACACGGCGAGTAAACATCTCTTTGTGGCTCAAGCACTCTATTTCTTTATTTACACCACCACCAACGCCTTTTTAATAAGACACATCCGAATCTTTTGAACGAGTTTTCAACGTCAGTTTTTTTTTTTGCTGTTGATCATGGAATCCAGAACATTCAGAAATGGAGAAGGAGTCCTTGAAAGAGGAGCCTTTCGTGCCGACAATGCCCGCTGAGCCTGACGTGCCCATTTGTTCGACGCAAGTGCGCTCTGCCGACCATGTCCTCGACCAAATGAGTGCGTTTTTAACATGAGAAGTTCGGGAATGTATTAGTGTAACTCTTCTTTGACATATGTATTTTCAAAACCCAAAGAGAACAAATCGATCATATTAGTTCTACTAGAACTGTTCTAGGTCACAAATTATTCGTCGCTCTTCTCTTATCAGAAGCCAGACGACTAGAATTTGAGGTTATGGTTGTCTTGATAAGCCTTGAAAAACAAATGCAGTGAACAACCAATCCTAAATAATGAGCTAATTTGATCTGCAGAAACTTCACGACTAGGTAAAAACTGGGGAGAAGCGGTTTTGGAGATTTCATGAAAAAATCCTCTGTAACAGTGTTTCATTATCAAGCTTCAATACAAACTCGCAGTCAAAACATTAGGAAAATTTCAGAAAAAGTGTGCAATATATAAATTTGGGGCATGTATGACTTTTCCAGATGCCGTAAATAGCATGAACAACATAATCCCAATGTTTGCAGGACCCCGACGCCTCCAACTTTTCTCCGCCGTTTTCATTTGCAGTCTGTCATGGGCGTTCGGGGCAGTCATCCTCATGAGCAGCGCTTTCAATTCGATCGACTGCGGCAGCTGCAACGGCACGATGTTGACGATCGTCTCCGAGGTTCTTGTTCAAGAATGAACATGCCTGATAGGTCTTCTCAGTTCAACCTGCGCGAAGAAGACGCCTACTTGGTCGGATGGAGCACCTCTGTGTTCATGTTCGGCAACATGCTCGGCGGTTCAGTGTTCACACACGCCGGCGACAGGTTTTCAGACTTCTTTGTGGCCGGAATTTAAAAAAAGCTTAGGTATGGCCGTCGACCTGTGCTGATGGGTTGCATGTTGGGACAGGCCATTTCTGCCGCCATTTGCTCTTTGTCCAACTCCATCCTCAACTACTCCATATGCCGGCTCCTACAAGGCGCTTGTTATACGGTACCTCCCTTTTTTGGAAGTCAGCTCCCTGAAAAGATAGTAGAACAAAAATTATGTCTAAGAGAGAGTCTTATATCGCAAATATGGTCCAGATTTTTGAGGCAAGCAGTCCTAGAATAGATGACTCGAAAAAATTCATCTGCTAATTGCAACGGAGAAAAATAATATTCAAAACTGCTTTTCTCTGGTTTTCAAGTTGTAAATCATTTTTCTCGTGCAGAATATGGTTTCAGCACAATTTTAATACGAAAAAATCCGAAAAAAACAGAGCAGTTTTTTATACAGTTGAAAGTTGTAGTCATTTAAAACTACCTGGTGATGGAAAATGAATGCGCGGGCAGTCCGAACCGTAGACTCTCATTTTTGCTATAATCGCGAGCTGGAATTTCTAGTATCAGGAGAAAGTGTGAATTTGAAGGGAGCCAACCTCGTGGCTTGGGTGACGGCCTACGAGTTGTGTCCGTCGCGATTGCGGTCTCTGGTGACTCTGGCCTTCGGATTGACTTGGGTCGTCGGCTACTCCCTGGTTGCACCGATGGCCTTCTTCTCGCCCAATTGGCGTTTCTTCAGCGCTTCGATCATCGCTCCTCTTCTCATCTACACTTTGTTTTGCTACCTGTCAGTGAAAGAAAAGACAAAAAGCTTTTTCGAAATGATTCTCTACCTTGAAATTTAGAATCGTGCCAGAAACGTTGCACTTTTTGGTCTCGAAACGAAAGACAAAACGAGCTCATAAGTGGATTGAGAGGTTCGACAATGAGCTTGTCGACCGAATCGACGTTCTCCAGCTCATTTCCACATCATCGTCGAGCGAAAAAAGCGATTCTGGAGAGAAGTCAGGCGTCTTCTGATTTTTATTTATTGGAAAATACATGTTTTAGAGGCTCGTTCTCGCAAGAGATGTGCAAACACAAAAAGTTTATCGGATATTGTCTCGTTCAACTCTTTATCTGGTTAGTTCCTTCTTTAATCGTTCTGCTCACTCTCCATTTCTACTTACAGGACTACTGACAACTTCGTGTATTTTGGCTTGTCCTTGTACAGTACTCAACTGAACGGAAACGTTTACGTAAACTATGTATTGATGGGTATTGTTGAGCTTCCAGCTTACATATTCTGCCCTATTCTTCTAGAGAGGTTTTTTTGTAAAGAACGAAAATTAGTGATAGTTTAATCAACGAAGATTTGGCCGAAAAATCGTTGTTTCTGGTGCTCATCTTCTTGCTGGATTTTGTTTCTGCGCATCGATCTTCATGCCAGGTATCGAATAATTTTCAACTAAGTTCAAGTTTGAAATTGAACTTAATGTCTTATATAGATCACGATTGGATTTCTCTAACGTGCTGGTTAATAGGAAAATTCGCTATTTCGTGCTCCTTCATGTCGTTGTTTGTTTACGCTAGCGAGGTAGATTTCACCGTAGAAATTTTGATAATAATTAGATGTTTTACCAGATTTTTCCGACAAATATCAGAAATGTTTCTGTTGGTCTTTGCTCAGTCCTCTCACGACTTGGAAGCATCTCAGCGCCGTATATCGGTGTTTTGGTTAGTTTCATCGAAGAAAAAAAAATTTCAACATTCAGGGAGCCATTTCGCCCATTCTACCGATGATTGTACTCACCGTTTTGTCAGTTACGGCCGGCCTTTTAACGTTTTTACTACCCGAGACACGACACAAACCTCTACCGGACACGATTTAACCGTTTAGAAAAAATTTCGCTTAATTGAATAATTGTATGTTTTCTAAGAATCTTGCCCAGCAGTCAATCTTCGGTTAGAAAACCGGTCAAATAAACGGGTTTTCACATTCACCAGCGTAATAAAATTTTTTTTTATCGTTTCGCTATGTAATAAACATTTATTCCTTGAAAAGTTTAAAATTGTGGTTATAACTTTAACTTTCTGATAAAATCTTAACTTATCTCTTCCCAAAACGATTAAACATTAGATTAGAAACAATTCATCACGACTAACAACAAAACTCATAAGAAAAAGTAATGTTTAGAAAAACAGGATCCTCACTCTTTTTTTAATTTTTCTCGAATAATAGTCTGATATTGCGAAGGTTTATGCGTCAAACATTTAGAAAACGTTTTCCGTTTTGCAATACCTATTAAAAAATGAAGCAATTTGTTGTGAAAAAGAAAAGAAAAAGAAAAGAAAACTTCGAAGTTTAATTTTCATCTTTTTTCTTCACTTTCGTAACCTCGTAAATCGTACCAAACACACGCGCCGCAGGCATACTGTAGCTTTCGTTCTGCTGTGTGGGCGCGGTTTTGGGTTGGAGCGTCCTTGATCGATTCTATTTTCAACGGTCCACATTTTGGCTCCGCTATTTACGCCTCATTTTTATTTTCAATATTATGTCGGTATTTTCAGTTGTTCCTTTTTTGAAAGATCCAATCGAATCTGCTACGTTTTAGGCATGTTGGCCCCATCCTTGAGGGTTGTTTCAAAACGCTCTATGCAAACATCAAAAGTCTTATCCAGTGAGTTTGAATTCTTTGTCAACGGATATACATATCTTTTCATTAATTTAAGTGCGTGGTCCACTCACTTTTGACGGTTGGTATCCCAGAGATCACAAACCATCCGCTCCTCCAACTAACGAAGTAGAACGGAGAGCAGCGGCTATAAAGTATTTATTTATCTTTGTTTGTTTTTTTTCAGTTATATTTCAATTGGGATGAAAAAAAAATTATGATCCACGAGTTTAGATACGGCCTTCGTCCTGAAGACTACCAGCCCATTGACAAAGACGACGTCGTTAGGTTAGCTCGATTATTCAAATTTGTTTCTTTAATATTGATAAGAAAAAAATGTAAAAAAATGTTCAACTATAAGAATTTTCGAAATTTTACGGTAAATTTTTTCTAAACAATATTTTCTATTCATTCATTTCCAATGTGATTGCAGATTCGCTGGAGATTATCCTGAGCTCGGATCCGTCACATTCGATCACAAGGATCCCTATGAAGCTTGGACTGATCGACAAAATCGCAGAAATTGGGGAGAAATGGTTATTCTTTTGAAATTGATCGTTTGAATACGGAAAAATTCTCAGGTGCCCATAGACATGATGCGATACAGAGGAGATCGGTTGACCTTCACCGGCCTCGAAGCTGAAGACTACTCAACGTAAGTGTACATTTGAAATAGGACCTACAGAAATTTCTTTTTTTTGTCTTCAGTTCTGAAAATTTTCTCAAAGATCATATTCAGATGGGGCTCCATTGTTTTGTGCCTTCGCGTTCTGGTGCCAATGGCGTTGATCACCTGGTATTTCCTCAACGACAATCCTAACGCTCTCCGATGGAGAAATCCTGTGGTACGTTGTTAAGAATCCACTTTTATAAGGCTGTAAACATATTTCAAACTTTGAATTTTTATCTCTTTAAATTTTTCATTCTTGATAAATGCTGATTTGAACAATTTTTCTTTCAAAAATCTTCATGCCGATTCTAAAGGCTGTTCAAATTGAATTTAGCTCATTTTCACTTTCCATCCTATTTTTTTGTGGTCAGGAGTTTTTTTATATTCTCATATTTCAACTCTATTGCAATTTAATCGTGTTATTTTTGGTTTCTATGATGCTAAAAAAAATGCTAGAAAACACGATATTTATTCTTCAAATATAACAATTTTATCAGAAAATGTGTCAAGGAAAAGCGCCGCAGAATGCAATATACCAACTTATTGTTTTTTAAAGTTTTCTTTGTGTGAAATTAACACCAGTGACAAGATAGGAATGAAAGAAACCTATGATATCACAATGCCAAAATTAAAAGCGATTGCTTCTTATTGGTGCCATTCTGTAACAACTCTCATAGAACTAACTCTGGTCTCGGTATTTCGAAACCGTTCTTGCCCAAGTTTTCATTACAAGTTGCAAGTTATTCAGTGTTCAGAGAAGATTCTCTGCTGAATCATGGAATAAATGAAGAGTTGATCGTCGCATCGCGTTAACCAAGAATGGCTCGTAGATCATCTTGTCCTTTTTCGTATAGTAACGTTAGGAAGTTTAGAGTTCCGACGATCATTGCTTCTCCAGAGCGGAGGATTTTGGGAGCGAAATTTTTCGGTTGATAACTCCGATTCTCTTCATTTTTATCAGTCTACCTTTGTTTTCGAAGCCTTTTCCGTATAGTCTTTGTGATTTGAGCTTTGTAAATAATATTATACTGTTACTATTTTTTTAAATTCCCAATTCTCGATTATAAAATGTAGGTCACAGGATCTCGAATCACCCGATAATGGGAAAAATTTTTTTATTTATCCTTGCATTAATGATTTTTATATTTTTAAAAAAATTTATCATTGTTATTCAAGTTTTATTGTACAGATGCCGAAGCAGTACCCCTACGACTTCTACCGTGCATATCCTTTCGACGATCCGCGGAAGTATCCCATCACGAACTATTCCTTCGATTTGGAAACTGAGTAAATTGATGTAGAACTCAAGCCTCTCACTCCTTTTGCCTTAGCTTTGTTGATCGTTTTCCATTTCACCGGTCTTCTTATAAAATTCTATTATTTTTATTATCATAGGCATAGTTATCGAGAAACCTATTTGAAAAGAGTACAGTGTAAAATGAATTTTTTCTACTTTTCTTCTTTCATCGACGCGATATAGAATTTGGCAAGATTCTAACCATATCTGCATTAGCATATTTGACGCAGTTTTTCATAAAGATTAGGTTTGATGGTTAAAAACTGAGGATCGGAATGCTGTTTCTCGACGATTTTCTGGAAAGTAAGTTTCAACTATAATTAACTGAGTGTAAAGCATTTTTAGTGCTCGAGGAGCTCCCTCAGGAGCTGCACGACCGCGGACTCGATATGAAGCAACTCGACGCGCAGGTCGAATGTAAGTTCTTGCTCAAATATTTCTTCACCCAAACTACATTTCTAGTGGGAACTAAACGCAATCGTGAGGCAACTAACGATTTTTTCGCCAACGGCCTTTCAATGAGCGAAGAGGAACGCGCGATTCGCTATAAAATCCTCCAAAGAGTGAGCTCAGCTTATTTTTGTTCAGAAGCTTCAAAAAAGCAATTTCTCAGGAATACGCTAGACTTCGTGAGCTCGCCGAGGAAAAAATTGCGTTAGCTGAGCGAATGCAGGTAAATTGTCTACAAGATCAACTTGCTTCGAATGCTGAAATAATCAAGTCAAAAGTATAATCTCAACTCGTCTTAGGACTTGATAAACAAGTACGCGAATCATCTGGAAAAAGAGAAGACTCACTTTCCAACTGGAAATGGAGGCCGATAACCCCGGCGTGACTGAAACCATCGAAAAACGTGTGAATTGTCAGTTTCCGCTCATCCTATTTTGCTGAATCTAGGATATGCGGAGTACGTGGAGAGCATGCTTGCGATGAGAAAAGAACGAAAGAGAAAGCATACGACAAACGGATCCGCCGATTTCTCCGAACATTTGAACGGAAACGCCGACTTTTCCAAGGAACACGCAGACAAGATTCATAGGTTGCTTATTTTTTTTTTCGGAAGGAAGCAATTAATTTTTCTCAGGATACTCAACGACGGCTCAGTCAGCAAACTTGTCAAAAACGAATTTTTCGATGACTTGGTAATTTTTTTTTCTCTTTCTGATGTCTTTTGATACGAAATTTTTAGTTTCCAATGTTCAATTGATGGAAACAGACCCAAAAAGATTCAATTTTTTTGAAATTTTTTTACATCTATTTTTTTCCTTTTTTTGTGTCAAAGGTTTGGATTTTTTTATTCTTGTAAACTCATTAGGAGAGCGTTTTTCCTAATCATGTAGTTCTTTTTCCTTTAGAAGTTTCTTTCGAATACATTTTGAAATGGAAGACTTTGAGACGTCGAACGGAACTCCAGTGCCGTCGCCAGCCCCTCGCGGACGACCTCCCAAGTCTTCGCTGATGCTGAGTTCAGCTTTGGTGACGCCTTTGGCCGAAGACGGGCCGCTCTCGACTCCCGGCCGCGTGGGTCACATGGTCCATACCCTTTCTTGTGCTTGTCCCGTCATTCTCACTTCTTCTCTTTACTTTTCTTCCGAAGTTTCCATTTCCGACTGTTTCAGCGGCGCTCCAATGCCGGCAACCTCCGTGGTTCTGTCCACATCCCCTCGGTCAACGGCGGCGTTTCTTCTACGCGAATGTCGCCTGCAGTCTCCGAAAAGAGCTGGTCGGCTACCTCAGGCGCCGTCGACGATTCTTCTAGTTTTGGAGCCGTGAGTATTTGTAGAGTCTTCAAAAAATTGGTATACGGTTTCCTTTGAGGTTCTCCCAAGGGTGATTAAACCTCGTGGGACATTGCCTGGTGAGAATTATTTTTCTGTCTTTCCAGAACTTCTCCATGGGACCGCCGTCCACGCCAAATACAATGCCAACTTTCGTCGGATCTGAAAGTCGTCATGGGCGTCCGAGGAAACTGACAACGCGCGTGCAGGAAATGTTCAAAGAAGCCGTCCAACGACAGCGGCACCATCATCATTCGTCGCCTATGCTCACTACGCCTCAGCCGGCGACCGAAGAAGACGACGAAGAAGGTCGTTGTTTCTGTTTCGGCTTGTCGAACCTCGTCTTCCAGGCTCTTCTGACGACGAGGACGGCGAGGACACGCGACGTTGGTGTTTCTGCAGCGAGAAGAGTTACGGCGACATGGTAGCCTGTGATAACAAAAGTGTACGACTTCTTTTTCCCCTTCTATAGATTTTTCAAAACTATTTCAAGTTTTCTTTGACTTCAAAGTTCTAAATATTTTTTGTTTAGCGGTCTTGAAAATTTCAAATAAGTTGCTTTCTGAATTATTTTCTCAGAAAAGATACATGGGTTCGCTTTAAAAATCAAAAAGTATTTTTCTAATTGATACTCAATCTTTTTTTCTCGGCGCTCAAGAGTGCACTGATGAGGTTTTTTTTTTTTGCCTTCTTTCTAAATACTTCGAGTTCATGCATAATAAAAAGTAATCGACTTCAGCATTCGCCTGAAGAAGTTAATCACTTTTGAAAATATTGATACATTGGATTTTTCGTAGAACTCAAAATATATATATTAAAAAAAAGAAGAAGACCCAATTGTACTAAATTATTGAGTTTTTTTGTTGCCCAATGTAAAATTCACGTTCAAAAAGAAAGGAACAGTAATTTACTGAAAAAAATCTTCTGATATAAGTTTCTAGGAGTCTGCCCTAAAACTTTTTCAGTAACTAGTAGATAGTCCCTCTAAAAAAGATAACTGTTAAGCGCCATACATCTTCTAGCGGAAAAAAAAATAATAAAGCAGAATGTTCCTATTAATGCTTTTTTCTGAATCTTTTTTTTCTATAAAAAAAAAGTGAAAAGAGAAAAAAATGAACCAAGAAAAGCATTTAGAGGTCGGAAAAAAAAATGAAAAGCTAAAACTTCATAAAACAGTGAGAAGAAAAGCATTGTGTTTTTAGAGAAAAACGAGGTTTTGACACCAAAAAAGCTATCAAACAACTATATTCGTTTTTTTCCTGCTTGTGAAAATTTATAAAAAAATTTGGCCATTTGGACGGTCTGCAGTGTCCCTACCAGTGGTTCCACTACCCGTGCGTCGGCATAACGGCACCTCCACGAGGTCGTTGGTTCTGTCCGCGTTGTCAGCCGGCGCTCGACGCCGATGCCTCTGCCGAAGTCTCCTCCGCTCTTTGATTTTCTCATTTCATCATCGCTATCTCATTTCTCATCAGTTCAGTGGTCATTTGAAAATGGAAAACGGTTTTTGCGAAGAAATTTCGCTGTAAATCTTGAAAAATTATTTTTCACTCAGAAAAAAGTAGCAATCGGAAGTCTTCATCTCTAAAACATGACGTTTTGTAGTATAAGACAGAGTTTTCTTCTAGTATATCAACTTTTTTTATAGGACTTCCAAGTTTAGGGCTCGAATTGCTTCTTCATGATCAAAAAGCCAATTCCGTTTTTCCAGTTTCTTGTATACGGCCTCCAAATTGAAATTTTTTGTCTTTGTAAAAATCATTTAAAAAAATTTGTCACGAATAATTTGAAAGAAATATATTTAGTCATGAATTCCTTGTTCGATTATTTTTTTTTATTATAGTTAGTTATTCACCTTTTTTGATATTTTTTGAATTTTTGGTAATTTTCAAAGTGTATATCTTATATATTCCTTTTTTTCATTCTTTAATGAAATCAATAATATTTGATAGTCTGGTACTAATTTACAAATGATCTTTTTATATTCTATAATTGCTGCATTTCCTCTTCTCCACCGGATCCTCTGTATTTTTTTCATTCCTCATGGATCTGATGGCTGAGAATATTAATTAAGCTCTAAAAAAATGGTTGATTCTCAATTAAGGGCGGCTTAATAATCGAAAAATTCGCCTTTATTTTTATAAAACCTCGTGAAATATTAGTTAATCATAATTCATTTTTTAAAAGGGGCCTGTTTTCACTGGCTGCTGGTCAGACTTTTTCTCTTTCTTTGTAAAATGTCATTTATTCTGATTGTCATTGTTATCCTATCGTATCCCAAAGCATTTGCATCTTTCAAATGTACTTTTTCATAAAACTCAACTTTTTTCCAAGTTTCCTTATTTAATAGAACAGTAGATTCTGTATTTATTTCTGCGTGAAACGGTTAGAAAAATTTTGGAACAAGTTGAAAAGATGTGGTTCGTGAGTAGCCGAGAAATGATGAAGCACCACTGTCCTTGGCCAGTTTACCACATCGAAATCCCAGAGAGGCTTTCCTGCGTCCTCGATATTTTGGAGGTCAGGTTTCATTTTTTCGTTGGTTTTGTAACGTTTCTGGTTGTTTCAGAACGAAGGCTTCATGGAAAAAATGGAGACTTTCCCGGCACGAGAAGCCACCGAAGCCGAAATTTCAATAGTACACTCGCAAAGGCTGATCGATGATGTCAAAACAACGGAAAATATGAACGTGGTTTTGAAAAACTCGGAATATTTGAATACTTATAAAATTGGAGGAACAATTGGAAGAGTTCAGTCAGAAGTACGAGGACATGTACTTCAACCAAAACACGTGGACTTGTGCCAAACTCGCCGCCGGATGCTCGATTGATTTGGTCAAGAAAGTTCTGGACACGAGGTTTTTTCAAATTTCAGAGATCTGTGGGAGAAATTTCCGAGAAGGGAATGGGGGATTTACCAAAATAAAAAATGTATTGTTGTTAATTGAGATGGAATTTTTCCAGTCTCCCTTTCAGATTGTGAACTCCTTTTCACTGATGTAAAATCAAATAAAAAAATCACTAAAGAGGCTAAATTTTGTTTTTCGCAGCATAGTCACGGTCACCTTTTTTTGTTTTTGGTAGTGTTTTCGTTAGTCTGTTTGAACAATTAAAATTTTTTTTTTAAATCAAGCATCTTTTTTTTTTTGCTGTTGAACTTGAATGTATCGGAGGAGGTGGAAAAGGGAGGGAGTCCCCCTTTTTCCTGGAGATTATATCATAATCCTTGAGCATAGTTCTGCGAAAAAAAGAAGTTTCTGAATGAAAGATTCAAAACAAAAAACTATTAGACTTTCATTTTTATTTTGTAGAGAATCCGGTTTCGCCGCCGTCCGTACTCCAGGACATCATGCGATGGTGGACAAGTCTTGCGGTTTTTGCGTTTTCAACAATGTCGCCATCGCCGCCAAGCACGTAAATTTCACTATTTTTCTGAGAAGATGTGTAATTGTTAAGCCTTAAAGAACATCAAACTTTTGATCTTACCAGGAATTTTGAAGGCTTTGGAGTACGGAGCGAAACGAGTCCTGGTCGTAGATTGGGACGTCCACGCGGGACAAGGGACCCAGGAGTGCATAGAAGACGTCGAAGGCGTCCGTCTCGTCTCGATTCATCGTTTCGAGGACGGCGTCTTCTGGCCCAATCTTCCGCAGTCCGCCGTCCATTCAAAATGTTTTTTTTGTCTTTTCAACTTTCGCAATATCAAATTTCATGAAGTTGGAGTTCGAGCCGTCAAAATATTATTTACCATATCAGCTCCTCACTGTTTTGGAGATTGTTCTTATTTCTTTTATTTTATATTCGCGCGTTCGTTCAGATAGTTGGAACATTGTATTAGAGAAAATTATAGTTTCCAATTTTTTGCGTTTTTTTAAACGAAAGTTTATGCTTTTCAAAGATTTGCCAGACGAGAAAGAAATATATCTTTAAAAAAAATTTTTTTCTATCCACAGTAACTAGTTCTGTTCAGTCCGCAACACAGTCAATGTTCCTTTGAACGGCGTCGGCTTTGAGGATGGTGACTATTTCGCGATGATGCAGCTCGTTGTTCTGCCCATGATTACGGACTTTTCTCCGGATCTGATCATTGTGTCTTGTGGCTTCGACGCAGCTTTAGGTATGTCTTTGCCGAAGAATTTCTCAAACAAATACGATGATTTTAATTTTGTTATTTTTCCAAGATTCTCATTTTTCTTTCAAATTATAAAGTTTTAACATTTTTGAAAAAACAAAAAGAAGAAAGAAAGAAAGGTTTGATATTTTTCCAGGAGATCCCGAGGGTCACATGAAAGTGACGCCTGCTGGTTACGCTAACATGACGAGGATGTTGCAGAACACGGGAATCCCCATGGCCGTCATTCTCGAGGGCGGGTACGTGCTTGATTTCTTTTCCAAAGAGTGACCATCGATTTTGCAGCTACTTCCTTCCTTCTGTGGAAACGGATGCCCTTTTTGTAGTTCGTGCACTGTTGGACGAATACGTTCCGCCTGTCGAGGTGAATCCAGTTTATTTGACGTTCACATGTAAAGCCAAGAGAATGATCCTCTAAAAACATTGCCAATTGAAACTTCTGTGTTTTCAAAATCTATTTCATTTTTAATTGATATTTTTTTTTTTTTGCTATTAGTTCATTCACCTCTGGCTATTAATGAAGGTCCAGATATTATTAGCTAAAACTGATTTTTTTTTTCCCAAGTTAGCGATAAGTTTGTAATATCATTCTTCTTTTGAGACAGTGCTGACTTTACCAGAATCTTTGCAAATGAGCTTCCTCTGTCTAGGAGTTGTCTCCGATGAGAAAAGAACTGACCGACGTGATTCGACGCATTTATAAGTTCTATAAGGACGACTATCCTACATTTTCGTCGCTCGGGTCACTTTGCGACAAACTCTCCAAGTTTGCCTTCAAGGTTTGAATTTCTTTCCGAGGGTTCTGCTAAAATGCGGAGATTCAGGACGAGAAAGAGTATCGCGGCGAAAGGAACCAAAAGCCACCGTACGCAACTCGGTCTGATCACCCCAAGATTGACGAAGAAGCGCTCAAAGCGGCTCACCAAAAAATTCTTCATCTCCGTGGTGCCTACGAAAAAGATCTTAAGAAAAGTTCTTCATATCGGGTTATTTATTTATAGAAGAGCCTTTTCAATACCTTACCTTTACAGAAATTAAAAACTCGGGTTCAAAAAGACACAAGCAAGCTTCTGTCTCTGGATGGAGAAGTTGTAGTTGTCAATGAAGACGTGTTTCCAATAGTCAAATTAACGGTTAGTTTTTTTTGATCGTGAAACGTTCAGTGATAAGTAGTTTTTATAGAGGTTTTTTGAATGTTGATTATTTCTTTTCGTCGTCAAAATATATCGATTAGCTCTGCGAATTTCCTTGCTTCCGGCAGAAATCTCGATTCGCTTCCGAATCCTTTTTTTATATGCTGGTCACCTCATTAGTTCACATTTCAAATGGAAACCAGCTGTGAAAGTAGTATGAGAAAAATTTCCGTTTTTTTTTTTAAATCTACCCATCGTTTCAAATTTTTTCGAAGCCAGCAATTAATAGACTTTGAAAGCAATACTTATCGATTTCATTGAAGTAAAGCAACATCGACTTCATTGAAGTAAATTTACCATATTATCTCTCGCACAGCATGAAAACAAATATGGTCTAGTTGGGAATACAGCAGAATAGTCCTTGCATTCCAGTTGTTATCGGCGGTGGATCCTCTCTACGCCGCTGAAGGCCGTCGAAAATATATCCAGAACGGAAAATTGTCGGAGAAAACGCTGGAACAGCTCGCCGCCGACATGGAGGACTTTCGTAGACACGAGCTTTTCACGGCCGCTCCTGTATATCAGTTTTAAGAAGTTTTCAGACGCCGTGATTTCTAAAAGAAGGTTGTGAATCAAATCGTGTAATAAAAGTTCTTGTCATAGTCCTACACTCCCTGAAACAATTTGTACCAGAAACAAACTGTGATTTCCGAATAAACGGTTTTGTACTACCTCTTTGTGATTATTTTCAACGGTTTTGTCCAATATCTTCAATTTTCGACCGTTTTTTTTTGTGATAGCCTCATAGACGTCTCAGAGTGAATGAGGAATGGCCTCGCTTCAAAGCCATCGAAAGCCAGGAGCAGTGATCGGCCGACCGTCTTCGTCGGGGACTCGAGCCGTCGATAGGTCCGCCATCCTCGCTCGGCGCACCAACCAGCCGCAGTTCGTTCGCTCCACGGCACCGCCGGTGCAGCGAAGGCGGCCAGACGTCGGGAACATCGTTCACGGAGGTTAGTAATTGAGAATTATTTGAAAAAAAACCGCCACTTCTTGTTAATGCAAAAAAAGAAAAAAAAGCTGTCTTTTTCAGAAAACTACGATTTCCCTTGTTATCTCTTTGACTTCAGCGTTAATTTTATCAAGAAACTGTTTAGTTGTGCGAAAAAGAGAAAAACGGGATGAAAATCGAGAGTTGACTTTTTCTTAAGAAAAGTGCACTAAGGACAGAGTGTTTTACAAAATCGCACTATCCTCTGAAAATCACGTGATTGAAAAAATTGGAAGTTGATCGAGTTATCTTTTCGGTGATTTTGTTCTTAAGTCGAAGTTTTTGTGATGAAAAAAATGAGAAAAAAAAACGAATATTTTGAAGGAAGAGATGAGGAGCAGCAGATTGTGGAGGAGGAAATCGTGGAGAACATGCAGGACACGGTGATCGTCGACCACGACGTTTACGACAACGACGTTCTGCCTGACGAGTTCATCCACGCAGAACGTTTGTCTCGAGTTTCTCTCTCTCTTTCTCTTCAATCTGCTTTTCAGAGCTTGTTGTCTACGAGGACGAGACGATTCCTCAAATCGGACAGGAGATTGTCGCCGAAGAATATGTTCTGGGAGATATGGCTGAGGTTTCCCTCCAAATTCGCTTTTATATTGGTTTTCTTTCCTAGGAATACGGATACATGATCACCGGCGAAGACGGAAAACCGCAGTTCATTCCAGCAAATCAGGTTCACGGTACGATTTTTTTTTGTAATTTTATGAAGTTTGAATGGAGGAAGAAATTTTAAAAAAAACTTTAGTTTCTTAAGAGGAACGAAACATTAAAATCAGTATATACAACAGCGAAAATGAATGAAAAATTTTTTTTTTTTTTTTTGTTTATAACTTTGTTAAAAAAATAATTTTTTTGGCCTGAGATTTCGAAGAAGAAGTTTGTTGTTAAAAATCATTTTTCGGATATGAAGTTTCGAAAAAGCAAATTGAAGAAGTTTTGAAAAAGATCCTAATGAGCGTGTTCACACTTATCGCGTCGAAGATGCGAGGCTGTTATCAAGTCCGAAGGCTTCGTAGAAGTATTATAATGTTTTTCTTAATTTTTTGAATCGGGATGGGAGTTTTTCGTCCCGGTTCACTGGCTTTGTTGAACTTTGAATTTTTTTTTTGGGAGCTTAAAATTGGTTCAAACTTCTAACTCAAATCGTCAATCACATCATTTTACTCATTTCAGGTCAAAATGATTGTTTTTGACAAACTTGCAGATTAAAACCCAAAAAATACACGCCCATTTTCTCTACTTTATATATAGACAGGCTTTGATTTTTGCAAATTTTTGGCAGCCTGTTTTTTTTCCAAGCCTTCTGAAAGCTTTTGGAATTGAATTCGAAAACGAATTCGAAACTTCAAGGTTTGCGGATGGACGGAAACGGGAGTCAGATCGCGTCGGTGGCCTTGCGAGCCCCTACGACGAGTCATCAGTCGTTCTCCGGCCCCTCGACCTCCTATCGACGGCAGCAGCCTGCCTACTCTCGGACCTACACACACAGCTCTGAGAACCGACGACAGAACGTCGAAGCCTACCATCACTTGGGCAACGACGAGGGGATCCGCGACCAAATCATCCAGTTGAACGATGGCGAGAGGTTATCATTTCACACTGTCGACTTTTGGAAATGTTCTCGTCAGCTCGTGAAAAACGAAAGCGGAAAACTCTTCATGAAAAAATGAGATAGTGATGAAAAATTATCTCAAACACTCTTATGTGAGAAAAGATATGTTGATAAGGCAATAAAGTTTTTCCTATCAAAAAAAAAATAGTGAACCAGAATTTTTTGATATTTTTATTTGGTCAAATGCAGATTCCTGACACTGAGACGCGCTTTGAGGTCTCAAGCTATCCGTGTAAGTATACAACGCTAGAAAGAAGTATTTGTGAGAGAATACTTCTCGCCTGGCTATGAAGGAATTTGCAGGGAAGACCTCGCCGACATGGACGCAAGTTTGCCGCCGCATCTCCGGGAGAAGTTTTACGGTTGCCTGGCCGATATCGGAATTCCCAACGCCGAGGAAGTGATTCGAACCGCGGCCTCGACCTCTGTGGGCACGAGTTCCGTGTATTCTTCACGACAGGTCCGTCGCTTCTGTCTTTTTCTCACGTGCTCCTCTTTAGGAAGGCATGTTTTCTTCGCGCGCTCCTAACGCCGACGAGATGTTTGCTGCTGAAGCAAACGCCATCGAACAGGAGGAAGAGTATTACGGAGAGCCGAGCAGAACAGGTTTTTCAGCGCTTAGAATAATTCATGTTCAGTTCGACATTTATTTCCGATACGAGAACTGTGTAACGGCGGAGTAAGAAAACCTTTTTCCTGGCTATCCTTCACCGCGATACCGTTCACGTTCTCGAAAAAATTTAATAATCAGAGAGGATTCATCAAATTTCTATATTAACGAGCAAAATCCTTAGACTTGCGACACGCCTACAGACAAAGCTACGCCTCTCGGAGTGAATCTGGCGGGAAGTCCTTACAACAAAGAATAGACGACATCCGCGCGGCGAACGCGATCGAAGAGTCGAGCGACATGCCGGTGTTGGATATGGTGGAGGTTGGGCGACGACGACGGCTCCTCTCAGTCGTTCCTTTTTTCAGACGTTCAGCTACCCGAACAGAGGGTCACAGCCTCCAGTAATGGACACCTACCAGGGTGAACAGCGAATGAGCGGCGAGAATCAGGAAAACGGCTACTTTGTCGAGGAGGGCGACACCAGCAAGGAAGAGGTTGCTCTCAGACTCAGAAAACTCTCTTAATCTGTCGTTCATTTTTCATCTTTCAAACTGTTCCCTTATATTCTCGCTTTCAGCTTCTCAAATGCCCATGTTGCGGAGAAAACCTGCGCAGATCCATTTACTACCATCACGTCAAGACGATCAACAAATTCGGCAGCTGCAACGCAAGCGCACCGCAACGCTATCCTTGCACAGAGGTGCGTCTCACCGGAAAATCTTCCCTTGAAAAGTAATATTTTTCCAGTGCGCCGAACGGTTTGCGACCGTCGAAAAACTCTGTGAGCACATGTATCAACTACACAACGCTCCCACGCAGGTCCAGATCCAGGAATTCGAGACAGAGGAAGATTTCGGCGTGAGAACGGATAACATTTCTTAAGAAGCTCACCTCATAGTTCAGAACTTTTTGAGCGGTATAGAAGGTCGCAGAGGGAATTTCAAAAAAGGACGTGGAATGAAAAAAGTCAAAGTAAAATTTCATTGAGTTTCATTTTTATCAAACTAGTAATTTCAGCGCGGCGTCGTACAATATTTTCGATGCAACCGAATGACAAAGTTGGGCAAAGAAAAGGTTTCTTTCATCTCGAGTTTTCAACTAATGCTGTTTTTAGAAAACCGAAACGTCCGGCGGAGCCGTCGAGGTCAAACGAGAGAAGCTCGGAGAGCAGGCGGCGCTGAATGGGAAGCTCGCAGAAGGCGCGCAGACGACGGAAGATCCGCCGGAGGGCATTTGCACGGCCTTCATCGTTAAGGCTTACCTTCCCAATGGGTTGGTCTTTTTTCGCGTTATGAAAGTGTTCCCAAAATGAAAGTGTTCCCAAAATCAGAGCTGTGCTGTGAAAAGCTTTTCGGAAGTTATCGTAGAGTTGGGGACCTTGAAAGGGTTTTGAAGATAATGGAAATTTCAGACGGATCGAGGTCCGTTTCTGCGAGCATCATCTCCACACGGACGACCGTCTTCGACTTCCGGTCTCCGTGAAGCGGAGGCTTTACGACATGTCCATTAAGAGGCTGCCTCCGGTCGCCATGCATCGCGTCCTCCTTGGTTTGTAGCTTCCGAAGTTCAATGGGGATTTTTCAGATTCTGTGTACGAAATGAATTGATAGATTCGAAACTTTTTGTCAGTTTGTGAGGCTCACCAATTCGTCTTTCAAACATTTACATTACGAAATTCTTGAAGAAAAAAAAAGTTAAAAGCGCTAACAAAGAGGGAAACATCTTTGTTAAAGTTTTTTTTCGCATTTTTTTTTTACAATTTTCAAGTGTCAATTTGCAATTTTTTACGTCGATTTGCAGCTGAAATCGATTCGTTCTGCCCACGCGGATCCCCGATGGAAAGAAGAATCCGCGCCCTAACTTCAGAAGACATAACGAATCTCCTTTGTGGAATCCACAGGGCTTTGCGGCGAGAGATGGGGGTTCCAGACATTTCTCTGAGGGTCACAGGCCCTGATGAAAAACTGCCCGAGAATCCCATAGACCCTGCAGGTTCGAACCGTTTTCGCGACTTTTCGACTATTTTTTGCTTTAGATAACGCTCCCATCAAGTCTGAGCTAGATGATGTCGAACCACAAAGTTCAGAAAACGTCATAGTAAACGAACATTTTACCGAGGTTCAGTCGAATTGCGACGTTGCTCTGAAATTCTACGATTCAGGAGATGGAAACACAAAAAAAAGAAGAAGAGGATCAAGAAAGCTTGGCGGAAGGAAAATTTCCAGAGACACCGGCGGTCGCTGAAGACGAAGTCATCGACGTCGTCACTGAAGAAGTGCAGGTGAATATTTGGATCGTTTGCATGTTAAATTCTTATGAACCAAGACTAACGCTTTGTTCAGGGTCCCAGAAACGTTGCGATCGCGGCAGACAATGACGAAGACACCAACGAGGACAATTCCATGGCCGACGAATATTTGTGTCGTGAGTCGAAGCTCCTCTCCAGTAGGCTACTATTCATTTTAAGTGTACAATCCGGACTTGGGCATCGATGTCGAAATTTCTGCTCTGACGGATATCGAACAGCGTGAACTCGACGCCTACGAACTCTCGATGGGCATCGAACTTTCTGAGGAACAGCAACTGCTCCGTTCACGTAATCGCATGCGGTTCGTTTTTCCTTTCTTCAAACTATTTTTGGGCCCGCAACTTTCGCTGGATATTTTTGCGTATACTAGAACTCTCTGGTATTTCACCCAAAGCATATAGAAATTTCCCAACTAAAAACCCCTTATTTTCTATGAACAAGAACATATGTAGTTCCTGATGTACGCGTCGGAAGCGCGGAAATCGCCTTCAAATAAAAATATGTATTGAGAAAAAAGATTTTTACTGACATCCCTATGTGTGTTTCTAAATTTTCTGAAGACAAAAAATTTGAGTCCCATTCAAATAGTAAGCTGAGCTGGTCCCTCTGTTCTCCTTTCTTTGTTCACTTTTCCGATGAAGACAGTCCAACGAAGAATTTATCTCAAACTTGGGTAATTAAATAGAACGAAACAAATTATAAAATGCGGCAATAAATATAAAATTGCGGAAAAAGGGGAAATGAAATGTGGCGACGGGGAAGAGACCGAAAACTGAGGGCGACTGGACGCTGGGGACGGCGCTGCACAGTTCTGAGTCAGCGCCTCTAGAGTGGTACGGGTTGCGGCCGGTCAGAGGAGGGAGCCCCAAAAGATTTGAAACAGGCTAGAGACGTCGAGGGAAGGCCCTTTTCCTCTTTGGAGAGTGAACCAGTCTCGTTAATAACGGACGGTCTCTTTTGACTCCTTGAGGGGACCTTTATCCTCTTTTTTGACGTCTTTGGTCTATTTATATGATTGGTAGTGATTTGATTCACAACAAATAGAATAAATTCAGCTTTATCGTCTTTTGAAATCGGTCTGAGGCTTTTTTTGAAATCGGTCTGAGAAAATGTTTCATCACGAAAATGAGGAAATTGAGCATTTTTGTGACAACATTTTTCTTCCAAAAATTCAATCTAGATTCTTTTTCATATTAAAAAAATAATTGAAAAAAACAGGAAGGTTTGACCAGAAAAAAATTATTTTTAAAAACTTGTTTTTCTTAGGTTTTTTTAGAAAAATACTGGACAGTCATGCAGTAATCCACTTTTTTTATTTTTTTGATTATTTCTTTATCTTTGCCTACTTACCCTGCCCGGACCACGATCATTACTTCAATAATTTTTATACTTTTTTTTTTGGGATTTTTCTGTTATTTGTCATCAGTCCTTAATTTTTTTTTTTTGCAATAAGCTTTTCTAGACGTCGACAATTAGAAAAAAGGAGTTGAACGTGTTTTGTTTTTCAAAGTGCTCTGCGTTCCCTAAACTAACTTCCTTCATTTATTACCTAAGGGATTTTTAAAATTTGTAATTGATATACTAGCTGTTCTCTCGACCGTTAACCTCTTTAATTGTAGACTTTCTGCGAGTGACATGTGCGAGAGAATGCACGACGCCGCCGAGACCATCCAAGTTTACTGTGTCTGAACTCCCATACCTGATTTACTTATATTCAGGTGTATTCTTTCATGGAGAAAAGCGCAACATCCTTACACGAGTTGAATGAAATGGCAGATGAGGTGGTTTTCTTGAATCGAATCGATAAAATGTTTTTCCTTTCTAGGCGGTCGATCTTTGCTGCAAGCTCCAGGCGACTGTCCTTCAACGGCTAGGAGAAAAAATCGACGCCAAGCAAATCAAAATACAGTATTTCAATATTGCCAGCCAACGAGGGTCAGTTCGAAACTTTTCTCGGTACAATTTGAAGGCTTCTAGCAAGGTCCAAAAAGGAAGAGAGCCGGAAATTTTCAAGTAGAACTTACTAAAAATACTCGAATAAGTCGATCCAGAAAATACACTTTAACACGCTGTCTCTGTAATTCTCAAAAATTTCTAAAAGCAACGGGTACAATAAAAAAAATATTTTTTAATTTGGATGAAACTTCATCCAGTATAATTGTCCGTCATCAGAAATGCGGACCCAACTTATTGAGCCATTCCCTCTTACTGTAGCCGGGTTACGGTAGGCAGGTGGGCACCTGCGTATCTCAGTATTGAATAGTTTTTTCTAGGCGAGTGATATATCAATCGATAGGTGATCCAATTTCAAGAACTTTTACAGTACACACCATCTTGGGTTACGGTGGAAAAATTTTGAATTACGGTACTTTTTGCGTCTGCCGGGTTAGTTTTTCGACCACCACGAGCTTGAGCCGGGAGATCCATTCTTCGTAGCTCCTCAAAAGATACCTTATGAGAAGCTGTACAAGCTGGTACTAGTTTGAAGAAATCCTAGGTGGACCATCATTTCGAAAAAAATCTCCCCGAAGGCGCGCAATCGTGGTCTTGCGGCGGCCAAATGGGGAAGTCCATGACGCCTGACGGCTCATTCTTCACAGATCCATTCTAAACTTTGTTTCCATTGCACTTATAGATATCTATAAATGGTTTTTATTACAACTTGAGATGATTTCAGGTTGACCATCATCTCGAAATCTCATTTTGAACTCAAATTTGGCCTAAAATGGCCGACTCGGCTTTTTTCACGGGATCCCTGACCCCGTATGTGACCGTTCTCAACTTTTTTCTTCCTTAAAAATGAACAAAAGTGTCTGAACAATAGTTTTATAACGATCGGAAACTATTTTGAGAGGACCATCATCTCGAAATCTCATTTTGAACTCAAATTTGGCCTAAAATGGCCGACTCGGCTTTTTTCACGGGATCCCTGACCCCGTATGTGACCGTTCTCAACTTTTTTTTCTTCCTTAAAAAAATGAACAAAAGTGTCTGAACAGTAGTTTTATAACGATCGGAAACTATTTTTGAGAGGACCATCATCTCGAAATCTCATTTTGAACTCAAATTTGGCCTAAAATGGCCGACTCGGCTTTTTCACGGGATCCCTGACCCCGTATGTGACCGTTCTCAACTTTTTTCTTCCTTAAAAATGAACAAAAGTGTCTGAACAATAGTTTTATAACGATCGGAAACTATTTTGAGAGGACCATCATCTCGAAATCTCATTTTGAACTCAAATTTGGCCTAAAATGGCCGACTCGGCTTTTTTCACGGGATCCCTGACCCCGTATGTGACCGTTCTCAACTTTTTTCTTCCTTAAAAATGAACAAAAGTGTCTGAACAGTAGTTTTATAACGATCGGAAACTATTTTGAGAGGACCATCATCTCGAAATCTCATTTTGAACTCAAATTTGGCCTAAAATGGCCGACTCGGCTTTTTTCACGGGATCCCTGACCCCGTATGTGACCGTTCTCAACTTTTTTCTTCCTTAAAAATGAACAAAAGTGTCTGAACAATAGTTTTATAACGATCGGAAACTATTTTGAGAGGACCATCATCTCGAAATCTCATTTTTGAACTCAAATTTGGCCTAAAATGGCCGACTCGGCTTTTTCACGGGATCCCTGACCCCGTATGTGACCGTTCTCAACTTTTTTCTTCCTTAAAAATGAACAAAAGTGTCTGAACAGTAGTTTTATAACGATCGGAAACTATTTTGAGAGGACCATCATCTCGAAATCACATTTTGAACCCAAATTTGGCTTGAAAACTTTTGGTTTACCCTTCTAATGAGATTATTGGTTCCATCAATACAGATCTTGGCCCTTTTCACTTTTTAAAGAGAATATAAACCTGAGAACTGAAAATAAATTCTATTTTGGCTCAATTCCAGAATGACTGTTTACCTGGGAAACCCACTTTTAAATAAAATTTCGCTTGAAAATCGAAATATTTTTTTTTGGTTTTTTTTTTCACAAAATTAGTCACAAGACGAGTGTCTTGTTTTTTAGGTATGAAAAAAAGCCTGAAGATCCAGAACTACTATTTAGGTTATAATAAAAAAACATCTATAAAACATCAGCTTGAAAGTTAAGTTTCAACCTCACCGGTGGTCAGAGTGTCGGGTTTTTTTCTTTTTATGAGGAAAATTTCTTGGTATTTCACATTTCTCATTTTTTTGATTTCTTGTTTTGAAAAATTGGCAGAATAAACTTCGATGTAAATGATAAAAACTTCAAATGGGGAAACTAAGCCGATATTTGAGTTCAAATCGATATTTCGAGATGATGGTCCTATCAAAATAGTTTCCGATCGTTATAAAACTATTGTTCAGACACTTTTGTTTATTTTTAAGGAAGAAAAAAGTTGAGAACGGTCACATACGGGGTCAGGGATCCCGTGAAAAAGCCGAGTCGGCCATTTTAGGCCAAATTTGAGTTCAAAATGAGATTTCGAGATGATGGTCCTCTCAAAATAGTTTCCGATCGTTATAAAACTATTGTTCAGACACTTTTTGTTTCATTTTTTTAAGGAAGAAAAAAAGTTGAGAACGGTCACATACGGGGTCAGGGATCCCGTGAAAAAGCCGAGTCGGCCATTTTTAGGCCAAATTTGAGTTCAAAATGAGATTTCGAGATGATGGTCCTCTCAAAAATAGTTTCCGATCGTTATAAAACTATTGTTCAGACACTTTTGTTCATTTTTTTAAGGAAGAAAAAAAAGTTGAGAACGGTCACATACGGGGTCAGGGATCCCGTGAAAAAAGCCGAGTCGGCCATTTTAGGCCAAATTTGAGTTCAAAATGAGATTTCGAGATGATGGTCAACCTGAAATCATCTCAAGTTGTAATAAAAACCATTTATAGATATCTATAAGTGCAATGGAAACAAAGTTTAGAATGGATCTGTGAAGAATGAGCCGTCAGGCGTCATGGACTTCCCCCATTTGGCCGCCGCAAGACCACGATTGCGCGCCTTCGGGGAGATTTTTCGAAATGATGGTCCACCTAGGATTTCTTCAAACTAGTACCAGCTTGTACAGCTTCTCATAAGGTATCTTTTGAGGAGCTACGAAGAATGGATCTCCCGGCTCAAGCTCGTGGTGGTCGAAAAACTAACCCGGCAGACGCAAAAAGTACCGTAATTCAAAATTTTTCCACCGTAACCCAAGATGGTGTGTACTGTAAAAGTTCTTGAAATTGGATCACCTATCGATTGATATATCACTCGCCTAGAAAAAACTATTCAATACTGAGATACGCAGGTGCCCACCTGCCTACCGTAACCCGGCTACAGTAAGAGGGAATGGCTCAAAAAGTTGGGTCCGCATTTCTGATGACGGACAATTATACTGGATGAAGTTTCATCCAAATTAAAAAATTTTTTTTTATTGTACCCGTTGTTTTTGAGAATAACGGAGACAGCGTGTTAACGCTTTTTGTAGCCTTATTGTAATGTTTACGTAGATTGCTTCACGGGTTCTTTCTTCCAAAAAAATTGAATCAAACGTTTTAATTTTTTTGGTGCACGTTATTTTTGCAAACACTCAGCTTTTATTATTTGTAGCAAAAACTCTTTGCTGAATATTACAGGCTTTTTTCAATTTGTTTTTCTTTTATGATAATTATTATTTGAAGTGAACTTTATGGAAGATATTTCAGCCGTCTGGCAAGACAACAGCAGGTTCAGCAGCAGCTCGACGAAGAACGACGACGGCGTCTGATGCAAGACCGTCAGAAGGGCGAATTCGACTACTACAACACACAACCCTACCAGCGTCAGCGTGAACACGAGGATTTCGGTGCGGGAGGATTATATGGGGAAGAAGACGTCGACGTGAGATTCCCTTATGGATCCATCTCTAAACCTTCTTCTTTTCAGGTCACTTCGATGTCTCCTACGAAACAAGTCGCTCGCCCAGCTCACTTATCTGTTTCTCCAATCAACGGACTCCATCAGATGGACGTCGAAGCTGGAGTGCAAGATGTGTTTGAACAGGACTTAGAAAAAGAAAAGCGCCATGAGCTGAAAGGCCTTCCAAGATACCTTTTGCCGCCGAAGTTGCCTCGTCCGCGGGCTCCCAGACCACCTAAGCTTAATCCTGATGGAACTCCAGTCGAACCGAAGAAACGAGGACGACCGAGAAAATCCGGCGTTTCAGCCCCGTTGGCAGCACTTGAGCCCCATATTGTGCGAGAAGAAACCGTTCTGACATCGGACGCCGTTGTCGTCATGTCGAATGAAATCGTTATGCTGCCTGCAGAAGTAGTCCACGAGGAAGAAGTTATCTCGTCGACCTCAGCCGAAGTCCCTTCGTCGGCGCTCCAGCTCCTCGCGGCAGAAGCTGTCAACGCGACGCAAACTTCCTCGGAACCTCCTGCTAAGCGAGGCAGACGTTCTGGCCCCGAAAGGGAATTCAAATCATCCGAGAACAGAACGATTCCTGGTCCTAAACGCGCCTACAAGCAGAAAGTATCCAGAAAATCAGAACAACCAGTCTTTGAACAACCCTCAATGGTAAAATTTTGTTTTTTTTTTTCATCTTTGATAGTCGCGGAGGAAAAAGGTCATTGTGAGAATAACCCAGAATGTAACCCGATTTTCATAAGATTCAGAGGAATTGAATGTTTTATACCTTTGACTTTGTTCCGCGGTCATCAAACTTGCTCTTTAAAATCTTCTGCTCAAAAATTGTACATTTGTCCTATTTTGCAGATGTCCAACCTTGTTCCTGTTGCTTCCAATCACAACGAAGTGCAGGACGGGTCGATAGAAGACAACCTGAACGTAATTCTGCAAATGGATGATGAGCTGAAAAAGGAAAAAGAAGAACCCATTGACGTCGACGAACCACAGATTCCAACAGTCACACGCACCGGCCGTGTCGTCAAACCTAAACGCTCCCTGTATGATGATTTTTAGGTTTTTTTTTTCTATTCCTCATTAATTTATCCTTACCTAATAGTTATATTACCATATTTTGCTTCTTAAAATGCGTCTGACTTGTCATACCCGCTTTAATTTCACTTTTCGAAACGATTATAGTGTTTGGAGTTGGCTTTGCTCACTCTCAATTCTTGCGATTAGATTGACAATTTGAAACCTAGAACTACCTTATGACCTATACGTGTATTGGCCTCCTATTCAAATTCAACAATTCCAACCACAGCTTGCAGTTTTATTGCATAGCTTTCCCTTCGCAATTTTTTTTTGTGATTTTGGGCCACCTCACCAATAATGCCGTTTTGCATATTGTACACTTCCTTTAGATCGTGTTTTCTAGGATCTCAAAAGTGCCTTCCAAATATTTCATTCTGAGTGGAAAAAGAATCTTATTTTTGAAAACTCCTGGAAGCCTTGTTTTTTTTTCAGAATTTCTCTTGAAAGAAGTTTTTTTTTGTGAAAATATCATAAATTTCTGCGAAGCGTCACTTAACCCGTCGGAAGATTCCCGTTGCGCTATTTCATTCGTTCCATTTTTCGTATCACGTCTGAATTTTTCAACTTTTTTTATAAAATATTTTTCCGAAAGAAGAAAAACAATAGAGAGAGAAAGAGAGTTGAAAAAAAGCCACACATAGAAAGAGGCGAATATATTCTATATTATATAGATTTAATCATCAGCAGGATTAAGCCGTCTCTGGTTTTTGAAACGTTAATTTGATGGTGTAAACGTCATTTCAAAATTCTACAAAAAGAGCTCGGAAAGAATCATTATACGTATTTTTCAAAAAAAAAAAAGGTTGAGACAAGGGTTCTCTGTTTGGATGGAAGCTAGCTTCCGCCCATTACAACTTCTGTTTCTTGGATACGCGTCGCTTTTGGCGCAGACAAAGTGGTGCACGTCCCTCTCAAAGGAGATTTTCTTCTGGGTTTCCTCATTGGACAGAGCCTTTGCTCCGCCCACACCAGACTCTTGTCTGCCGGACACTTCTGTTACTTTCCTGTGTTCGTCCTGTTCTTTTTCTGAGCTCCATTCATGTAGCGCCTTGAAAGAAGCTTTCAAAGAAGAATAGTTCCTGGCTTTTCCAAAAATATTTCATAGAATAGTCATTCGAATATTAGTCACAAAAGGTTTTCGCCGTCAAAAGCGGAAGCTTTCCGATCGAAGGAACTGATTTGAAATCAGTCAAGCCCGCATTTTCCTTTTTGAAACAATCTCACCGTATTCGAAATTTCCTAGAAAATTTCGTTCATAACACAATACAGATTGAAACAAAAGAAGTTATTCGAAAAGTCGTAGAAGTTTTTCATGAGCGCAGAAGAGCCAAAAAGGTGAGCTATTAGGAAAGCAAAAGCCGACTCTTTTCCGAGACGTGACCGCATTCTTCGCGCTTCGTGCCAAAAAAGATCAAACTTAGCTGCTGTTGCTAAGTGGCGACTATATTTGCCTTTCGATGAAAATCATAATTTGTGGGGAACTTTCTTTTACATAACCTGCTTCATGACTCATTCCGCGAAAGCTTTTTTTCCGCAAAAAATGACCGTATACCGAATTCGACCCCATATGACCATCTAACTCGGAACACACAATACTAGATGGACCTACCATTCATCTTTTTTAGGTAAGGTACCAAACGAGTCGTTCATTTCTAGATAGGGATGGGAAAATGCCGAGCAGCTTCTTCCATTTATCGTGTTCTCGAAGAAAGGCTCTTTCTTCCACAGCTTTGACTTGGAATAAAGGAGAGGCCTGAGTGTGGGCGGTCGAGTCCCTTGACATCATTTCTTCGCTACTGGAAATTATTTTTCATTTTGCTAACTCTTCCTCTCAATGCGTCCACTTCTCGTGTTTTTCCTTCTCGAAAGCTGTCAATGTAGACGTTTTCTGCAATGGAACACGTCGTTGCTAAATGAAATTTGTATTTCTTTTGTTTTTTGCTAGTTCTATACGCTATTCTCCGAGATATGTATGATAGCGATGAAATTTTCTTCAACGATAGCTCGGATGGAGATTTATCCCGTTCAAAGTGACTGCAAACGGCCTTTCCGTTTTCACGGCTTCTGGAAATGTAATAAACAAAAAAAGATGAAAGGCGTCGGAAGAAATGTTCGAGGCAGTAGCCTTTTTCTTGCCACCGGAGAAATTCCGTTCAAATGCGAGAATCCAGCTTTTTTGAACTCGGTCAGTTTCAAAATTCATATTTTAGTTGATTCATTCATTTTCTTCAAGATTTATATGGAATCTATTAGACGATGAAAATTGCGTTTTGTTTCCGAAGAGATTTTCATCGTATTTCGACTCCAAGTAGTGGGAATGCAATGGAGAGAAGTTCTTACGATCATTCTAAAAAGGGGTTGAACAGCTTCTGGAACGAGATTTGGCTTGAAAAAAAATTCTAAAATTTGATACTTGCTAGGCAGAGATTCTCTTCAAGAATAATAACTTCTTGGTAAAACTTGAGATAAAAGCATTTCCAGACAAACTCACTGTCTAGCAACTTTTTCTCGAGATTACTGCTTGCAGTCTTTTTTGTGCTAGCCTGAAACGAGGTTTTCGGATGGACTTTACTTGAAATTTGTGAATAAAAACTAATTTTTAAAGAGTTTCTAGAAGTTTGCGAAGAAATATTAAACATATTTGTTTAAATAGTATTCCATTTACCTCAACTATTAGTAGTTTTTTTCTTTCTGAAACGATTCAAAAAATTTAGGCAGAGAAAAAAGAGCTGCCACTCACTAGGGAACTACTCGGACTCGGGTACGCCGATCGAGTTCAAACTTTAGTGGTTTATAGACCTAAGTGAGAATACCTGAAAACAAGTGAGAATATCTGCTAAACCCAATAGAGAACTGAGAAAAAAAATTAGTAGAAAAATGGGAAAAATTAGGCCTGAAATTTTTTTCAGAAAAACTGTTTCTTACCTTATTTTTATATTTTTAATACAATCGCCTTGAATAATCCCGCTATGATAAATTCTAAAAAACTTTTTCCCAGCCAAAAAAATGAGGAAAGCCAGAAATTTGATAATTTTCAAGCCTAAACTGTTCATTTTCAATAAGCTTTTTCTCAAAAGCCTATGGGGTTTAGCAGATAAACTCTCTTGTTTCCAAGTACTCTTACCCGGGTCTATAAGCCACCAAATTTTCAACTCGAAACACGTACCCGAGTTCGAGTAGTTCCCTAGTCAGAGCAAATGAGCTCCATTTCTATAACTCGATCTTATTCACAACTTTAAAGAAACTTCTTTTTTTTCTTCCTTACTAGCTAGCGCGTCTTGCATCGAACCAAGGCAATAAATCCAGCGACACCCGAGTTTTCATTTCGGGCGAACGAGCACTTTTCATTGGCACGTGCAAACTCATAAGGTAGCCAAAAGCCCTGAGGAAGCAGGCCATTCGGCGCTCCGCTCGGTCTCACGGACCAAGCCACCCATGAACACCGCATTATAATCGTTTCTCCACGCGGCTCCCACGCCTTCCGACCCCATTGTTTTCTTTTTCTGCTGCGAACAACTTTTCGTTGTGTTGAAAAACATAATGCTCATCCATGGTACCACTGATCCTCCGCGAGAATGTTTCTTCACGTGAGTTCAACTTTCGAGATTATTCACTGGATCGGTTGGCAGTTTTTATCATATTTATTCGTTCCTTCCAAATCAATGGATAAATTTGAGGACTTTCTTCCTTTTTCTTTGATCTCCATGATAACTTAGTAGAAACCCAAAGTTCTTTTCCCTGCACTTCGGCTAATAATTTGACAATACCTGCGTCTAACTTGACTAATCTGTTGAGAGGTCGAATGGCTTGAAAATGCCGACGGAAATTCAGAATGACGCTGTCGCCAGAGACGCTGCTCATCGTGCTGGCCATCGCCATGTGTTCCTTGCTGCTGCTTTTCACAGTCGCCGTCGTCGTCGTCTTCCACTGCTGCCGGGTGGACGCCCTGCACGGCTTGCCTTCAGCCGTTCTCCAAGTTCGTGTTCCCGTTGCTCACTCCACCAACTTGAACATTCTTGTCCACCTCTATCAAAACATTTTTCTTGTTCTATATTTTTGAGAACTTTTACGCGTTCAGGAGCTATTTCAGATTTTTGAACATCCTTCTGAGAAACGGAAGATAGTCCGAGATATTCATTTTTGAAACTCGAAACGACTGCGCGAAAATAATTTCTTACTTTTGCCATCTCAACATCATTTATCACTTCACCAATGAATAATTAACGACAATACGTTTTTAGGGCCAAATAAATAGCTTAATTATGGAAAAAGCTTTCTTTTTCTATGCAAATGAAATTACCTTGTGGACTCATCTTATGAAATGCGTCAGCGCATTTTTGTAGATTTGAGCCATTAGTCATCTAACAAGCCTTTTCAGTCACTTTTCCTTCATCTTTAAGAAGAAGTTGTTTTCAGCGAACGCGGAACTCAGTGAACTGGGCTCGGCATTCGGTCTTCAGTCACCAGAACCTCGAAGACGACGACGACGAGACGGACGAGTGCAGCGGGACTCCTCGACGCAGTTTCCTCCAGCCGCCTCCCATCATGGTCTGACGTCATCAGAAGGCTTTTTTTTGATTCCCCACGTCGACTCATATCGGGTGAAATATGGAAAATGAACACGCTAGTAGTCAATTAACTTTCTCATTTGTGAAATTCTCCATCTTACTCTATCAACTTTTCAAAAAAATTTCTTATAGCTCCAGGAAAACATTCAAAACAAAATGTTGAACTTTTTTCCACAAAAACTGTGTGTTTCTGAAAGACGCTTTTTCCTATATCCATTTTTCAATGTATCTTCTAATAAGTTAGACGGTCTTTTCCTATATGACGGGAGTATTTTCTATTGAATAGTTTATATCTATCTCCACGGGCATGCTTTTCATTTGGACAGATTTCTCAAAGTTTCCTTTTCTTCATTTTCCACTTCTTGCTAACATGTTTAATCTGTGAGATCTCTTCAATCTTTTTTTAACTTGAAATTTTCATTTACCATACAGTTTAAATGTGAAGCACACATAAAGTGATTTTTTTTTATTTGTTTGCAAATAAGGAAACGACACCAACGTGAAACGACTCGAATAAGAAGTGAACGTGTGCTACCGGCAAAGTCGGTCCGATAAAAATAGTTAAAAATCATAAAGCGAAAATAAAAAAGAAAATTGAGTATTAGTCATCCTCGCCTACCACTTTACAAGAAATGAAGTAAAGTACGTAGAGAAAGTTAACCAAGGCGGAGCTCCAGAGTATGACGTCCTTGGCGCCGGCGGCCGTGTCTCTATCAGAAGGCGTCGCGCCGTCGACGTGCATACGAACCGGATCCTGAGGATGGAGGCGAGAGAAAGATAGGCGCCGCTCTGGCTCTCGCCGTCGGAAGAGCGTTCCATTCTCTGCCGACTGGGTTCGCTCCGTAGCCACCGCCCATGATTTGAACGTTGTATCCCTGGACAGTAATTATATCTTCATTGACTGGAGAACCGGAAAACTTTGGCTGCATATCGAAAAAATCAGCGAGAAACAAGAAGGCGAAAGCATTGGCTATGAAATATCAGTTCAGCTAAACGAGCCACGAAAACTTTGCCACGCGTTGTCAGAATAGTCAGGCGCTCGTTGCGCTCCATTACTCATTTTAAATAAAACAAAATTCGAAATTAAAATTTTTTTCATTCATTAAATAAACTAAATTTCAAATCACTAAAATCATGTATAAAAACACGCGAAAACAGCTCGAACTAAATAATAGAAAAATAAAGGGGGGCTTTAACGGGGGAGCGAACACGTAGATGGCGATTTTGTCAACGGTGCCATAATTTTTGCATCTTGCTTTCTTTTTGGCATTTGTTTCGCTTTTTGCAACTTTCTTGTCACAGACCCATAACTAACCTGTTTGGTTTGAAACGCGCGAGCCCGTGGTCGCTGAGCGGATGTGCCAACGAAGGACGACGGGAGCGAACGAAGAGGCTGGCCGAGCTGCTCAGAGGAGTGCTCGCCCGGCTGCTGCTCGACAGTCGCACTCGAAAATTGTCGTCGAGGATATTTTGCTGGTGCCCAACTCTCTGATTCTTCAGCGCCGTTGTAGACATCGCCAGAGTGTTTGTGCGATGGCTGAGCTACTGTATCCGGATAGTTGATTGTCTTTGGAGTCTCCGCTTCCAAGTAGTTGGGATCCACACGAGGTTCCTCTTCGTCGGTCGGCTGTTCCGAGTGCTGCTGCGCACTGGCAACTTGAGACTGGTGATGTGCAGGGGCAGACGGAGTGGTACTGGGACGCTGCTCGGACCTAGCGTCGTAGCCTTCTTCGGCTGTCGGAGACGGGGGAGATGGTTGGTATGGGCTGGTGCTTGACTCTGAGCGAGATTTGTACTCTTGTGAGTTGTCGTAGCCTTTCTCGCCGTTGTCTTCGTCTGCTGGGTATCCCACGTTGGGCTCCTGACTAGGTGCTTCGCGACCAACTGGACAATGGGAGCAGGAACCTTAAAAAAGGAAATTCTAACTCCATTATAGTGTTCAAGTTTTTTAAAATTAGGTGTCAGGGAAAATTCCATCTAAATGAGCTACGCTCTTCTAAAAACCTACTTCGACTTGAACTTTAAAAGATAATGAATTCAAAAAGAAGTGATCCAAACTTTCTGGTTTTTATAAGTTTTGTGCCTTTCCAAGACTTGAAACCTTTGCGTCCGAGAGGTCCGTCTGGTCCAGGAGGCCCAGGAGGTCCTCTGGCGCCGCGACTGCCGCGTTCTCCTTGGCTGCCGCGAGGTCCAGCTACTCCTTCAATGCCAGGTCGACCGTCTCTGAAATAGGAACCGAATAGCTCGAGTAAACGAAAAGTTTTTCGAGAAAAAGAAGTGCTCGGCAAAAGAGGAATCTACCCGACCAAGCTGATCAGTTTGAAAAAGGTCAGAGAAATAATTGACAGAAGGATAGAGAAGAGGCGATATACGTTAGTTCAAAGACGATAAACTCAAAATGACTAATGATGAAGGAGAAATTAGAATATTCATTTGGATTGGTCGAAAGATGGGTCATGCACTAAGGAGCGTTGAGGAGCTGGCGAGCTGAAAGTTGGCCCTCAGCCGGCCCTCTAAAAGCGAACAAATAAACAGACAATACACGAGCCCGAAAAACGCCAACTTTCGGCTTTTCGCATATTTCTCTAAAAAGATTGAATTTCATAAACATTTTCACCGTTCTAAATGAAAAAAGACGCAAAAAGAAAATGAAAACGACCGGTCTGTAGATAGACGCCTATTGTTGTTTTGAATGGCAGTTCAAACGGAAACGAAAAAACAACGTTTTTTTGCCTTTATTGGTTTTTTATTGGCGTCCATAACGGGGAACAGACAATAATGATATCGTTGGGAACTAGTTATGGGTTGAAAAACAGCAAAAAGTAGCTTCCGAGGTGATAAGTCGTTCTACTTGAATTAAGAACTTGAGCAGCTAGAAAGAATAATGATAAATACGCTGGATTGAAAATTCTTCCTCTGCTTTCAGTATATTACTAGTAATGGATACTCGTTATGGAATAATGTGTTTGATGAACTGTGTAAGAACACAAGAACATCGAAAAAGCAAAATTGACCACAGGATGGAGAAATTGATGGAGAGAAAGAAATGAAGCTGAATTGGAAACAAAAGAGTCGGCTGGACATGAAATAGCGCTGCTCGGGGGAGAGGCTTCCGACGCTTCGGTCACTGTTTGCGCAGCTTTTTCCTGCTCCGAGAAAGCATGGAAACTAATTCTATCTGTTCATTGTACTTATCACTCGAATTCTGACGCGGTGTGAATCTGCTAAAAAAAAATCCAAATTCTCAAAAATCGGAGAATTCTGATGAAAAATTGTATTTTGTTTTTCCTATTCATCGGTTGATCTCCGTTAAAAAAATTAGATGAAATAAAAAATAAAAATTAATTTGCGTGAAAACGTTTTCAAATTTCTTTTATTTCTTTTTTCGGCTTGTCTGTCTGAAAAGGTTTTGAGTTCATGTTAGGAAAGTGATAGTAAAGTTAGGGGTGGGAAAATTCGAAGTGAGCATAGAAAGAAACGGAAATTGAACAGCATCCTGTCGGAGGGCACTTATGGTTTTTGGAAGAGAGAGTCGGCCGAATAGGACTTTATCTTATCGCAAAGTTGAAAAAAAGAGAAATGATCAAAAACAGATTTTTGATCGTAAGTTACTACTAGAAAATACCGTTTCTTTCAGGGTCAAAGTCCAAAATTGCCTTAAAAGGGCTTCTTAGCGATTTTTCATTACTTTTCATCTGAAAGGCCCTTTTTGAGGATATGAAACGGTGTTGAAAAGAATATGTTATAATAAATTTCAGAATAGGAGGAATGAGAAGCTCTGTAAAAAAAAAAATTAAACCGATAGGTTTAGGGAGATCTATTTCACGAAAATTCACTAGCTTCAGATGAATATCTGAAAAAAATGAGATTATCATAACGGCCTCTCACTATAAAATGAGAAACTTCCAAAAAGGAAAGAGAAATATACAAAGAGAAAAAGATAGATGAATTCAAAAAAGAGAAACTAGAAATCTTCGCCTCATTTTCCACCGAAAAGCTGAAATGGATTGACGTCACGAAACTGGTTCGGCACTGGGCTGATAAAAATCAATGTGATAAATGGATGCTGTAAGTGACCCGATTCTCGCAATCAGAAACGTCGGGAGGGAATTCGTCCAAAGCATAAGAAGAGATAACTTAATTGATGGGAACTCACCTTCCAGTGTGGCCCAGCTTTCCGCGAGGTCCAACCTTGCCTGAAACACCAAAATTGATTGTATTCTTTGTTCAAAACATCTAGTTTTATATTCAAAAGAACTAGTGGGATGGCAGTAAGACTAAACACCAGGGCAAGACGTTTATGAGGCCATAAAAGAAATATAAACAACTGCCAGCGTCCTGCCTACGAAAAACCAGATCACAAACCAACTGATATCATTAGTGATATGAGGAGAACTTAGAAGGCGAAAAATGATTTTGACGTAAAAGTACAAGTTGACCATTGAGAAGGGCAAGCTGATATAGTAAATCCTTCCCGACTTGAAAGGCGAGACGGGCTGATTGGCAAGGAAGACGTGTTGCGTGTGCGACGCGGCTTTTGGCGGGGAGTTCGAGGTCAAACACGAGCCACATTTTTTCTTCATTCTCTTTTTTTCGACATTTTTTCAATAAATTTTGAATGATAGGGTGAAAAGATTCAGTTGAACGAATGAATATAAAAATAACAAAAACATATTTCTTCTACATTTTTCCATGATTGAATTTGACTTTGAGCTCCCCGCCAAAAGCCGCGTCGCACACGCAACGCCTCACCCTTGTCAATCTACCCGCTCGCCTTTCAAGTCGGGAAAAATTGACTATATACGATTTTCTCGAGAAGATAAAAAGGAAAATCGTGCTGTTCAGGTGAGTAAAGCGAAAGGCCAGCAGTTTTTGAACGATGTGACTCAGAACAGCCAGCTGTTGCGAGAAAACAACTAGAGAGTGGGTTGACGCGTCAAGGCCACCGAACACTACTGTTTCTAGAGGAATCACACTCTGGCGCCTGTTTTGGAAATCGTTCACCACCTTTGTTCGCTCTCCTTCCTAGAGTTCAAGGGTTTTTTTCGAGAAAATTCCGGGAAAGGGGAATAAAAAAGTTGAGCTCTCTAGTTAAATCCGGAATAACGGATCGAAAACCAGGCAACCACCTGTTAGCAGCGTTCCCACTCAAAAACGTGGCCTGTCGTAAACAGTACTGCAGTATCCACAATGGCTGTTAAAATGTACTCGGAAATCGAAACGGAAAAGTAAAAAACTATTAACGAGATAAAGAGAGTGTGTGTGTGCGTGTGAAGTTTATTCCTGCCAAATAACAAATTATAAAAATTTTCAGAATGAAATAGTAAACGTGGATCTACCTGGCTTTCCAGCAGGACCTTGGGGAGCGCCATTCAGCACCTTTCCAGGGTCGCCGTTAGGTCCTTGCATGCCGATTTCTCCTGGAGGTCCTCTCACTCCCGTTGGCCCAGGAGGTCCATCTCGCCCAGGAACTCCTGGAGTTCCAGCGGTTCCAGCGTTTCTGAAATGGGAAGTCCTTTCAACAATTACGAGACTCAAAAACAAAAGAGAAAGGTTTGCAGATCCTGAAAAATTGAGTAACAGAGGGAATAAAAGTGGAAGAGGATGGTCATGCTTCCCGCTTGTAAGGTTTTTCATTTTTCTCCATTAAAAAAACTAGTTAAAAATAAGACGATTCTAGACAAACCCAGAATTGCCTCGTGGACCTTTCCGTCCTGGATGTCCAGGTGGCCCTGGAGGAGCTGGAGGACATTTCTGACAGGCAGGCTCGTTGCTTTCCGCCGCCGTCACATACTTTCCTTCGATTCCGTTCCGTCCATTCACTCCGATCATCCCATCTTGTCCTGAGGATTTTCCGATTTCCGATGGATATTTCTCTACAAACCTGGTTCTCCTGCTGTTCCACGTGGCCCTGGAGGTCCTGGTTTTCCTTGTTGGCAGCTGCAGCCTAAATAAGCTTTTTTTTAAAGGGCGTTGTTACTCGAAAAAGTCTTAAAATAGTGCGAAAAAAAAAAAAAACAAAAAGTAGCGCGTGATGATTGAACACAGCCGTGAGGAGTCGGCTATATGAACTTCTAGAAAAGTTTTCAAATGTGATAAAACGTAAATGAGAATTTTTTTTTTAAAGAGTTATTCAATTCTGTTTTTCCAGCGACTAATGGTCTGTGGGAGCTGCTTTTTCTACGGAGCGAATCGAAGAAGGAATTGTAGAGGTCTACGCAGCGAAAGTACTGCAGAAGAAGTCTGATAATCTATGCGGAAAGCTGAAGAAATGAATTGGAGATTTGTAGTTTCGCGTTGCTCTTGAAAGACCAACATTTTCCAAGTGGTAGACGCGGAGAACTGACTCCAGAACCATACGAACGCTTTCCTCGAGACACTTCGTGCGTCATTTGTCTCCAGATGTCGTTGGAATCCTTCTGCAACAGACCTCCAAATGTAACATCTCCTGGAAAAAGGAAACTTGGCAGTTGTGGAGCTGTGCTAGCATCTCAGTGTTGACTCGTTGGATACGAATGAACGACATCGGCAACGCGACGACCACTATCAGAAGGCTCATCGTTGACGCCACCGTTGACGTCACCAACACTTTACGGAAGCCCATTTTCTGAGCCTAAAAAATCTCAGCCAGGTAGAGAAGATTTATACTTTTTGAGTAATTCCAACTTTTTTTTCGTTTTAATATCTAAAACGAAAAGAAATGGTTTATATGAAAATACCCTGGTGCAAAAAAACTTCGGAGTTTTTTCATTAGACTCCCTGAATCTTCTATGTAAACAAAAGTTTAAAAAAAACCTAAAACTGAAAAATTTCAGATAGAACCAATAAATAGACCACTAGGCTGACTAAAGATATTTCCGAGGATGTGTATGCGAATATGGATATGCAAAGATGAAGACGAGATATCGGGATCGGCTGCCCTTGACCGCATTTGATAAAACGCGTTTCTTCATGAACTACCAATAGTACGTAGCAGCAAAACTGTTTCGCAGTTCGTGAATTTGCTTTGACTTTGAGTAAGAAACTTTCTCGTCGAATGCCGAACTCTCCTTCGGTTCTCGCGAAAACAAATGAATCAATTTTCATCGAAAAATAATCGATACATGGAATGTCAAAGTTATTATTATTATTATTAAATTTTCCGAAATCATCGTTGAGTTATGATTGCGCTGTGCCTACGATGTAGCCGCGATCAGCACCCACGGAGTTGCTCTGTGAGCAAGAAACCTGAAAAAAAAGTCTATAGAGACTTTTTAGGTGAGAAATTACCTGGGAAATGATGGCTGTGGTGGCAGAACCCGCGCTAACAGGTACTCGCCAAACACCATTCACGCAAATCACCTGAAAATGTTTAAATTATGAAAATATATCGAAACTGAGCAAAAAGAAACGAGTAACTGATTTCAGGATAAGAAAAGAAAGTTATCAACCTTTCCGGTGACGCTAGTTCCTGCTGCGGAGAAAGTTCTGATGACATTGCCAGCCGAATCGAAAATTTCGATCTGGATTGTCGATGGCTGAATTTTTCGAATAATGAAATGGGCTTATTTTCGGTCACACGTTGGTGTCAGGTGCGGCGTCGCACATGATGAAGCCGTCGACAGGACACGTCGACGATATTCTGCGGAGGATCGAGCACTGCTGGAAAGTGGCCACCGACGGCGACCTGCGCGGCAAGGCGCTCACACTCAGCATCGGGCAACAGGCTGAACTTTTGTTCTTGTTCTTCTTGTCTTTTTGAACTGGTTATCGGAGGGGTTCCTTTACTGGAATCTTCAGAGTTTACTTGAAATTGGCGTGAATGCTTTTTTAATAAATACGGCAAAATTTCTGAAAAATCTGAAACTAAAACGCTTTTTCTACAAAGAAAATGAATAATTGAAATTCTCTCGTCAATAAAGTTTCAGAAAATACTTCTTACTTTTTTTAAACGCAATATTACGACTCGACGGAAAAAAACGAGGAATTTTTTGTCATTTTATTTGAGTAAAGCGAAAAAAATATTTGAAAATTTTTTTATTTCAAAAGTTTAAGTTAGAAACAAACTTAAATCCAACTTTTTCCCAGGAACTTTTCGAAACAAAAAAATGTAAAAAAACGTACGTGCAGTGGTGGTGGTGGTTACAGTGGCCACACAAGCGTCAGTAACTGTAATCGCCGAGATAAAGGCTAACACAACAGGCAGCATTATTGCTGTTGTTTTTCTCTGGGGAAGTAACCTGGAACCTTTGATTTCTTTTTTTGATAAACCTCGTTACACGATAAACACTTCGAAGAAGACGTAAATTAGCGCAAAGAGCGATTTCAAGAACGAATAGTTTGAAAGCTTCGAAAAAGGAAGAAAAAGCGAAAGCGCCGACGACGTACCGGAGCGAAAGGGACAAGTGATAAGTGAAAAGCCTGGAACAGAGTGATCCTCCCCTCGAGAAGCCGGATCGCCGTATGAAACATTTGCCCGATGCACCGGATTCCAAAGCTGGCTTTTGTTTCTTTCTTCTTTCCTATCACTAATCACCTCCATGACCCCGAAAGCGAAAACCACCGACGTCTTCAGTCTCGTCTTCCAATTTCTAAACCTGTTTTGAACCTGTTTCTCGATTCCAGTTACAAAGATTAAAAATTTCCAAAAAGTATTACATGTGCCTTTTTGGGGACCGTGTTTATGTTTATTTCTGAGCCACATTGTTCATGTCTTTGCGTTCATAAAAGGGAAATTACAGAGAAGAAGACTAATCAGGTTTCAACAGGAAGTAGAAAAAAAAAGTTGAACTAATAATTCCTATAGGAACCTATATATAGGTTCTCTTCTTAGCCGACGCCAAGTCCCGAGCTCACTCCGATGGGCCCAACTCCTGGAACACCGACGCCCAAGCCGCCTCCGATTCCAAACAGGCCGCTTCCGCCGCCTGAAAGTTCCTTTGAAATCAGTTCTACTATTGAAATTCAGACTTTTTTTGAATGTATTAAAAAATTAGTACAATTTATCATAATTTTTTCTCGAAATTCACGAAAATTTCTCTTTTAACTTTTTTTTTTAGAGTTAGAACGTTTCACGATAGGAGTACCTGAACTGTGAAATCTTTTCATGAAATTAATTAATTCAGTTTGCGAGATTATTGTGCGTGTGGAATACAAATATCTCTGAATTGTGTGTGAATATCTCACCAGACGCCACGGGTCTCGCTCCTTTTTCAAATTCGGCAATCGAGCTTTCATGTGTCAAACTTGGGCCTTCAAACTTTTTGCTCCATTCTTTCTAAAAATAAAAAGTTATCAAATCTCTAAAAACTCAACTACTTCGTTTTCCCATAAAGGAGCCGTTGTTGTTTCAAAGTTTTTGAATGTTTCTGCAATGTTTCCATGTATTTCACTTTTCGAGTCCGTTTTCTCTTCCGATCCTTCTATTTCCTTTGTGCTTTCAGATGCAGATTCTTCTGCAGCAATCAAAGAATCTCTTGACCCGAAACGCAAAAAACAAACCTGAATTTGAAGTATATTCATCAAACTTGAACTTCTTTTTTCCTTCATGACTCCGACTTTCTAGCGATTCTTGGCAAGACGGATTGCAGTCACTGGAACAAGAAGCACAGTTTCCAGACGTCGGCCGGAAAGGTCTGAAAACTGTGGAAAGAAAAGACCCTTTGAAAATACCTGCAAAGGTTCTGGCATCGACAGTGATTGTAAATTGCTTGTTGATTGCAAGCGTAGCCCATCAGAGAACTTCCAAAAGCTGAAAACGATCAAAATATTAGTTTCCTTCGGAAAACTGACTCGCAGAACAGCAATTTGTTGCGAAGACGACGAAAGCAACCAAATTACTGAACGGAGCCATGAGGACCTCCGAGGAATTCGAGCAGAAATATTTATAAGTTCTTGCGGTTCCAGTGGCCTTCTTTGGGAAATTTGCGATTTGCGAACAATGAAATAACGAGTTTTTGTTTTCAAAAAACATCAGTCTTCTTCTTTTCTTTTGATTGATACTGAACCTTTTTATAAAAAATATCTGAGATAATTTTTTATTTGTCCAGTAACTAGACTAGACTCTAGTTAAACATTTCCTTTCCGCCTCATGAGCCGTGGTCGCGATCGAATTAATAATTTGAAATATTACACTCTGCCGTAGATAATTATCGAGGTTTGTCAAATGATAACATTGAATTGAATCATTAATTATTAGTCATTTCTATTGAGAACGAATAGGACAAAACTGAAAAAACGGTCAAGTTTTGGGAGTCATTGCTTCGCGTATTGACTTCAAAGATGTGTCTTGAGGAATCCTTCCTACAAGTTTACGAAGAAAATTTTTTTATTGAGCATCAACGAGTGTATTTACAGACAATTTCATGAAAACCCGAAAGAGGACTATTTTCCGATGCCCAAACCGGAGCTGACACCTATGGGTCCAACTCCAGGAATGCCGATACCGAGACCAGAACTGATGCCGAATAAACCGCCGCCACCACCTGAAAAAGTTTCTATATGGTATGAATTATATGGAAATTGAAAATTTGAGGAATGCTGACCAAGTCCTCCAATTCCGGGCGCTCCAATACCGAGGCCAGTGTTCACGCCGATGCCTTGTCCAGCTGGGGCCACTGCAGCTGGAGCTACTGCGGCTGGAGCCGGTGCTCTTGTGACTTGGGTCTCCAATTCGGCGCTCGAGATTTCCGGGAGGTCGTCGTCAGAGCTTTTTGTCGACCCGTGTACGAACTTTTTCTCCCAGAGGTCCTTAATATTTCACTGTAACCATTAAGACTGAGGACACTCAAGATTTCACCGTTTAGCATCTATGAAAGTAAAAATTTCAAACTTCGAACTCGAAAAGTACTCATTTTTTACAGTGGTTCATTAGACCATCTGGTGAGAGCGATCAAAGAGCTGCTGGTGTATTTTGAAGAGAGAACTTTTTGAATTTCGGAATAAATCTCGAAATTCTCACTCACGAGGTTGGAGCTGAATCTACTTTTTGAGCAGCAAATTAGTCGAGGCGCCAGTTCTTTCAGACTAAAACAGACCTCGTTGTCCCAGGTGTGGTCCTTCGGCTTGCTTTTTTCTCTCTCGAACACCTCCTCAGCTTCTTTGACCGCAGCCTCTGTGTCCGTTATCACTCTCTCCGTAGTTCCTTCTATCAGTTTATCCGGCACTTCCGGTTCAGGAAGCTCGGCAGAACTAATTTCGGGAAGTGTTTCTGAATATCTGCGATGCTTGTTATTCTTTGAAACATCGCTAACCGGATGACTCATCAGATATGGTGTCGAAACGAAACTTCTTTTTCTTGTGTCTGTGAGTCTTCCGACGCCTATAGACGAACCCGCCGCCGCCGCCGCCTCCATTGTAAGTTCCACCGTAACCTCCGCCGTAGCTTCCACAGCCACCACCGCAAGGGGGTTGGTAAGCGCTGAATTTACTGATGGGAAGTTCTCTACAGCTCTCGAAACCTGCAGAAGCTCTGGCAGTTACATTGATTGTAGATTTGCGGCTGATTGCAGGCGTAGCCACTCAGCGTCCATGCTGAAAGACGCTCTCAGTGATATCAGAGAAGGAGCTCACAGACTTGCCAACACAGATCCCAAAACTCCGAGTAATAAAATAAGGGTTGCGTTTCTCATTCCTGAATATCTGGTAAGAAGGCTTGCAAAAAAGCAAAAAAAAAATCACAAAATTGAAAGAAAAGCAAGAGAAAGCGAGCTCTGGGGCATTTTATGAGGCCACTCAGGTTACAACGACTTCATTGTTTAGGAGAAAAAGCGCGAAACACGGTTGGACAGCAGATTGCGGACAAAGCAAAGAAACACGGCCATTGTCCTCCGCTGATAACTTACAACCTTCATGATGTGTTTTCCCGTCTTTGTTTTATAATTATTGTGTTTCTCGATGTTGCTTCACATTCAGATCAACTATTCTGCTTTGATCACAAATATGTTTTCGGAAACGATATATGTAGTTGTCGAAGGTCAATATATGTCATTGGTCAATTTCTTGGCGACTAACACAGATCATCGAGCTTCTATCATTTTTGATCTATTGTATGTTTATTTTATTCGGTTGACTTAGGATATTCATCAAGAACTATTATATTTCAAGCCACTCCCAATCCGTCATTGTTAACATTCTGTCTGTTACTTTTTCTGCGTGCGATTGGAACTTGTGAAAGTTTATTTATTTAGGCAGTGTTCATAATTTGACAAGAAAAGGACATGGAATGATGGAAGCTTCTGTTGTGAATCGGCTCATAAAAGTCACATCGCAGCGACGTCGATGATTGCCGGCCTGAAATCTCGCAGGCAGTTAGTTCGAGTTCATTACAGTTTATTAGTGGGATTTCAGACTGGGAAGTGAGAAAAGTTAAAAGAAAGAGTTTAACTGGTGAAGTGACTATTATCGCTACATTCATTGCAAATTGAACCCATTGAAAATGATTTATTTAAAATGAAATCTAGTTATTTTGCTAAATTGAGCAAAAAATGGCAAAAAAAAAAAAATGATTTTTGAGCACTCAGATGACTTTTCGGGATATTTTACAAGTCGACCAACTTTGCATCGCGTTCAGGCGGCGAATAAACGTTGTGGGTAGGGAAAGGGACTCTGGAAAAGATTGATCTTGTTGATGACTTGGGTTTGGGCAACAACCTCCGGGCATTGTTGAGCTCGACGCGGCTTCGGGCGGTCTTGAACACTTTGCTGTTTTTCAGGTAGGCGGACCAGACGTAGGTGAAGATGGCATACAGGAAAGGGAAAAGGTCGATGAATATGAGCAGAACGGCCGAGTACGTCGGCAGCAACGAGTTCTTCATCTTCGGAAGGCACGGCTGCTGCAGAGATTAAGCTTTTCTGAGTCGATCAAAAAAGGAATGATTATTTCGGTAAGAAGTTTAGGTCAAAAGAAACAACGAGATGGAAAAATCACCTGAAGATCGAGCTTCACCAATGTCTCATGAGGATGGAATTCGCAGGCGAATCTCGATTGGATGTCTGCCAGTTGATATTCGTCTTTTGGGTAAGCCTCCATGAAAAGTCGGTCCAGCATCTGCATGTGTATACTTTTTAGTCAATAAAAATATAATTTTTTTTTTTTTGAATTATTGCTTCTTTAAGGTGAAAAAAGTTAAATTAAACAATTCGAAAAAAGAAACAAACAGATGGAAATTTAGCGGCCCCCCAGAAAATTGGATGAATGAGGTAGAGGAATTGGGCAACGCAGAAAAGAAGACCGATGACGATGACCACCTGAGAGGAGCTGAAGTCAAGGAAAATCCAAAGACAAAACTGACGCGGTAAGCGATTTTGGCACCGTTGCCCTCGACCCAGCCGCAGTGGACGACGATGACGACCGGTGACAGCAAAACGGAAAGCAGGATATTCCACCAGAACAGACACCAAAGCGTCGAGTGAGTCTGAAAGGCCGAGTTCCGTCGGAAGCCTCAACTCTCCTACCGATTCAATGAGCTCGGCGTCGTCTTCCAGTTCTTCCACTGTCATCCAACGTCTTCCCAGCTTGTCGATGTTTGTTTGGTTTTCTTTTGGGTAGTTCTCATCCATTGCATTTTTCAACTCCTGTAGCACACAATGAAAGTCAGAAGGATAACTAGGAAAACATGTTTTTTTGAATAAAATGAGAAGCGTTCGTAAGAATATGAAAACGAATACATTCCACACTAATTCTCATGCAAAAAAAGTTGAACGGAAAATCTTGAAGCCTTCTTTTCTAGTCAAATATCAATGACTTCTGCTAGAAGAAAACCAATATTTAGGTGAACAATGGTAATTCAAAGGAAACCTTGGCAATTTGATGGGTTCGATTGACGTAGGTTGTCAGTTCGTCGTGGACGGACTCGTGCATCACCCCGTAAATGCCTGAAAAGTTGTGCTCCAAAATAAAACCTTCAGAGGAAGAGGAAAACCGAGTATGACAGCGATGGTGACCAGACAAAGAAGCAGAACGATGCCAAGACGAGCGTCTAGCTTCCGCTTGAAGTTCTTCATACTCTGAAAGGAGGCCAACGTGTATTCAGTTTTCTGATGTTCATAGTCGCTACGGAAATCATTATGATCTCTGGAACTCACCGTGTGGCCCATGATTATCCGACCTGACGTCGATCAAAGGTCCCTGTACAGTGAATATCAAAGATGAGAAAAAAGGCCGGATGTAAGGTTTCAAACGAAAAGTGAAGGGACGAAACTTGAGAACCTAGCGGTTTGGACGTAGAAACGGCAAAATATCGAGTTCTCGACGTAATCATGTTAGTGAATTGAACTGGCTTATCATGCAGAATTATTGACTTTTTGTAACGAAGGTTGAACAAACGCGTTTGGAATGAAGTATCAAAAAAATTTTTTTAGAATTAAAAAAAGTTTATCTTGGAACCATGATAGCAACAAAAAAATCTTCATCGATTGAATTTATATGGTTTTTATTTTTTTATTGCAACCTTTTCTGAAGTTCAGTGTTAAAATATCTTGGAGAAATAAATATCTGTATAAACAAAAGTATGATAATTAAAACAGCCCAGCGAACGGTGGCACGATAGAGTGAAGGAACGAGAGTAGACCTGGAGTCTCTTTTTTTTTTTGCTTCATCTTTTCGAACAAGTGGGAGCAAAGAGAGAGCAAACAGGCGCTAACTCCTACACCAATAAGTTGCTGAACCAACGATGAACGCTTTTTCTTGAATCAATAGTCTTGAAAAAGGGGATAATTACTATTTTTTTCCGAAAAATCTAAAATTTGAAGGACTATTTCCGTGAGAACGAAGGTTCACTGTTTTGTGTTAAGAGAAAAACGTCCAAAGAGTGATCAATAGAGTGAGAAGAAAAAGTTCTTACCGGTTTGGTCGAGACGAAAATTTTATCGACGCCGCCGCCAGTAAGCGTTCCAGTTCCTAAAAATAATCGACTTTCAGAAAGAGTTTTTTGGTTGAACTTTGCAACAATACCTCCGCGGTGGTAATCCCGCAGAGATCGAGGTGACTCGCTGCCTCTTTCCGAGTTGCCTCTGAAAAAATCACAAATCTCTTTTCTCCTTCATGAAAAAAAAAAATGAATAGTTTCCGTACTGAATAACAGCGATGGGAATACTACTGCGATGGGATTTCGGACTCTCGGTACCCATTTGTGACGTCATCAAAGCTGAAAATCACTGAATAAGTCCGAATGATCTCATTATAATCGGAATTATCAAAAAGAGCTCAGAAAATTTTCGCCTCCTTCCCAAATGTCCAACAAAGAAATGTTTTTTAACTATTTCAAAAAAAAGATCTGATAGAAAATGTTATATTTTGCTAGACAACGCAGTTGTTGACGTAAAATATCTATTATATATTAATACGAAGAAACGATCAGATTGCTGTCCCACTTTGCGTATTTCTCAAAAAAAAGATCTGATAGAAACGATAGAAAAAATAGGATCTTTTACCTACTCCTATGACGATTTATCCGAGTGTTCATGAAACTGATTTCCAAATTCTACAAACTAGAAAATAGTTATAAAACTGAAGAAACTTCGTATAATATCCTTCAATTTTTGGCTTCAATTTTGGCGGATTTCGAGTTATTTGTGAAAATTGTCTAAAATTTTTGATGATAATTCTTATTAAATTCCGAACAATTCGATTTCGCGAGATATTGATCGATCAAGAAAAACGAAATGATGGTAAAATGAGCAAGTAAGTTTAGAATGTTGTAATTGAAAATCGAAAAAGTAAAAATAAATAAAACCAGTTCAGTTTTGGAACTCATCAGATTAAGATCGAAATTCGGAAAAGAAAGTTCAGTTGAGGTTATTTTTACCCACTGTGAAAAATCCGACTACCTAGTGCAAAAAAGGAAAGTAAGCCGTTTGGCGACCCGCCCATCCTAGTAAAAACCGGATTTGCGTGATTTCTCTGTCAATCTCATTTCTGTTTTTGTTGAAAGTTTGAAAAATCGACAAAATATCTATTGGAAATATGAGGCCCTGAAAGAAAAGCCTGGGAGAAACGGTTTTCTTTTTTTGGAAGAGCGACTGGAGAAGCAACCTTTCCGAAAAGAAGATCAATCAATTGTGGGAAGTCAGGGTCTCGGTTCTCGGTTCTCGGTTTCGAAAAGGTCAAGGCTTTTTTTCGGTCGCAGCACGTCTGAAAAATGGCGTTCGATAACAAATCAAAGGCGAGAGAAATGGAAGATTTCTCTCAACTGACGGTTTATCAGGTTATCGAGAGGATCCGAAAAGGCCCCAGCTCCCGCCGTTTTGAATGGAGACCATCTGCTAAAAACTTTAAGTTTTTGCTTGGTTCTTGACAGTCAAAAAAACTCTCAACATCTATTAGTTTGATCATCAAAGTTACAAAACTAGTTGGATTAGTGTTGGTCACAAGAATAAACTCTTATTTGAAGGCTATAAATTGAAAATGAGGTTGTCTTCAACTTTTTGACAGTATTGATTCAGCAAAGACAATAAAAGAGCTCTAGTCTTTTTTATTTGAATCAATCCGGCAATCTCAATAAAGTGACCACTAGTGCATACTAAAAAACGTTCAGGAAACCCTCCCATTCTAGATTTCGAACTTGCTGAAGCACTTCGAAAAACCCATCAGTTGCTGTCGTTCGGATGTTTCTCTCTTGTGCGAATTGGGAAAAGTTTTCTGTCCGGTTCTAATTTTTAGAGGGTTATCAAAAAAATCGATATCTTTTTATTATGTACTTACTTTTTGAAAATAGTTACGATGATATAGTCGATGTGCCACGAGTTGAAATTTCATGGAACGACACTCCGCTCGGTGGCCTTGTGGCCGTGAAGAATCAATGCCTTTGCGGATCTCGGTCACGCTTTCCCATTTTATAACTTGCCGTTTTCAAATACATTTTTTTCGATGATTCTTTAGTTTTAACAACTTTTTGGCGGTGCAATGGATGAATAAAATTTTTCGGAATGCCAATAATTCAACCAGAGGATAAATAAGCAGTGAAAAAACTTATATTGACTGAAACCGATCTCTCTATTTTAAAGTGCGTACACTTCTTCATTTTATAAGCCACTCACTTTCTAAAAAAAAAGCCATTAACCACTGCAACAAACAGAAAAAAAACGATTAAAACATTAAAACATGGCTTTAACAAAAACACACTTTTTTTATCGCTCTTTTCGAGGAAGATCATGAAATTTACTGTGTTCTTTCGTTTACATTTGTACAACGCAATCTTTTTCAACGATAATAATACATTTTTAAAGAAATAAAATGATTAAAAAAAGATCAAAATTATAATTAAACCAAAAAAATTGGCGTGGCCGAGGTTGGCAAATTCGCACGATGTGCGCTACCGCACAAATCGAAACAGCGGAGTGTCGTTCCATGAAATTTCAGCTTGTGGCACATCGACTATAATAACTGAAAAGAAAAAAGAAAGGTGTCGATTGTGGTGAGAACCTCCTCCATAGTTTCTCTTTTTCTCAGAAAATCACAACTATTGGGGTAAACTATGAGACATAAGTGATCGTATAAATCTCCAAATGCTCTAGGTTTCGAAAACGAAAATTATTGACCAACGTCTAAAAGTTCGATATTAATATCAAGAAAATTTTTTGTAATTCATCTGAGAGAGACCTCGTTGCGCTCTATTAATCTAACTTGCTTGAATTGCCTGGGTGTCAAATAACGGCGAGTAAGAGATAATTAGGGCGCCGTAAACCTTTTTACAACGACAAATATCTGCTCTACGGTCATTATCTTGTATTTGGCACTTCACTCAGGTCATGCGTAATCCTCTGAATTTCCAGAATATTTATTTTTCTCTTTCTCACCAGCTTCAGGTCAAGGAGAGATATATGAATTATTAAATTTTTTTATTATAAAAGATTTCTTAGCATATATTTTTCGACCTAATTTTTTTGGCGAGTCAAACTTAGGAATGATAATCCACCAACCCTACATCATGTAGAATAAATGTACGAAATAGATTTTTTTTTTTTTGAATCGTTATTTTTTTTCAAATATTAGGGTGGCAGGAAACAAATGCGTGTTTTTGATGTCCTTTAATTTTATCATAAAAACAAGGTTATCACAAATCAGTTCGAACTGTAATTTCTATCTGTATCAGCACCTTGACAACAATGCTCACGCAGAGAATGGATACTCTCGCTGACAAACTAGGCCGCCTACGAGTCAAAGAAGTTGCACCCCCAAATTTGGACTTTATCGGAGTTTTTCAACTTTTTTTTTGGCTGTTAAGCGATCCAATGATTCGGACAGATGATAAATGCGAAGAGCCATGTCTGAGCAATGTAGCGGAAAAAGCAGAAATTTGCAGAACAGTTTTTCTGATTTTGGGCTAACCCATTTTCGCAAAAAAACGGAAAAGCGATATCGTGAGGCCATTTTTCCATTCTCCTTTTTTGCACTCCGTTGCGTGAAAAAAACTGTTTTCTTTCGCAGATATGGGTGTGTAATAACTGATGAGCCAGTTTCACAGGTGTCTGTTGTGGATCCAGTCTAATGGCATTTTAAAATCGCCTTTATCGTCGATTTTTTCGTGTTTTTTGATTTCAAAGGTCTTTTCGCCTAGTGAATAGCGCTAAAGCAATTCAAAATGTTAACTATCAGAAAAAAGCATCAATGGTGATCATAATATTGAAAGGTGCCAAGCTTCTGAATTTGATTTGTACTTTTTGAAATAACGCGAAAACTAGGTCCGCGAATACAGTTTTTGAAAGGAAGTTTTCAGAGCTATTTTTCTTATAGAAAGGCGGAATGAAAATCAGCAAATTATATATCCAATGACGCACAAGGACAAGCCCTTTTCGACTAAAAATACCGTTCCAAATAATATTACTTCTTGGATGAATTAGAAGCCGACAAAAACGAGCCGCATTTCTTTCATGCCAACCTAATAGTTATAATATCGTAAGACTTGAAGTTGTCCCTACGTTTTGGGGTTTGACGACAGATCGGGAAAAAGAAAGTGTTCGTCGACAGATTAGCTGACATCAGCCTACTTCTGCGCGTCGATTTCGTCCCTCTCTGACGGTCCTCGCCTGTCTAATTTTCGCATAGGATGTGAACGAATCCTCGATTCCTGAGAAAACTTTTAGAACAGAAAAGAACTTTTTTTCGAATACTTCCGATCGAACAAGTCCCTCTGCAGATCACTACAGATTCTCATCTGGATGTGCGTCGTATTTAAGTGAACCAGTTTCAGCTTTCTTCCCAACATTCAATCCGTTGTTCCTATACAGTATAGGAACAACGGATGGAATCTTAGTGTAGGCTATACTTCTCTATTTCTTCTCTCTTGTCATCGATTTAAAACATACAATTTTTTTTGAAATAGCCCTGCGGAAAGCCTTTTTATAATTTCTTGGAAACCAAACTCGTGGGAAAAATTGTTTTCTATTTCAAAGAGTTCTTGTGTTTTTCCTGCCGCCGCTGATCCACTGAGTGACTCTCAACCTCAATCCGTCCATTCATAATCCGGGGGTCTTCGTCCAAACTTCTGTCTTCTCTTCTCACGACACCCGAAAATAAAATTCAGCTTTTAAAGGTTTTTTTTTTGTTCGTGGCTCCTTTTTAATTATCTTCCGGAAATTCTACTTGTTAATTTTCAGAAAAGCTCCGAAAATTTATTGCTTCTGTCGAAGGTACAAGATTTCTCCACGAAGTTCGCTGAACTCCAAGGAGCAATGATGAAATTTTATTTTCGGGGAAAATTTCCGTTTTTCAAAACAGCCATAGAATAAAAACAAGAAAAATTGAGACCAGTGAAAAACCAGCTTCTAGCTCTTGATAAAAAAAAGCTCTTCCATAAAGCCAACCTTCACAGAAACTTTTCATTATTAATTTTTTATTCAGCATACTTTTCCAAGCGGTGAAAGGTCAAATAAGAGTGGCTTTTGGGACTTTCTAAGACATCAGGGAGGTTTTTTTTTTGAGCACACCGCAAAATAATATCCCTATATTTATGACAAAAAAATTATAATGAAAAAAAAACTTGAAGGATCAATTTCGTCCCCTTTATTTCAAGCCTTAGGTTTCTAAGCAGTTGTTCAAAAGAATGACGTCATGGAGGACGCTCTCGTCAGCATAGTAGAAGCTCGTGAAAATTTGTACAAAGAGAAATCGATTGATTTGAATCGCAATGGTGTAGGTGTTGTTTTGTGTCTGACGACCTGGCGTCTCCGCGCCGGCGAGCGCCTCTCCTCGTCCACGACATCTTCACTTTTTATCGCACAGCGTCGTCCTTCTTGACTGTACGGGTCTCCCTAAAACTCCTCTCTCGTCTAATTCGTCCACTTGAACGTTGTTACGCTTGGTTTTATGGCAAACTCGGTCATCTTTGTCTTTCATTATCTTCAGTTCGTCTCAAAATCAGTTTGAGAACGCTTGATAAGTATTTACAGGCACCAAGTCTGGGGCCGACCTTCGCAGTCATATACAAAGAAAATGTAGAAAAATTTTGATGACTTGTAGAGCTACGACAGCATTTGCAGTTTTAAACCGCAAGGACTTTTTCAAAATACTTCCCTTCTTGTTCATTGACCTTAGCACTTTTTTGATAAAACGGTGTTTCAACTTCTCGAAAACCAGCTCACTCTGTGAACTTGACGTTTGTGGACTCTTTTTTTCTGATAAACCTGCTGGAAATTTTCAAAATGATTATCTCTCACTACTCCTAATTACCGTAATTCAGCTAGACGAACAAAACAAATAGCGGGAGCCAATTGCAACCTTCGGCTTCGGCAAACAGAACAAAAAAGCTGAATGGCTATTCTGATATCACATCGTCGCGCGATTTCTCGATTTTTGATCTCGTTTTTAAGAGTTTCTGATTATTTGAGAAGTAAATATAATTCTGAAAAGTTCCGCCATATAGTTGCTTATAAGACACCTTCCTGAGGAAAAAAAAAAGGAAGGCTTCCTCTTCAACACGCCGATCACTCTTTTGTAGCCAATTGAAAACCGAACGAGCTGTAATCAAATGAGAGAACAGGAGAGTAGAAGAATTTTGTGATGGTTTTAGAAATATTTCTTTTGTCGCTATCACTTGTTTTCATTCGATTGCTCTCAAAAGTTCATAAACAAACGAAACTTGTCTTCTATCGCTTTCAAGTGTTCTTTTACGAAAAAGAGAGTTTTTTCAGAAATTTTTTCCATTAAGAAGCTTTCAAGTCGTTCAAAACCGTGTCCCTCGTTTAGACGCTTATTTCATGTTTTTTTTTTCTGGCTGTTCTTTCGATGGCTTGTGGTCCGTCAAGTTTTTTTTTTCCTTTTGGTAATCTGCTTTCTTCGTAATTGACCTTTCTAACATCTGGAGTTTCTGATGTTTCCGAAAAGCCACATGTCTTGCTTTTTACTTTATTTTTCCAATTGAACAGGGTTGTTGGTTCAAAATCAAGAATTTCATGAATAAAAGAAAACTGAAAAAAATTGACTATTTGAGTTTCAAAGTTTTTATCGAAACGTTTCTATAAAAATTGAGTTTATGAAGAAAAAAAAGCCCAAAAGTGTATCTGATTGGCAGCTGAGAACTTTCGAACTAATTCTGTTGTGCGAAAGTGTTCACTAGTGGATACATATCAGTTGTGAGGTGAGACTTCGGTCGTGAGCCTGCTGCAAGAAGGCCGTTTGCACGTGAGACGCGGCAGGCGTGGCGCCAGCTGTTCGCCGCTGTGAGTCCTATGTCCCGGCATTCGTCTTTCTAATCAGTCGCATCGATCGCTTCCTAACTTTATTATACCATTCATATCGAATCCAAAGAGATCCGGCTATTCACTTCAACAACTTTTCTGAGAGATCTCAGCTTGAACTGATTTCTGGCTCCGCCCACTCCCCGAAGAAACCGCTACAGCTGGAATTTCGTGAGGCCACCTTGGCAACTCATGTGAAAATCTTTTGCCGCACAAATTTCCGCCTTAGCAAATACTTTTTTTTAAAGAATACCTCTTTTTGTGGGATTTTAATTGAGAGTCTACTGTTGAACACGCACACAGTTTGCGTATAAAACTTATCTACGCGCATAAAATAAAACGAGTTTTTCTTCCAATAATTTTTACCAATAATTTTTATGTAAGTTTTTTCTCTGTTCTATATAATAGGCATTCACATGAGACTTCTTATAGCAGCGCTAAAGCGAAATCTTGGGCGCTACTGGACTTGCACGACGCGAAATAACTTTTAAACAGCCACGGAATTGTAAACTGTCGACATAATGTCCATCAAATTTTGAATATCGCATGATAAATGGATGAGCTCATCAATATCCTTTTTCTTTTCAACTCCATAGCTCTTTTCATAATTTCTCTTCTAGCTCTAGCGTTCGTAAAGGTTCCTCATTCATTTAATTGAAACGCTGTTTCTATATTCTTTACACATTAATTTAATGTGCGCCTGAATCGAGTCGGTTGAGCTCTAAGTTTCAATACTTTTTTTGCATTAAAAATATTATCAGATTTGCTGTGAAGTTCAAAAAGACTTATTTTCAAAAAATCATATCAAATTCGGTAGCAAATATAGGAGCGATTATTACTCCTCGAGTTAGAATTGTCGAATGCTTCCAATTTTCCCAAAGTTTTATTTTTAAATTCTTTACAAAGAGGTAACTTCATGTGGAAAAAACGTGCGTTAGAAATTATCCAAAGACGTCGCACGGTCAAAATATCCGCTTGTGGGATTTTCATATTTGTCCAATTTTCACTTTTCTTGTGTTCCTATCCTCGAACGTTTATATTTATTCACGCCTTCTAGACAACCAGTTCTCCTCCGTCTTCTTACTGTTATAATTGTGGTGAGCACTTCTCTTTTCCATCACATTGTCGAAAAGATCTATAAATATAATAACACGATTCTGCTACATAGGCGATAAGATCTTCAAAGTTTTTTGTTTATTTTCGCGGATGATATTATTAATAGAAAATTGTTTGGGAGAAAATAATGTGCTGATGGACGTTGATATTAACAACGATAACGATTTTTCCTTCAGTTTCTCACTCTTATCGAGCCTTTCATTGATTTAATATTTCTCTTGCCTAACCGCCATGCGAGGCAACAAGGCCGAAAACCGCTCGTTTGTTATGGCGTGATTAATTTTTGCTTGGTTAGGGTTATAGTGGAAATTTTTTCAGGGGCCACAAGTTTCAAGCGCTCGCCGCCGCCATTGCGTCTGACTCATTCGAAAAGGGCTCCTTATAGCGATGAATGGTTTGTTTCTACAATTTTCGTAACGAAATTTCGGAGTTTTAAATTAATTTCCTGCGCAAAATTGAAATAGACTCGCTTCATCGAATCAAAATATTGTAGTTTTTATTAGTGATGTCCTCTCAAATGAGGAAGTGTGTTTTTTTATTGGTAAATTCTCGATGAGTTTTTAGTCCCTCGACACTGATAAGCAACACCTTGGGCGAACGAGGAACGTAGTACCATTTAAGTGCCGCGGAACGATTTTCAGCGAGCCATGAAATATCAAACACGAGCGTGATTTGAGAAATCAGACTTTCCATTTTCCTTTTTTTCGTTTTTTTTTTTTCAAACTATGTTTAACAACTTTTTGTAACTATTTGTATTATTTGGAGCTTAGTTGGTAGGTGGAGATATATGAATAGAATTGAGTTGTTATTTTGAAAAAAAAAAGTTGATATTTTTTTTCACAAAGAATGTGACTTATTTTTATTTCGTATTTTCCTCAAAACACCGTTTCAGGTGCGATACACATTATACTAATGTACGAGCATAGCGTTACAAATTTGAACCGGTTGACTGATTTTTTTTGAGAAGAAAAATGTTCAGGGACGATGGTGGCATCGGACGCCTCGGCGCTGCCTTCCACGGCCGCTGCCAACGGCTCCTCGCCTGCAGAACCCGACCAAGACGCCATCAAGATGTTCGTCGGCCAGGTGAATTCTTTTTTGCCGTTCAAAACAAAATACCACAGACCTTCTTTATTGCTTTTCTTCCAACCCGCCATCAATACTCTGGATAATCCTTTAGTGTCATTTTCGTTTCCTCCTTTTGCCTCGTAAAACCGCTTGAGTTAGTGTTTTTTTGCTTTTTTCAGCTAGAAGAAAAGGGATTATTTACGTTTCTTTTTCTTTCTCGGCCAAGTCTCCGCTTTATTTTTTTCTCTACTTATAATTGGTGAATCTGAGGTTTCTGCATATCAGAATTTTTCCTTTTTTCATTATTAACGATTTTTCATATTTGACAGTTGCAAATTCTCTTCAAATGAGAGATTTGTTTTTGAAAGGGTCATCAGTTTTTCTTTGATAGTAAATTGATTTTTTTTATAGTATAATGGCTTTTTTTCAAAAAAATCGTTCAATTTTTTTGAAAGCTTTTTTTGTATCTGTTTGCTTTTTTCGTAATAAACCGGAGCTTCTATAAGATTACTAAAAAACGTTTTCGAAAGGAAAATAGAGTTTCCAACATAGAACCTTTGAACGAAAATGTGCGCCACATAGTTCATGGAAGAAGTTTGAGAACGGGAGAATTGGATTCATTTCGAGGCTCTCAGCTTCTGAAGGAAGACGCGCGCTTTCCTGGCCGCTCAAGCCCACAATGACATCCGCCGCCCAACTTAAACAGATTCTTGTCCCTCAGATTGGGTTAGCTGTCTTGGCAGCAAATACTTTAACTCAATTTGTTTGTGAAGCTGACTTGTATGCGCGTTCTCCATGTTTGGAATGGACTTCCATGCTGTTTTCCTAAAAATATGGAGTTACTAGGAACAACTTTTTTCTTCATTCTCAGAGTTGAAAGCCGATAAAAATAGGCTTTTATAAAAGTGTGCGAAAGTTCGTGACCCCGAATTGTTTCTGCTAGAAATTGCTGACCAACGAAAAATTCGGGGAGGCCACTGGGAAGGCCGTGGGAAATAATGAGGATTATTGACAACTTTTGTAGTTCTCACCATAGATTAGGCTTTTACTGGATTCAAAATTTTCATATTAGGAAAAGTTCGAGGAAAGGATTTCTGTCTGTTTAGTCAAGTCCATGATGTCAAACTACTTCTATATTTCGTTTGCCTTGATCTGAAAGGACGGGGTTTTTCGTGGGAAGCAGCTTTTGTTGCTTTACGAACCCGGTTTAGCTAATTTGCCGCCGTCGCAAGAGCTAAAAACTATCCCGCGTACCACCATTTTTTAAAAATATTTTCCAAATCCTTTCTTTTGCTTGAAGACCTCGTTTTTGACAATTGATTTCCAGATTCCCAGAAATTGGAACGAGCCTGACTGTCGACGACTTTTTGAGACCTACGGTCCCGTCTTCTCTTGTAATATTTTGCGGGACAAACATTCGCAAGCGAGCAAAGGTTCTCGATGATTTCTGACCAAAAATCTGAACTTACTTTGTTCAGGATGCTGTTTTGTGACGTACTACCATAGAAAAGACGCCATAGACGCACAAGGAGCCCTTCACAATATAAAAGTGATTGAAGGAATGCACCATCCTGTCCAGATGAAACCCGCCGACACTGAGAATCGCAACGGTTTGCATCTGTTCACAACTCCTTTTGATACACTTCGAAATGATATTTGAGAAAAAGTTGTATTTAAGCAAAAGGAGGTTCCTTTCATTCTTTTCAGTTTACATGGTAGTTCAGAACCTTCGGAAGTAACCGCTTATCTGAAATTATTTAATTGACTAGCTTGAGATCCTGCAAGTCTCAAACAACTTGGTTTTCAATTTTTTCGAATATTTTTTTGTTTTCTTTTCAAAATCCGTGACAGTTTTCCAGAAAATTTTGTTACTGTGCAGGTTGAAGCTTTCAGGATCTTGATTTAGTCGATTAAATAGTTTCTGAGTCAATTTTCAGATAAGAATTTTTTAAGTTTCTCACAGGAAGAAGTTTTCTCTCAATGTCTCATGAAGGACTGAAGTTGTTCAGAGAGAAAGTTGTTCATTGGCCAACTGAGCAAGCGACACACTGAAGAAGACGTGCGCTGTCTCTTCTCCAAGTACGGCCAGATCGAGGACTGCAGCGTGCTGCGGGACCAGGACGGCAAAAGCCGAGGTGAGTGGCGTGTCTGCCGCCCCCGGGAACTCTTCTCCGTGTTCATCGTGCTGCATTCATTATTTTGTTCTGTGCGTCAACGGGTCGGAGTCTACAGTCTGTAACCGCCGGATCACTTGCCAACGCAATGTTGTCTATCCGTCTGGGTGTTTTCTTATTTCGCGTCTCTAATTTCACCTCTGATGGAGACGATTTCGAGTTTCCTTGTGATGGCTTCATATAAGACAATCGCATCTCTTAATATACTTGAGTTTTAGGCAAGAATAAGGGTAAATAACTATCAAAGATCCTTAAATTGCCGTCAAAAAGTATTTCAGTTCACTTTTTTTTTCTTTTGACGTTACGAAACGTAGAACTCCAAGTTCGTAGAACAGGTTAACTATTTTGATAACAGAAAGGGAACGGATCGCAACTACAACATAAAAAGAAACCCGTTCTTTAAATTTTCGTTTGCTGGATTTTAACCTGTGCAGTCTGTAACAAATCAGTTATCAAAACTCCTTCTACGATACCAGTAGGGCCGCGGACATTATCATATTAAAATCCTTTCTAAAGTGCTAGAAAAAGCTTATGGTAAAGCAGAGTGCAAAAACCTTCAAGGTTGTCAAATTTTCGACTGAAATTCGCATGATTAGAACATTTCTCTCATTTCCTAGCTCCATCTGAATAGTGTTATAAACAGAATTTGTTATTTCTGTGTGGAGGCGGACGTCTCGATGAAATCTTCATGGTGTGGTCGTCAATGTTTCAGGCTGCGCGTTTGTCACCTACACGAACCGAAGCTGTGCCATGGTCGCCACCAAGGAGATGCACCACTCGCAGACCATGGAGGTACTCGGCTATGTGTCCTTTCATGTGCTGCACTAGAGCCAAAACTTCTGAAGAACTGTCTTACGAACTGTGTTCTGTGTTTCCGGCTCTGTAGGGGATTAAGTTTCTTTTGGATACTTCCATTTTCTGTCGCTACTTTTGTTTTCAACCAGTCTTTTCAATCAACCCGTCGATGTAGGTTGCTATAGGTGTTTTTCAAATCTCACTTTAGTGATTAATCAAATGGTTTCATGAGAGTTCAGCTCAGAGTGGTGAGCTTGTTCACTAGGAAAGATTTCTCAGCTCTGGGAAAGTGAAACTCACAGAGAAAAAAGTCCGGAAAACCGCTCAGGAAATACAGCTTGAATTTCTCAGCTCGGACTATTTAGCTCTGTGAGCTGAGATCTAGCGACTGTCCTCGATGGCTATTCTCACTGCAGCAAATTTTTAACTAATCAGATTTTTTCACTTCTGAAATTTACGTGAGAAATAACTTTTTCTTAACTGATAAGAAAATTGCAGAAGGAAAGATGAAGCCATTTTATCGAAAAGAACTGTTTTTTTTTTTCAAAGCTTAGTCCAGAACTGGGAAATCTCTTATAGTACAGAGGCTAAGAATTCTGAAGAGAATTTTCATGAACCTAATTAAATTCGGCTATTAAACATTTTCATCATTCAGATTAATACAATTTGATATTTTTACATGGAAAGACACCTTTTCCAATCGCTTTTAGTTTAATTGGTCCTGATGTCTTACCAAAATTTATGTTTTCTGGCCAGTGTCGGTACGAATTTTTAGAAAACTTTAAGGATTGGCAAATCGGGCTCACTGAAAGGCTTTTACAGGGTTGCTCTGCACCTCTGGTCGTCAAGTTTGCCGACACGCAAAAGGATAAGGACGTTAAACAGAAGACGTCTTCAGGAGGCGCGGCTCCATCGGTTTCACCCGTGGCCAATGGCCTCGCTGCCCTTGCTGGCCTCAACCCGACGCTGCTCCAACAGGTCTGTTGCCACTTTCTGACCGGGAACAGCCGAAATAAAAAGGAAGTGAAAAACAAGGCTGAAAAAATCGAAGTAAGCCTCGAAATGTTTACATGGCAAGAAAAAAAACCAGGCATCGCGTTCCTTGGCGCGAATAGCCGTGAAGACTTCGTAAGGATCCCGTCATCCAATCGTATTTTATATATCACAACTATCAAATGAATGAGACTCGATAAGATAGGGACCTCAAAGGATGTTTTAACTGAGTAATATTTTTTAAAACTGTTTTCTAGAAGTTCGTATCTGTTTTGACCAAGATGTTGGGTAAGTTAAGTTATAATTTTTTTGATTTGTTTTGACTGAAGCAAACATTTTAAGCAAGAGCATGTTTTTGGAAAAAAAAAAATATTTGAAAATTGATTTCAAAATGTTGATATATGGCTTATTCATTTCACAACGGAGGTTGTTTCAGTTGAGCATGAACGGACAAAACGTACAGGCGCTGGCGTCCCTGCTGACTCTTCTTGGCGGGTCGACGGCACCCCCGACGCCCCAGCCGCAGCAGCCCAACATGCTCGGCCTTCTCGGCAGCGGTATGCGTGTTTTTGTTTCCTTTCACGAGTTTTTCTTTCAATTTGCATTCTGGTTTGCTGTCAGCCGCTTCCAGACATTGTTATCCATCGATTCTGTTCACACAAGAAACAAAAAAAGAAAAATGTAAAATATAGTACATTGAAAACTAATATTGCTCGGAGCAAGAGTAGAACCTGCGCTCTGCGCTGTTCAATGAGTTTGTGCTTCTCAATTTATATATTTTTTTCAAAATAATTGATAAGAAGTTTACGTGTTATTCCACTCGAGAGTCCTGTCTAGAAGATTTCACTGTTTGACAAATCAGTGTTAATCCAGCGCACCAGACGAAATTGTAGTGCTTTCTGCACTGGGGAAACTAACGGAAAACCCCGGCACGGCGAACGCCTCGCCGCCGGAGACGTCGCTGCCGCAGACGCCGCCTGCGACCTCGCGATCGGCCAACGTTCACTCGGCGACGCAGTTAGGTAATAGCGATGTGGCTTCTTCGTGTGGAATGCCGTCGACGTTGTGTTTGTGATCTCATGGGCCTGCGTTTTCTCTTCATTCATTTTTCTGCGCGATTGCATGGTTTTTCTGTTTTCTTTCTTCCAGGTGCATTTCGGTTCCAGGTGGGCTGGCTTGTTTTCAACTTCTTAAATTGGTATTGAATGCTTAATCTTCACTCGGCAACACTTGAAATTAAATTTACCTATGTGCATGGTGAGGGAAGAGGTTCGCACACCGTTATATTTCGAAAATAAGCGTGTTCGTCCTTTTGAAGGATGCTTTTCGAGTGAACTTCTTGCGTAAAATTTCAACATTTTTTTGCGCTTTTTCTCGGATGTGAGTGTGAGTTTTGCGTGTAACTTCCTACTATCAGCTTCTATCTCTTAAAAAAAAATTGACATACTTTGAGTTCAGCATAGTTTGCGGTCTTTCATTATCTTTTATTTCGAAAGACTTTCTGGAAGCATTATTTCAGCCTCCTTGCTGCAGCATCAGCAAACTCAAGCAGTCCCAAGTCAAGCGTCGACGATCGACGCGTTGGCTCAACTCCAACAGGCTCAATTGGCAGCTCAAGCTCAGGCGCAAGCTCAGGTCCAAGCTCAAGTGCAAGCACAAGCACAAGCGCACCAGAACTTGTTAGCTTTTCAGGTACTCAATGTTAGAAAACTTGAAATCAATCCGTCTTGTTCAGGGTTTCGCTGCCCAGCAACAGCAGCAGCAGCATTCTGTTCAAGCATCTCAAAACGGTATGTTTTTGCCTGATACGACAGTTTTTTTTTGTGAAGATTTGAACTTTGAAGTTTCGATACTAATGTGGTTTGGCTTCGCTTTTTCGGCTAAACTGTCACTTACGAGTTTTGCACAAATGGCTTTTTCTGTTCCATTTCACACATAACAGTTCAATTAGAGAGTTTCTTTGCTCAAGAGCACCATGGGGTGTTCCAGGAGACTTCGGAGGACAGACCACGTCGACTCAGGCGAATTCAAGGCAGTTGGAGGAACATTTGAAGGCCCAGAAGGAGGAGTCGAACAACGCGATGTCGTCGTCTCGGACGCCGTTCCTCGACCCGCTGAGTCTGATGTTGCTCAACAACCAGGCTGCCTGCTACGCTTCCTACAGTCCTTCGGGCGCCGCGTCTTTTGCTCTCAATCCCCCACCTTTTGGTTCGTAATTTCCGTTTCTGCATGGCTCAAACAACGCATGCGTTTTTTTCCTTTTGAAGTCCGAGAATTTCGAAAATATCCGTTAACTTCAATTAATGCTCTCAGTCGTTCGAGTTAATTGAAGAAATTGTCTGTAAGCAGGAAACCTTGAACTTATCTTAGAAATTTCCAAGATACCTTATTGTTTTTTTTACAAGTTTGATAGCTCGAACTTTTTAATGATTACAAGAATATTCAGTTGGAAAAGAAAGCATGTCAATATTTTTTGTTCGAATGATCTTCACAAGAAATAGAGCGGAGAATGTTCGTCAAATATGTTTGATATACTTATCGCATGCTTGTTTCTACTTTTTCTGTTTCAAAATGTGTACCCACTTTTTCCTGTGACCTGACGCCCTGGTTTGCATTTTCAGCTCTCGCTGGAGGCCTTGCCGCTGTGAAGACGACGTCACCGGTCGCGGCCAGCCTCGCCTCGGCATCTCCGGCTGTCGCGTTCTCGTTGGGTGGAGCAGCCGCAAATCCTCTTCAGTACGACCCCTACCAGACCGCTACAATCCAGCAGTATGCATGTGAGAGCTTCTCCTCTTGCCATGGCTTCGTCGCCGTCCTTGTTTTGGCTTTCGGCCTTTTAAAAAAAAATAGTTTTAGAAAATGCAGAGGTTGCTGATTATCGAGTCATGAGTTTTATTACGCCGCAAGAAAAAAAGAACTTAAAAGCTCTGCGCTGAGTATAACTTTCAAGGCGTTTCATAATCATTAGTGATGGACGTTTTTTTATTCATCTCAGCCTTTCATTTGATACACTTTGGCGCTAGAGATGCTTTTTTTCGATGCAAGAAGTTTTTAACTTTTGACAGAAGGATTCGAAACATAAATGCGTTAACCAGTTATGAAACAAATGGCAGACTTAATTTTACGAATTTTTGCAGTGTTAGCGAATTTGCAAGCGACGACTGCAGCTACGGCGGCTGCGGCCGCGGGACCGGCGGCAGTCGGAAATGGTGACGTCAAAGGTCCCGATGGCGCGAATTTGTTCATCTACCACTTGCCACAGGTGTTCGTGGATGATTCATTCCTTACTCAATAGATAGTTTCCAGGATTTTGGCGATGCTGATCTTCTCAGTACTTTCTCGCCGTTTGGAAATGTTCTGTCGGCGAAGGTTTTTATTGACAAAGTCACGAATCTGTCCAAGTGTTTTGGTGCGCTCTCTTCTTTTTTTTTCCAAATGGCATGGCTTTCAGGATTTGTTTCTTACGACAACGCGACGTCGGCGGCGAATGCGATTCAAGCGATGAACGGCTTTCAGATCGGCACCAAGCGGCTCAAGGTGCAACTGAAAATTGACCGAGGAAATCCCTATCAGAAGGTTAATTTCCGTTGATTTTGTGTTTTGTCGTCCCTCTACGTGTTTATCGTGTCTTTTCTCACAGCTCATCTTTATTGGTGCCAGGGAGACTGGTGTTAGCTCTTACTTCCAAGATAGTGTAGGCAAAGTGTCTTCATTGCTCTAACAGCACACTCCTTTTACAACTCACTCCAAGTGTTTTCCCATGGCTGTCCAAGTGAAGTCAAGTTTGTCTCATTCCGTCTGCCGTTCTCAAATCTGTGTGCCAAAAAATTTGAATTGATATTTTCTCATTATGAATGCATTTCTTGTAGTTATTTTGTACTTCTGAAGCTTTTTTTTTTTCGGAATTTCGCATTTCTCCAGTGTTTGCAGAAAACTTTACGATTGAATGTTCCTTAAAAAGGCTTGAGTGATGTCTCTAAAAATCTACAAATTTTCTTATTCTTTTAAAGTCGTATGAAGCCCTAAAACCTATATGATTTGACGATACTTTCGATCACCTCTTGATTTTGCCATTTCTTGCAACATTTATTTAATTTCTTGCCACTTTTTTCGACTTTGTAGGAAAATTTACAATTTGTCAAAAATTTAGATTTTCATTAAGGCTTTATTAGGGTTTATTCCCGAAAATCACCCCACTTGTCCTATGTTGTTAAAAGTCTGCCTGTGTTTCTGTCGCGTGTTTTCTGTGTTTTTTGTTACTCGGATCATAAAGCATTTTATGTATAATTGTTTCGATTTTCGTTTGTCACGTTTTGTTTTCGTTTTTCATATTTTATATCTATTTATAAAATGTCTTTTTTCAAAAAAATGGGCTCAAACAGTTTCAGGCTCACTGAACATTCAAGAGGCGTCAACAATGATTTTAATTCAGAGAAACTAAATTTTGTGAGTTATTTTTTTTTATTTTCGTTGATACAGCGATGCTAGGTCTTGCTCAACTTTTCACACTGGTCCTTTGATTTTACCGCGTTCATTTTCGAATGATTTCGAACTTTGTCAATTACCAAAAATTCCTTGTAATAACTTTCTTGTACTAAGTATTCTTGTAAAATCTTTATCATGTCCACATTATTGTTTCAGTTTGTGAATACTAGTCTTTCCTGTTATTTTCTTCTGCTACATGAAAATGAAATTCGCTAATAACTCATCCGCTACTCATGAAATTGAAAGTTTTTAAGAGACAGATTTTTATTGATGATAAATATAGGTAGATATACTGTTATTATGGCGGCTCTACAAAAAGTTTTAGAAGAAGGCTTCGGAATTTCCAAAAATATTTCTTATCTAGCTGGGGAAGCCTTCTTTAAAAAGCCTTTCAACAACGCAGAATATTTCTAGCTTATAAGGAAATTGTTTAAAAATTGCGTTTTTTTAAACAGAAACCCGAAAAACGAAAAATGATTAGTTCAATGAAAGTATTCAAAAAAATTCAACGTTTACTTCAACGTTATCAAGAGACGAATAAATGTCGTGCCGAGTTTTTCCTGGAAGAACGTGAATTTTGCTCGAAGCGACTGTAGATGGACGTCGTGTCGACGAAGTCGATCCCATCCAAAGCCGGCTCGAAGGCCGTCAACCGCCGCCCAGGCTCCATGCTCTGAAGACTCTCGTAGCGGTGCTGCGAATCAAGAAAACCTCTCTTTCGGCTTTGCCGAGGATACCAAGACGAGCCAACGCGTGCAGTTGGTTCATCCCACTGGCGAGTCCGCTGATGCCGCGATTCATGTTGATCGACTGAGCGAGCTGCAGTTCTTGAGCCTAAGCCTTCTCACAGCTTTCCACTCACCTGAAACATCTTGCCGGCCAGCTGTCTGGCCTTGCCGACGTGACGACCCATGTAGTGCACGTGGTCGATTATCTCGGCTGCGACGAAGTCTACCGTGATTGTCACTAGGATCACTCCCGCTACCAAGAACAGTACCAGCTGCACAACGTTCATCTCTGGCTTCAAATCGCAAAACCAATCTTTCAATAAATTTTTATAATTTTTTTTTCGCCCTAGAATCAAAAAAATGGAAAAGACTCTTACTGTGAGGTCGCCAAAACCAATGGTAAAGATGGACGTGAGGGAAAAGTAGACAGCATCGAGAAAGGAAATCGACGAAGTTTGACTTAAAACCAGGCCAACCACCATCGGATAGGAGAACAGAAGAGTCAGGAAAAGAGCCGTCGGAATCGTCGTCGACTGTTCCGACGTCATTTTGTAGAAGACAGCCGCGCAACTAACCTCATCGAACCACTGCGTTATCAACTGTGAAGCGAATTTGCCTGTGTCGGCCATTGTCACCAACGTCAGAGGGATTCCTAGAAGAGCGTAGGCAATCAGCAAAACTTTCCCCAGATCCGATAACGGATAAATGTACCCGTAGCCTAAATCGAACGACGTGTTTGTGGAATATAATAAAACTGAAGCGCACCCACTGGAATTACTGTGGTCGTCGTGAAAATCACAGAAGACGAGTATGTCCATAGGTCTTTCTCAGTCTGATAATCTGTGTGATGAGACTCAAATACGTGGGAGTAATGCGGATTCTAAAGGTTTTGTTGCTTTTATTACTGGAGAATTTGAAAAATCACCTCGAAAAGCTTCATGAGATTCTCTGCGTAGTCGCTGACGATTTCTTCTGCCTTGTCAGGCCTATGTGAAATGTTTCCTAAAAAGTCCTAAAGGAATTCTGTGAGCAGCGTGAAGGGAGAAGCCTACCGATTTGACTTGTTCGAAGTCGGCAAGAGCTCGTTTCCGCAGTGTGAGCTCGATGGGACGTTCGATAGAACGGAAGAGAGAAGCGCCTACGAGGACGTATCCGATGCAGGTGAGTACGAGGCCCAGATGGAGGAGTACTGCGCGAAGATGCTGAACTTGTCTTGCCGGAGCATTTGTGAACGGCCACCAACAAATCTCTCAACGATTCCCGTGCTATCCTTTTCGCTTTCTTCGTCTTTCTCGACTACGGCGTTCCCGACGTCACTCGTTGTCATAGTTTCGAAAAAGAATTTGATGGTAAAGATTTTGGAAAGAAAGCTTTACTGAGCAAGCCGTGAGAACTCTCTTACATGTTCTACAAAGAAAAGGAGAAACACTTGCAGTGTATAAAAAAAGAGCCAAAAGAAAAATAATAACAAAGAGAAGATGACCTAAACAGTAGCGAAACTATTATCAATCTTTCTCATGAAAATGTTTCATGTCCACTTATATCTGATTAAATCTTTTTTGATTAATTGCAATCCGAAACTAAATTTTTATTTTTGAAACCGGAACGAGTGAAACCATTCATCAGGGAAAATTTGATTGAAGCGTCAAAAATGTCTCATTTCAACAAAAAAAAAAACCACATTGTGTAATTATCGAAGACGTTAAGCTGAGCCTTTGCTAAGTCCACTTTGCGGGAAGGCTCTCAAAATGAGCCGAAAACTAGGTGAACAAAAAAGGAAACTATAAGAAATTGGAAGCCGGTCATAAAACGAGACGTAATGGCTATGTTTCCAATTTGGGGCTCCTGCATAGTATGAGATCTACTTAAAGTTTACTTCAAACATTTTTGGAAGACGATTATTATTTCCTTTTTTCAAGGAATTTTGAAGACTTTGAACACTAGCAAAAGTCGTTCACGTTTTTCACATGACTTAAATTCTTTTTTGACAACTTCCACATGGTTTGCGGATTGAATTTTATTGTCCAGCTTCTAATCGCAAAAATTACTTCAACGTGTAATTTATCCAAGGTTGAAGCGAAGAGTAAGTTTGAGAAAAAAAGAAGAAGGAAAAATTTCAAAACTTTTGAGCGAATTTCTATAAATGTAGACAAAGACGGTACTTGAACGATCTCAAATGATATTTTTCACAGTTTTCGACTTTCCAGTTAATGATTTCTTCGAATATCGAAGTTCAGTTTTTCTTCACTTGGGAGATTTTCAATTGGATAAATGAATCAAAAAATCAACAAGAGATCTACAAGAGAGAAAGATTGAATAAAGTTAAAGACCATATGAGGATAAGAAACTCAAGGAAATGGGCTAGGTAAAGGTAACACAAGCCACGTGAGGTGCGTGGGATCTTGGTCGAAATTTATAAGAGACGAATGAGACAAGGGATCTTTCTCGCGCCGCCGTTCTTCCGCCACTTTTCCCTTTAATGGCAGCGGTAGGAGCAGAAAGAGTTGTCGGAAAGACGGATCGACCGCCGACGGACGCTCTGCAGCAGTACTTGCTTGGTTCTCAGTCGAAAATAGTAACGGGTTGACTGGAAACCGCTCCAAGCTTCTGCCACCTTATGAAAAACTTACGTTTTTTTTAATTCCGGAGTTTCGAAATGAATCTGTAAAGAAAGCCACAGGCGAATAAATAAACATGCCGAAGTATAAGTAGCGTGAAAAATGTATCGAAATAGAACCGAAGTTTCATTCTTCTGTTTCAACACTTCTTGCGATGGAGCTCTTTTCACTCATTATCCATATATTCGGTCTGCAATTTGTTGCTTCGCGTTCAGGTGGAACAATTTTCATTAATTTTTCAAATCACTTTGGATTTTCTTTCAATTGCCACGCTTTTCTATAGTCAATTCTTTCCGACCTGAAATAAGAAGAAAGAAAGAAAAAGAGCAGATATGAGCCATGAAAACCTTTTTCTGCCTCTTGCAGCTGTAAACGAGTCTCGATGCTATCTTCGATGGGAATCTGATTTACGAAGTGATAAACTCTTCAAAAATAATCCATTCTCCAACTGCACGTGAGTTTCAAAAGTGGATATTCTTGAATATGCTAATCTTTTGAGTATCGCAAGAAGTATCAAATTCATAAATACGGATCTAACCAACGATGAAATTATCAAGTTGCTCGAAAACATCACAAAACTTGAAAGCAGTGAACCAAGCAGAACAGGTATCAAGTCATCTGCTTCTGAATATTCAACCACTTTCTGCAGTAAACATCACTTTCTCGAAAAACCGCAATCTTGGCGGAAAGATCTTTTCGGTTCTTTTCAAAAACATGACTCTTAGTAACAGTTCCAAGGTATTGTGCGACTCGCCGCAAATTCGCAAGGCAATTTATGTTTTTTCTACTGTTTCAGCTCAAACTAGACATATTTGATGCGGATAACCATTGCATGAATCTACCGAAGATGAGTGAGTTCGACTCTTTAGGGAAATTACCACAGTAACTTTGAATTCGGCTAATTAAGGAGTTTACTGGGGTTCTTCGAAATTTCTGAGTATTCAGAAATGAAATTTTTCGATCTTTGCTTGTTTCCTAAATTGTTCACGCAACGGACACGAAAATGAAAAATAGAATCAATTTTCCAGATTCTAATGCCTCAGTAAAGGGAGTTTCACCTCTAATTTGTAACGTAGGTTTATTTGTTTGAAGAAGACTTCTTCTGATGGTATCAGTTCAGCTCCCGAGTTCACGAGGAATCGAGTTTACAATCTTGGCAATCAAGTCAGGTTTGTATCATTTTACGTAGTTCATTTCTATTTTCTCGCTTAATCTCAATGCAAAAACCTTCAGGAAACTTGAAAGCTTGTTTCTCGGCATCGTCGGCCCTTTTGGGACGAGACGTTTCTTCACAAATGTTCAAGAAATCGGAACTCTCACTAGTATTCGTTTTCGAAAACTCATAAAGCCCCACTCAAACTAGAAACATTAATTCAGAATTTTTAAGAAAAGTCGTCTCCTGTGTTTACTATATCGAAAACTAATTTTGAATGCTATCGCTCGTTCCCCAACCTAAAGAAGTTAATCATTCACAAAGTTTCCACCCTCTTTTGTGGCTCTTTTAAGACGATTTTCGTTTCAGCCGGAAGACATTAAGCTTGAAGCGAAGGAACACTGTTGCATGGACAAGGAGGACCTTGCGAAAATCAATGAAGTTGTCCAGTTTCCCAATGGAACGGATTTCAAATTGACACAAAAATGCGGTTTTTCTGTCTAACTTCCATTTTTCATCTCGAAAAAGTTCAGGTTGGTCGAAATCAGCCAAAACAGACTTCTCCAGAGAAGTCCACCATGGCCCGTTACAAATTGATTCTAGCGACAATCTGACACAGTTCGATTTCTGAGTAGTTCCAAGCAGTTTCCGACATTTTCAGACTGGCTTTGCTGCGGAGCATCCTAGATGGAAACTTAATTCTTTCATCAAGCAAGTTTTTCACTGAAAACAATTTCACATCGGTGGTTCCAGAATTAAAATCGAAAAATTTGGCTTTTCTCGCTTTTTTGCGAGAAATAAGATGTAACGATAAAAATATAGGTACGTTTTTTGCGGTTCAGTCATGATACGACTGGATGGAAATCCTTTTTTAGTTGAAGCTCAACTATTCCTCACTATTTTTTCATTCCAGTGAAAAAAATAAATAAAAAAGTTTTATAGCGGCAGTAGAGATCGGAAACCTGGGACTGGAAGAATTTGACCTGCCGAGTCTGACTCTCATCCGCAACTGTTCGATGCGTTTTCAGTATACGGGATCATTTTACAAAGGATCAGAAACGTTTTCGGTTGACACAGGCTTCATGGTAGCTGATTCATTTTTCTGCCTCAAAACAATATCTTCATTCTGTTTACCGACTACTTCATACATAGAGTTCAGCAAAGATCTCTCTTTTTTCGAATACTCTCACCTAATTCTAATCATAAAAGTCCTAATTTTTATATTTTTATTCGACCAATCATAGTGAAAAAACACGGATCGCGGTTGTGGAAATAATTATTCGTCTATTTCTTCTACTAATTTTCCTCTTCAGGATGAGAAACAGCGTTTTTATCATTTCGACTCGTTTCAGCTGGTTCCAAAGAGTGGGACGCAAAGCTATTCCAAAACTAAAAAAGTTGTTGAGCATGCCTTTCGAACGATACGATGTGGAAGAGCATGAGGTCGATCTCACTCAGATTCCGCAGCTGCACGACCATTCTGGGCGACGTTGTCATAGACGGGCTTTCGTTGTCGTTAGACAACAGCATGGTCAAAGTCCTGACTGAAATGATGAGAACGGTTACTTTTCAGACTTAGTAGAAGTTCGACTCTTTTTATTCTCAGGTGAGGGTCATCGAGGGCAGGCTCATTGTCAGGAACTTGAAAGTGACAAAGTTTCCGTCTTTTCAAACGCTGAAAGAAGTTCATGCAGGAGGTGATAGGGATCAAAAAAGAATAATTTATTCTCATTCTCTTTCAGACGTGGACGTGGCCGTGCAGGTGCTCAATAATCCACACTTGCGATCACTGTCTATGTTTCTTCCTGTAATAACAGCCAGAAATCAATCAGCCATTCTTCTTTTATTCAAGGTTTTTCGAACCGCTTCAATTGAGATGACTTAACTTTACAGAACAATCCTAAACTGTGCAGAGAAAAAAGTAGGGCATTTTTATTCGGTAAAAGATTTGTATCAATTGACAGCGGAAAGCATAGTTGCTGTGAGTTTTCATTTATTCAAGCTTTTTCTAACTGTCAAGAAACTGTTTTCCAGCTTCCGATAACGATGTGTTTGACGGTGATTATGAAACAATCGGTTTTCCCAAGCCCGCGAAGGAAATAACTAATTGAGAAATTTAGCGCTCATTATCTACTACGGTTGCGTTGCATTCAGCTTCGTGATCTTATCTATAACATTCTTTTCGTTCGGTCCATCGAACCTGGAAGACTGACCCTCGCTATTATTGCCTTCTGAAAGTTGTTTTGCTGGGAATCGCCATAAAAGGCTTTTTATCAAACTCGGAGAAAGTTTTATTTTACAAAGTGACACCGCGAGAACATTTTGAGCAAACTTAAGTGAATGTCTATCATACGGCAATTGTTGTGCGCTTCATCTTTGGTTTACTTGGTTTTATTGAATTACAAAAGGAAAATTACCCTGAAGCGCAAACAATCGTACGAACGTACAAATTATTACTCAAAATCGGAAAAGTAGGACGGGTAAAAATATAAGTGTTTCGGTTCAAGTGAGAGTATAAGGTCTTTCAAATGATATTGTGTAGTTGTGAATAGATTCAAGTTCTAATCTCTTTTCCTTCTGCAGAAAAAGTTGATCGTAAAAGCTACTTGAAGAAATAAGGCACATTTTGAAAATGATCTCAAACGAATTGGGCAGAGGCCGACGGAAGACACTGCTCAGCTTGAATAATCCCTTCTTCCTCTTCCTCTTCTTCTTGCGTTATGAGCGTCAAAGGCAACGAGACCTGAGCCTGAAATTGTAAGACTCAGTGTAAAGGCTTCTGTACGCGAAATAGTTGTTCCTATCTGGTTCTCGAGACTTACCTCTCGGATATTGGACAAAAGGGCTGCCTGGTCCACGAGGAAAGTCGAAGGTTTCTGAGCCAGTCGAAGCGTTTCTTCCAATCGAGCTTCCGCCTGCCAAATCAGTTGTGAAAAGAAATCCGGATTCTCAAACCTTGCGTATTTTCTCGGCCACATTGTCTCCGTCCGTTTTAAACCATTTCTTGAAGTAGTTGCGGAATAACTGCAATCAGTTGGCTAAGATTAGAGATTAAAGTCATTCCAAAACAGCTTGATGAAAAATAGAGCTAACATAGGTGAAGAATAAAAACATTGAGGCGAAAAATTTTGCAGGTTTAGTTTTGGTTCGTTCGACACTGCACTGTGAAAACACCAGAAAGCTGTGATAAAGGAAATAAATAATTCAGAAAAAAGATAAAGCAGTCATTAAATCAGAAGAATGTTCTCTTTGGCAGTCGTAAGCCTCATTAAATACCAAATTGGTGTTTGAAGTAGCAGAGAAAGGCAAAAAACATTCACAGCAAACTTTTCATTGGTTTTTTTTATTGCTGCAAAGAAAGATTTGCAGCGGCGCAGTTGTACAAGCAATTCTGAGCGCGACAGCCTTTCGTTGCTTCGAACTCGCAGATTTTTGTTTGGCACGGTTTTAGAGAGTTGCAAAGAGATTTCTAGGTATTTCCAGAGCGGGAAATTTTGAAGGACATTCAAATCTGTCATGAAAACGCCGTTGAAAGTTTCGACGGATGTTTTAAGTTAGTTAAAGACATTTAAAAATTTTCTTTTTTAATTTGGAGCTCTGAGCAAGAAGCTACGGCTGGATCGGAATTTCTCAACAGAAAAAAACAAATTCACTGTGGGTATGATGACGGCTTCGAATTTTATCAGTTAAAGTTTTTCTTTGAGATTCCAATTTCGGAATAAAAACATCTAATTAAATTGACTGATGAATAACCATCGCAGGCTTCTTTTATTTCACTATGAATTGTGGGATTTTGACTGTGTGATCTTGAAAAAAGGATTATGCTGTACATTATACACCTTCAGCAGCAATTGTTCACTTGCTGACGTCAAAAATCTCAAGGCAAGCGGAAACAAAAAAAAATTTATTCGCGCCACTGCCTGATTTACTCCCGTCTGCTTTACTGACGGTTCAACCCTGAAGACCATATGCTACAAAGAGTTAGAAGGTTTCACCTGATATCCTTTTGAGTACTTTTCAAGTATGCAAATATTCAGCTTCAAAAAAGATTCTTTTTGCAACTATCTTGCTCTCTGACCTTGGCCCCAAGCCAGCAGGGATCTATAAGTGGTTCATAAGTTTTCTATGTAGCTTCGAGTTCTCTAACCGATTCATCGAATCTTTTTATGGATTTTTCCGTGACAGTAAAATAATGGAGCTCACATGTGGCGATGCGCAGATCAAGATGACGATCATCCAGCCAAAAAGAACGGAGAGGCCGAGAAAGAAAATCATACGCGAGTCCGGTGTGTTCAGAGACATCGCCTTCTGGAAAACTGATTCGTTTTGTGATAATTAGTTAGCGTGCCCTTCCCATAAGAGACGAAATTTGGAGGCTGTTCAACTTTTTAACGACGATTCTTTGCACATGACTTCCTATCCTCTATGTAAGAGCAACATGTATACTTGAAGAAGAAATAGTATAACATTCATGGAGCCATGCTACACACGTGAGTTGGTCTATACAAGAGTTCAATTTACATCTCATTTTTTTTGCGACTATAAAACACAGCTACACAGTTGGTTACACGAATTGGCTTTTTAACGATGTTGTATTTCACCTGAGTGAGCGATATTTCAGCCAGGACAGATGTCGAACTCAGTTTATAAGTCACATGCTCGAATCCTGAGATCCTGAAACGTAAAAAAAGGTCTGAGGAAAACAGTTGACGAAGGAGTCTCGGAGAGATCTGAAGAAAAAGCAGAAGAAGGACACCTGGGAGAGCTAATGGGCCGCGAGCCAAGGAGCAGTGGCAGGTGTCTCTTACTCTCCGGGGGCGTTTCAAGAGAGTTCGAGAGGCAAAGAAAGATGCCAAATGTTGCTTTCAACGCGTCAAAATTGCCTCCGGTGCAGCTTCGCCGAAACTTTCCACTCTGCGTTTCCTTATTTTCTGACCAAGAAGTTTGGGAACCAATTTCGGAGTCGTTTTTTGTGGAAATCTTTCTGGAGACTAAAGCCAAGGATCCAAGGAATGCATCAGAAATAATGAGCGGAACTTTCGCGACTGCCTCAATTTTATCATACAGAGGTCCGTTATTCCTTGCTTCTCGCTCCTTGTTTTTTTTTAGTTATTTTTTTTGCCAATTTTCCAAGACTCGGTTTACAAAAAAAACTTTTAAAAAAATGATCAAAGAATTGAACAGATCTCAAAAAAAATGAGCGGCTCTAAAAATACTATTATAGTGTGTGCGCCGTGACTTGAAATTTGACTTTACGACATTCCGCTGTTGCGCTGAATGCGTTCACGAAGCGTCTTTCGAATCTAGATCACGCTTTCAGTTGATTGTTATTGTTGTGGGAGCACGCGGCACAGCGGAATGTCGTTTGGTAAAATTCCAAGTCGTGGTACACAGGCTATAATTTTTCCTAGTGAAAGTTTACTGAAAAAAACTCATCAAAAAAATTCAATATATATATATATATGATATATATATATATATATACAATGGATAAATATAAGAAAAATATCTGGAGGAACGCTATGTGTATACGTGTCAAAAATTTTCAAAAACGGAGCTTATTCAAAATTATTTGGAAACTAAAAATTATTTTGAGTTTCGCTCGTTTTAATTTGAAGGAAACATTTTTTTAAGAGATTGAAATTTTCGTCGCAATCCGTTTTCAAAAAGTTTACAATATATTTAAATATACGAACTTGTTCAGCAACGTCGTGAAAAACTGAATGAAACCAGATGCCTCGAAGGTTCGCTGAAAGCTTTTCGACCCTCGTGACAAGAGTTTCAGGCAGTTGCCCAATTTTCTCACGTTTCTTAACTTAAATATGGCTCAAACATTCAAAAAAGATTGTTATTGGGAGTATAGGTATCTGATTGACTTCAAAGTATGTTCTATTCCGTCAAATCATTTCTTCTGGAGAAAAATGGAACGTTATGCTTATCAAAAAAGATACTTAAGAGAGTGAAACAGAATAAATCAAAAGCGAAATTTGGTAGCCGAAAAAAACGTCTAAAAAGCATTAGTACGACTGAGTGGATCCTCGACAAAGGCTTTTCTTCCTACTTGAGCTCTCTCATCATTAATTTCTCTACAGCCACAACTTGTGTTAAATCCTAGGAAACATTTTTGAAAAAAAAAATTGATCGAGGAATGAAAACAGAAAGAGTAGAAAGATCTAGACTTTTTAACATCTATAGCTAAAATAAGATGAACGTTTTGAGGGAGATGAAAGGCCTTAAAAAGAACAATAATAAGCGGATAGGCGGGTCAATACGACGTTGGGAAGGAAGGAGCAGAAGAAGAAGAAGAAAAAGAAGAGGACATCGTCCTGCTCCTATTTCTGCTGTTGTCAATTCAGCCACGCCCTAAATTTGTCCTGAGAGAGCTTTCAAAATGCAACAAAAAACTTTGGAATGCTTGAGAGAAAATCCTATTAAGCCTCAATCGAGCAAGAAACACTTGGGCTTATTCCTTTGGGAGACTGAATCTCGAAGCAACAAATTTCGAGTCCCAAAACTTGTTATTGCCTTCAAATGACCTGTTTTCGAGTCTCTAATTTTCCTGTTTTCAATTTTTACTAACAGTGGAATCAAACGTTTTGTTTTGCCTGTTGAGCCGCAACTTTCAATTTTGGCTATAGTCGATTCACGTCAAGCTTGGGACTCAAAAAGAGGTGACATTATCTCTTTTTATCGTGTCAGGACCCTTTTTCATCGACTCAAGCTAGCCGTGAATCAACTTCACAACGAATTATGAATAGCCTTTCAGGAACTTGACACGCCATCTTAACAAGTTGCAGGACTTTACTTTCAGAACTGGATAAGACATGAACAAGTTTTGCAACAAAGGTTGGAAGTCCTGATTCTGACCTTGCAAGAACATTGAAAAAGCAACGAGAAGAGAACGGATGGGAATATTTTGCCGCACATGGTGGCGAAAAGACAGCCACTTCACAAATTGGATAGCGAGCGAATGAAAATAAATGTCCAAGGGCAGCTCTTTAAACAGCTTTCCGGTACACTTCCGTCGGAATCCAGTGAGTAGGTCAACTGGAATGAACTTCAAGGAAAAAACTTCGTTTTGTTCGGAAATATATGTCTCCCGAAAATCAGAGTCATGCCTTTATTTCATTTATATCAAGAATCATGGTGAAATAATAATTTTAAAAAGTTAAATATATAAATCAAATATTTCACTTCAAACTCATTTTTCACACCATTTGCTTCGGTATTTTTGGCTTCTACTGATGGAATTCTTACAACCGTTGCACGGCTGTCTTGTCCTATCAAAAAAAGGTGTTGACACGATTAAAAAAATATAAAAAAACAGGAAGATTTTGGAGAGCCCAGATCGTGTCACGGCCTTTCGCCGAAGGTGAACAGTCTATAGACTATCATAATTGAATGATCTAATATGACTTCAAAAGTCGAAAGTTACTGTTTTTAATGCTTTTTCGTTCCTTTTCTCATCATTTTTTTTTTCGAGAAATAAGCTGTATTGAATAGGAAATTGAAGCATTTACCTAACAAAAATAATTTTAAGCTCAAAAAAACAAAAGTTTGAAATTTCGGTTGCAGTCTCTAATTATAGTTTGATCAGATTTTGAATGCCAAGTCGTCGCTCAAGCTCCATACCTAATGGCGCAACAAACCAATCACAGGCCGAGCCACCCATAGAGCTTTTTTGAATGACGTCTTTATAATTGAAATTCGAAATACAAAAACACTATAGGAACACTAAGGTAAAACAGTGCACAAAAATAGAAAGATTCGAAAAATCAGAAAAAAGAGTTTATTCAAAGTCTCTCATGAGGATCTTTTTCCGTTTCTCATATTGCAGAGAAACAAAAGATTTAAGAACGTGGAGTTGTGAGAAAGAAGCGAAATGTATTCTTAGCCTGGGGCTCCGGAAATTCTCCAGAAACACATGCCGTTTTCCATGTTGGTTTTTTGGAGCGACTACACCCAAAAATCTCCAATATAAACTGGCAGATTTAATGCTCAATATAATTAAAAAAACCTTTGAAAATTCAGAAGTCATATATATATGTATATATATATATATATATATATATATATATATATATATATATATATATATCTTTTTATATAAATTTAATTGAGTTATTTGAAAGTACAATACTTTTTTTCAAGTCTTTTTCATGACTCTTCGCTCCACCTAACAATATTAACTATTAAAAAGTGAAAAACAGATAATTACCATTAAATGAGCGAAATCGAGGCTGGGGAAGAGAACAAACTGGAAGCTGGAGAACAGCTGTTGGCGGCTGCTCCTGCTCTGTTATGAGCGACTTCTGGCCGATAGTTGTTGTCACTAACTTCGCATATTTCATAAATAAAAAAAGAGAGTGACCTGTGAATGTAAAAGGATCAGTCGTTACTCGATAGAGTCCCTTCAAATCAAATCACTGCGCCATAGAAGGCAGCTGAAGCGCAGGGGAAAAAACGTTGAGGTTATTTCACCGATTATTTTGTTCTGAAACCGATTTTCTTGGAAATTCAGTTTCTTGAACAATTCCTGTACTTTACTGAATCTTAATAAACACGATAAAAAGCTTTTTCCTTGAAAAAAACTCAAATAGAATCAGTTCTTAAGCTTTTTTTTTTCGTGCATTGTGTACAAGGCTATTTCTCAGTACCCTCTGGCGCTTTGAAGATTATACTTTTTCATTTTGAGTACTCATACCTAGGACTCTCCACCACGGTGGTTCGGACCAGATCTGCGACGTCCCTTCCCTTGTAAAAATCTCAAAATCGGGAAAATTTTTTCAATGAACTCGTTTTTTTCTAATCGGCTTTTCAGCAAAATCAGACTGTAATTTTTTTTTAGTATGTTTGAAAAAGAGAAATTTTTAATTTTTTGCCTTTTCAGTTGCGAAAGCGTTCTAATTTGACATGTGAAAAAAGTTTTGTCTAACGAAGTTATGTGGACGAGACGTAGCGTCGAGAACTTCTTAATTATTTAGATTACGATTTTTTCCAATTGACACCATAGAGTATAGAAACAATGCTCAAACTTTATTGAATAACATGAGTTTCCAGTTTTCATCCGATCGATGAGGATTCCTTTGAGATAACGGTGACACCTGCAAGATGACATCACTTTTGCCGAATTTCGTTGAAAGATTGATATATTGAATATTTTTTTATTATTTTGATTGAATATTTTTTTAAATGCCGCCGGTGATCTTTCCGTTGGTGTACAGAAATCAGTAAAATCGTTGGAAATCAGTCTGGGTATAAATAAGGAAAAATCAAGAAAAAAGGAGAGCAGTAAAAATGTATATGTCTGACTACGAGAAGCGGGCAAGTGTTTTTAAATTTTTGAAGTAATTTTTTATGGCCAATGCGTATAAATTATTGGTAACAGAAAGTTCTAAATTTTTTGTACGAAAAATACCTGTTCGTCGCGGGTGTGCTCAGCTCTAATCTGAGCAACGAGGCGCTCGAGGGGAAGTTGATTCGGCTGCCAGACGTGCTCGGCAGAGACAAAACCGATGAACGAAATACAAAGAAGAGCTCGCAAAAAAGTCTTGCTCATGTTAGCCGATAGCTCGGTCGAGAGTGAAATCGAAGCTTATAAAGAGACGACAATTGTCACGTTGCGGAAGCTTGATAGCCATTATTTACCTATTGGTCATCAAAATCAAACAGTTACGCTCTTTTTTTCTGATCAGTGACTTCCGCCTCATGTTCAAATGAGAACAGAAAGAAAAACAGTTTTCAATATACAAGAATCGACAATCAGTTGATTGATCTTGGAAACCGCGCATTCTATCTGGAAGTCTCCAAATGTGAGTGTAAAATGGTGAAAAAGATTACATAATCTGGTAAGAAAAAATTTTTGGAAAAAAAATAAAAACAAAAAGTTTCTGTTTTTCCCCAAAAAACAGGGTGATGTGTAGAAAATATTTCTTCTTGACGCATAAAATTTTTCACTTCCTTATTTCGAAAAACTGTTTTGAACCGTAGACGTATTCGGTAAAAAGCCTGCGAAAAGACCGCATGACGCCTTGCTGTCGTTTCAAAATAATAATAATAAGCTGACGAGTGGGGCGATAAACCAGAAAAATATCGGACACTTCGAAGAAAACCGTCAACAAACCATCTTGGTATAAAACATGGAGCGAAGCAATCGAGTAAGCAAAAAAATGAAAGTAGCAAAAAGAATTGCCGGTCGCGTGGCCCTGGTGCCGCTGGCCTCTCTGGCCCTGTGCTCCCGCGTCGCCCGGAAAGTTCCGAAGCTTCCCAGACCGACTCCCACTTCCACCGCCATTCCCTCCAACCATCTCGTCTTCATCTGATATTCTTTTTCTTCCTCTTTCTCGCCCCTCAGGACACCAAGTGCAATGTAAAAGGTTCAGATTACAAACAACATTCTTATATCAATTGGGAGGCGAGTAAACAGTTCAAAAAAAAAAAAATAGTGTTCGAATTAGAATACTCTTGTGGAAATTTTGTTGGATTCCCTACGTTCCATTCGATGTCACGAAGGAACATTTCCTACCTGTTTGATTTTTAATCCGTGTCTACGAATTGATCGAATACCTCTTGTAGCTTGAAGAATGAAATTCGCGTGGTAGCGTTAGATATTTTCGAAATGGACTTTTTCTTCTTGCACAACATGCACGAATAGATGCTCAAAAAAATCCTCTCAACCTTTTAAGAACTATCATCAGTATCCTGAAAAAAAAACTTACGAGAGAAAAAATCATTCAAATATTCAAAACAGCACTAGACCTGACAATTCGCAAAGGCGTAGTGAACGTTTTTAATCATTCGGACGATATGACTAGTTTTCAGCTTTAATTTCCCGAGACTTCGAATATTCTTGACGCCGAGACATTCATTCTGAAGAATGAACAGAATTTCGTCAAGAAGGGCAACGTCACTGGCGAAAAGCGAGATTTTGGAAACAAAAAAAAAATTCAATTTTCTGTATACACTTTCAACTATGAAATGACTCTGTTTATATTTTCACTGAATCCAATCGAATTGGAAAAGGGGAAGAGGCTAACTTTACAAGCAAGACCAATTCCCTGATCTTTATTCCTAAACACTTTTATTTCAGTACGAAATAGATCAATTTTTATTGTGTATTTTGCTTTCTTTTCTGTCTTTCTAATTTGAATGACATTTTGACCTATTCATATATAAATGCTAATTGATTTGTACCTTGTGACGATGGTTGTTATTCGGGAGAAATTAAAGTTCAAAAAAGACCGGATTTGAGAAAATAAACGCTTCAGTTCGCTATTTTCTTCATTCAAATCATGTTGAATCATTCTAAAGTGCAATGGATTCAACAAACTGGAGAATAAAATGGACTGAGTTTTACGATTTTCACCTAAAATAGGTGAATATCGAACAACAACAGATATTCAGCCTAGTCTTGGTTGGATATAAAAACTGAGATGGGAAGAAACAAGACATCTTGTATCAGAATATCGGCGTCTAGCCATGAACTTCTTTGTTTTTATCTGTTTGCTTTTCATTTCCTTGACTCTTTCCGAAGCTCTGCCGCTACCTGAACACAAAAGCTGGGAACAGAGGTTTGCAGTTCTATTTTCATAGTAAATTTCAAAAAGAGATTAGAGAAGAGACTTTTTTTATATAAAAAAAATGAATGTATAGTATAGTCAATTTTTTTCCTGACTTGAAAGGCGAGATGAGTGGAGTGACAAGGGTGAAGCGTTGCGTGTGCGACGCGGCTTTTGGAGGGCAGCTCGAGATCAAATGTAATCATGGAAAAATGTATAAAAAACTAGGTTTTTTTGAATTGCTCGTATACTTTTATTCGTTCTACTGAATTATTTCAAACTCATAAAAAATAAAAATTTGTTGAGAAAATGCCAAAAAAAAAAAGAAAAAAAGATGGCTCGTGTTTGACGTCGAGTTTCCGCCAAAAGCACACGCAATGCGTCTCCCGTGCCAATCAACCTGTCTCGCCTTTCAAGTCGGGAAGGATTGACTATGTTTCAAAAACAGTAATCTTTTTTTGCCGCGATCTCTAACAAAAGCTCTGCAGACACCGTGAGAAGCGTTGGGGAGGATACGGTGGATCTAACGGGTACGGTGGCTACGGTGGCTATGGAGGCCTCCCAAGCGGAAACAGTTTTGGCGACTCTTGG